ACCTACCTCAACCTCGACCTCAATACCAATACCTGCATCAGCAGCAGCAGCAGCAGCAACATCAACAAGAACCCCGGCGTTTCTCAACTTCCTGGCCCATCCCTATCCAGATGGTTGACAATCTCCGCAGTCTGACACCCAACCTTCCACCTACTGGTGCCGTTGTCGAAGAACTTGACGATGCAGGACCCCCGGGGTCATTAGCTACAGCAAGACCGGCAATGATTCCCCAGCAGCCGCCGCAGAGGGTACAAAATCAACGACCAGCCGGAACAACAGGAGCTGGAGGAGAAGACATGGCGCGCTCGCGCTCCGAGCCAGGCCAAAACACGGCTAGTGGGGATCTTCTTTTGGCTGTTCCCCGGGGAATCAACGTCCCTGCCAACGGCAAAAGATTTCTCACGGGCAACGGGAAAGGCCCCGTGGCGTCGTCAACTTCTGTATTCTCTTCTTCTTCGGGTTCATCTCCTGCTGGATCTGGATCTGGGCCTGCTTCTGCTTCTTCTCGCCGGGCGTCTGCTGGACATACAGTTTCTCATCTAGCTACCCACCAGGCTGCCCATGCGCCCGATCCCCTTGTCTCGTCTCGCCGCCCTTCCTCCGGCCGTCCCTCGTCTGACCACCCTACATCCCGTCGTCCGTCCTCTTCTCAGACAGCTCCGGCATCCGTACCCCCCTCGATACCCCAACCTGATAACGGTCAGAAACACCACCACCACCACTTTCATAACCCGTTCCACCTAAGCCACCACCACCATCACGAGGGTAACGATACCGACCCAGACCCAGCTACTGACACAACCCCCACAGCGACAGCGACAGCGACAGCGACAGCGACAGCGACAGCGACAGCAACCAAGAAACGCAGTGGCCTCTGGGGCGGAAGCTGGGGAAGAAGAAGCGGAAGTCAGAGCCGCAGCCTGGATCAGAGCCAAAGTAGGAACGGAAGTAAAAACGGTAGTCTGAATCCGAGTCGCAGCGGGAGTAAGAGCCGCAGTGGGAGTAAGAGTCGAAATGGAAGTAAGAGTAACAGCAGAAACGGGAGTCCGAACCGGCACCGGAGAGGGAGTAAGAGTGAGAGTGTGGGAGAGAGTGTTGTGAGAGGGACGGCGGGGAGGTTGTGGAAGAGGCTTCGACGGGGCAGTGATGCTGGGTAGTGAATTTGGATACTCAGTTGAGTGGAACTTGGTAATGAGGGGGATGGATAGGGGTGGATAGTTGGGCTTTGGAATTGGGATTGGATCTCGATTTGATTTGGATAGGAATGGGGGGCGTATACTTGGAGTTTGTTAGTGGACTGATGGATAATAGTGGTCCGGATGGTATTATTGTTGGCTTTTCTTCTGGTTACTTCTTTTTCTTGTCATTTCGCTTCTTGTTTCAATTATGTGTGCGTTCGCATTACTCATAGCATTCATGAGCCAGACATGCCAGCAGGATTGGCTGTCAGCATTGGAAACAAGGAGTCGATAGCATGGCGATATTGTTTACAACAAACCCACCTTAGCATGGTCAGGTATCAAAATAAAAGGCATCATCCTCATGTTCCCCTAATAAGCATCTACACCCAAGCAGGGGAATTCACCCGAGCACACACACAATCATCAGGTAAATCACCCTCAACATCCATTCATTTGCACATACCTCGGATATCAAATACTCTCCATCCTACTCTCCCCATCTCATATAAACACCCCCTAAACACCCCTTCAATCCGCCCCTTAACCACCCTATCAACCGCCCCTTAACCACCCTATCAACCGCCCCCTAAAACGTCAACTACCCCACCGTAAACTCCGGAATCTCCCCCATCTCCTGCTTCAGCTCCCCCCCAACCTTATACGCGACCCGCCACCTCAACTTGATCCCCTCCACCTTTTTCCCTTTATCCCCGGCATGCGACACTTTAATCGCCTGTGTCACGCCCCGGCTCTGTTTCGGCGCGAGCGCCCGGCCGGTTTGAGGCTGGAGTGTTAGTTCGTAGCCCTGGTTTATTAGCATTTTTTTTTTCTTTTGGGGGGATTCATTTCTAGGGAATTGGATGTTCATAGGGAATTAGAGAGGAAGGAGGTAGATACCTTGGTCACGGCTAGCTGGAAATGCAATTCCGACACGGGCTGGGCCGAGTTATTCGAAAAAGCAAACAACAAACTAATCGCCGGATCCGTATTAACCGTCCGGTTGGCGACCATGTCCAGCTTGAGGGTAGTGTTGCTGACAACAGCCTTGTGTTCGCGGGGCGCCTGCGGGGCGGCAGCCTCTGGGGGCAGGGCGGAAGAAAAGCTCCATTCGTCGTCGTCGTTGGATACTGTTGGCGCTGGTGGTTGAGCGGGGGTGGGTGGTGTGGGTGATAGAGAGGCGAGCCCGGCGAAGGGGTCAGAGGAGACGGGGGTTCGAGTACTCGGCGGGGAGAAGGGGGATCGTTGGGGGGGTTGGGGTGTGGCGGACTTGGAGCCGGGGGCGGACGGGCCGGAGGCGAAGGCGGAGAAGGGGGCCGGGGAGGTGGATGCTGGGAGCTGGCCTTTGGCGCTGTTGTCTTGGGTGACGGAGGAGAGGAGGGCGGGGCCGGGGATGTCTGGGTTGTTAGCTATTTCCTGGTTTGAGATTATACGGGGGAAAGACCTACTTGTGTTAGCCCCAAAGCCCAGGGCAATTCCCCCGGCCTGGCCAAAGCTGGTGTCGGCTATTGACAACCCCAGCAGGTCGTCCTCCACGCCAGCCGTCTTGGACCCCTGGCCGCCGTCGGCGCCATTCCCATTCGCGTCGTCAAAGTCGATGAGAGAGAATTCGGTGGCCGCATTTTTCCCAGCAGCAGCAGCGCCAGAAGCGCCAGAAGCAGCTTTCGGAGCAGGAGTCGGTCCCCCCTTGGCTATTTGCTTCGCGCCCTCAATATCCCCTTTCTTCAGTAGCTTGTACCGCTCGACAGTGCGGTGTATGCTATCGTTGATCTCGAGCAGTTTGGCGACCGCCTCGTGGTCGTCCGACTCCTCCTCGCACATCTTTTGGATCTTGGGCTGGGCGCTCGACAAGGCCGCCGCCAGCTCCGAAAACACGTCGCCGTCCACCATCTTGTCGCCCGGCTGGAACGCCTCGAGCCGCTCCTCGAGCAGCCGCGCCTTTTGCTGGATCTTGCCGACGTCCTCGGCCGCCTTGGCCCGGTAGTCCACCTTGGACCGCGTGTCGTAGCCGGCCATGACCTTCATCAGCTTGTTGGCTTCGCGAAGGTCCTCGGGCGTGCCCCGCCGGATGAGCTCTTGTAGTTTCGCCGATTGCGCCTCACGTTCCTCCTCTTCCATTTCTTCGGCGGATTTGAGGTTCTGCAATAGCAGTTAGTCTAACAGCTCACCAGCATTTAAGAGGGGGAAACATACATCGCTCGGATTCAAAACCGCCGCATCCTCCCGCCTAACCTCCGGAAACGTATACCCCTTGTAGCTCAACAACCGGTGCATATCACGAATAAACCCCAAATCCTCGCGGTACCGACTCGTCTCACAAATCGTACCCCGCCACTCCTCAATCGCCTCCAGCACCTTCAGCTGCACGCGCGACGGACGGATAGGCGGGCGCTCCGGAAACCGCCGCACCAGCTCATTGAGAAACTCCTTAGTGCTGATCTGGAGGTGAAACGGGTATCCGCAGTTCTTGACGCAGATATCGAGCAGGTTGAGCGCAAGCAGCGACACGTTCGGGTTGCGGTGGTTGACATAGTTGACGATGGCGACGGCGGCCTCGCGCGGGGCGGAACCCTTTTTGGCGTTGATCAGGTCGGAGATCTCGAGGTTGAGCGCTAGGTTTGGCTCGTAGTTCTCGGGGCTGCAGGCTGCTTGGATGAATCGGTGTAGTTGCGAGGGGGCTGGCATCGCGCCCATTTCCCCCCACCGGTCTCTTGCGGCGTACCGCGCCGATGCGGCTTCCATGGTCCGGTGTGTGGTGAGGTCGAGCTTGGGGTTGTTGTCGTTGTGGTGGTGCTTTTCGCGGTCGATCGCGATAGCTTCAGGCGCGGGATGTTTAAGTGCCGCAACGGGGAAAACAAAACAATTCGGTCGGAGAACCTCAATAAATGGTAGCCTAGGACTCCAAGCTTCGCAGAGCTGGCAAAGGCCAAAGAAACCGTGACCGAGAGATGCGGATACCTGCCTTGGTGTTGACGCAACGCAATACCTTACGCAAACCGGAGCTCGGAAAGACAATCCCAGCCCCGTTTCTCGAATACACTACAGGCCTGGATTAGGGGGCTTGGGGGGGTGCCGATCAGCCGTGCCCCCACTGGCTGCCTTAGCCCCACATTGGCGGGCAGGTGGGGTCTATCAACCCCACCAAAAAGTTGAAATCATCGTCACATACGGGCCTTGCATACGACGGTCTCTACATCGTAACACTAATATCTGTGCCATTATCTTCCCATTTCTAGGTTACACCACCAACATCTCCCTACATCATCACACTCCGTCAAACCACAATGGTCCGCCACAAAAAAGACAACTTCTCCTCCCGGGGCAAACACCGACCCCGCGGCGGCCCCCGCAGCGCCCGCCAAATCGAAGCCGAAAACGCCCGCGACAACAACACCAATAATGCGAGTAAAACCACCGACGACGACAACAACACCGAAACGACAAAATCCACCCCCGGCCGCCCCGCCTTCAAAGCCGCCTGCTGGGACCTCGGCCACTGCGACCCCAAGCGCTGTTCCGGCAAGCGTCTCCTCCGCCTGGGCCTAATGCGCGACCTGCACCTGGGCCAGCGCCACGCCGGCGTAATCATCACCCCCAACGGCAAAACCACGCTCTCCCCCGCCGACGCGCCCCTCCTCAACCTCCACGGCGCGGCCGTCGTCGAATGCTCTTGGGCGCGCACGGCAGAAGTCCAATGGAACAAAGTCGGCGGGAAATGCGAGAGGTTATTGCCTTATTTGGTAGCGGCGAATACGGTGAATTACGGCAAGCCGTGGCGGTTGAATTGTGTGGAGGCGCTGGCGGCGGCGTTTGCGATTTGTGGGCATTTGGATTGGGCGGGGGAGGTGTTGAAGCCGTTTGCGTATGGGAGGGCGTTTTTGGAGATTAATGGGGAGTTGTTGAGGAGGTATGCGGGGTGTGAGGATGAGGAGGGGGTGAAGAGGGCGGAGAGGGAGTGGATGGAGAAGTTGGAGAGGGAGTATGCTGAGAGTCGGGAGGAGGGGGGGGACGGGGGGGATTTGTGGGCGGGGGGGAATATGAATCGGAGGGTGGTGGTTGATGAGGATGAGGATGATGAGGATGATGAGGGGGATGAGGGTGAGGGGGATGAAGATGATAAGGACGCGGCAAGCGACGATGACAACAAAAGCGTAGACGGAATCTACCTCGGCCGTAAGCCACCTCCGCCACAACAAAAAGACCGCTTCACCCTCCCCCCTTCAGACGACGAAGACGAAGAGGAAGAAGACGACTCCGCCGAAATGGAAGCCATCCGCCGCAAGATCCTCGCCTCCAAACCCTTCTCTAACCCCCAAGCCACCACCAACAACCCCAATACTTACGACCCCAACTCCAAAAACGACACTACTACCACTACCAAAACCAAAAAACCCCTCGAAACCATCCCCCGCCCCCAGCCACGGTACAAACCCGATTCCGACGCCGAGCCAGACTCGGACAACAACCGGTCCGAAGACGGCAGTGACCAAGACAGCGAGGCCGATGATGGGGAGGAGAACAACGATGATGAGTTCGATGATATAATCAATGCCACGCCTGTGACGGACAGGATGGGCCTGAAACGATTAGAAAAGGAACGGGCACGGATCACGACGACGTCGAGGACGTTTTCGTCGGGTGGGGCTGCTGCGCCGACCAGGTGGTGATTACGTCTAGTATTGGTATTGCTAGGGAGTATGGAGGTGGGAGATTAAAAGGATAGGATCAAAAGGATGGAAGGAAAGGAAATACTTAGACACGGCAGTATTATACACGGATATCGTTACATACATATACGGGCCATCCCCCCATCTACGCCGTCTAACAAACGACACTAAGTACCGCCCGTCCATCGTTGTCTCGTCTATCCGTTCTCTTCCATTCCCATGCCCATCCTTTCCCTAGATGTACATGCAAATGCTGATACCATCCCGTATGTACCGTATATAACCCCCCGCCATTTTATGTATGTCTTGTCGAAATGCACGACAACATTGCATGTATACCTACTTACACAAAATCATACAACTACAACTTCCGCTTCTCGTTCACCTCCTCGTAGCACTGCACGATATCCCCCTCCTGCAACTCGTCCCAGTCGGAGAACGACAGACCACACTCGCTGCCCTTTTTCATCTCGTCCACGTCCTTTTTGACGTTCTTGAGTGTTTCGATCGTGCCTGTTGTCGTCAGTCAGTTACTTCTCTCTCTACTAGGGGGTAGAAGGGGAGAGTGAAGAAAAAAACATACCCTCATAAACATTCTCCTTCCCGCGAATAACCCTCGCCTTAGTCCCCCTCTTCACAATCCCATTTTCAATCCGACACCCCGCAATATTCTTATATTTCCTCCCCTTAATATTAATCGGAAACACCTGCAGCACCACCGCATCGGCCACCACCTTCTTCACCACCACCATCGGCAGCGCCTCCGCCAGCTGCTCCCGCACCTCCTCAATCAAATGGTAAATCACATTATGCTCGAGGATTTTGACTTTAGCATCCTGCGCCAGCCGCTTAATCTGCGGCGGCACGGGATTGTTGAAGTTGATGATGGCACTTCCCGTGGTAGCGGCTAATTCCACGTCTGATTCTGTAATATGCCCGGGCGCGGAAACGAGCACCTTGGCGCGGATCTCGTTGTTGCCTTGCTCCATCAGCGCGATGGAGACTGCTTCGACAGACCCGTGCACGTCGCCCTTGACGATGAAGGGGACCTGTTGGATCTTGCTGCGCGCCGTGCCGTTGCCGTCGCCGTCGTCGCCGGCGGCCGCCTCGGCCGCGGCTTCTTCGGCGGCGGTGGCTGCTGCGTTGCGCAACATCTCGGGGGACATGCGATACCCGCCGCGACGGTTGGGTCGCAGGTTAGCGGCTTCGGCGATGGATTTCAACGCTTCCTTTTCGAGCTCCCGCTCGCGTTCGCGCTCCCGGCGGTCTTTTTCGATTTGTTCCATCTGCCCGATCACGTCGCCGCGTTCTTTGAGTTCCTGCCGGTACCGCACGGCCGCTTTGGCGCGGCCTTCGTCGGGGGCTTGGAGAACCATGTCGCCTGCCTCGGGGGGTTCTTTCCAGCCGAGGACTTCGACGGGCATGCCGGGACCGGCTTCGTCGATCTCCACGCCGGCTTCGTTGCGGAGGGAGCGGATCTTGGCTTGTACGCGACCCGCGACGACGTAATCGCCGGGGCGGAGGGTTCCGCGTTTGACTAGCACGGTGGCGACGCGGCCGATGGGTTTGATGGTGGACTCGAGCACCCAGCCTTCGGCCATGCCGCCCGGGTCGGCGCGGATGTCGAGCATTTCGGCGAGGAGTAGGATGTTTTCTTCGAGGTCTTCCATGCCCTGGCCTGTTTTGCCGCTGACGCAGACAACCTGCACGTCGCCGCCGAAGTCCTCGAGCTCGACGCCGTGTTTGGCCAGGTCGGATTTGACGTGGTTAATGTTGGCCTCGGGCCGGTCGATCTTGTTGATGGCTACGATGAAGGGCACGCGGGCTGCCCGCGCGTGCTTGAGCGCTTCGAGGGTCTGTGGCATCACGCTGTCGTCGGCGGCCACGACGAGAATCACCATGTCCGTGACGTTGGCGCCGCGTTGGCGCATCGACAAGAACGCTGCGTGGCCCGGGGTGTCCAGGAAGGTGATCTGCTGGCCGGACGACAGCTGGACCGAGAAAGCACCGATGTGTTGTGTGATGCCGCCGTGTTCCTGCGACACGATGGATGACTTGCGGAGATAGTCCAGCAGCGTGGTCTTGCCGTGGTCGACGTGGCCCATGATGGTCACGACAGGTGGGCGGAGCGGCAACGAGGTCGGGTCTTCGGGCACGGGGGCGGGCCGGAGGTCCTCGTCCTCGCCCATGTCGACCTTGGGCTCGAAGCCGTACTCCTGTGCGACCAACGCAGCCGTCTCGCCCGTCAGGATGTTGTCCTTGCCGACATCCTCGAACCCGAGCTCCTCGAGCTGCGACACAAACACGTCGATCTTGAGACCCAGCGCGATCGCCAGGTTGGCCACGCTGATGAACTCGGGCAGCAGGATCGGGGTCGGCCCGGCGTCCTCTAGCGCCAGCTGGCGTTCCCGCTCCCGTTGTGCCTTCTCGGCTTTCTTCTGTTGCTTCAGCTCGTACAGTTCCACATCGAAATCGTCGTCGTTCTCGTAATCCGACTGCCGACGTCGGTTCTTAGTTTTCTTCGTCTTCTTTTGCGCTGCCACGGGCTCCTCCCGACCCCCGCGAGCGCCTCGTTTGCGCCGGTCACTCTCGGCAGCTTGCGCCGCGGCCGCATCGCCCGAGACGGCCCCAGGCACTGCCCCCTGTTCTTCGGCTTCCCGGACAGCGCGAGCGGCCTTCTCCTCCTTCGCCTTGGCCGTGTGGTCGTCAGCCCAGTCCCAGCTGCCGTCCTCTGCCTTGGCAAGAGTCTCTCGGCGATTCTTTCCATCTGCTTCCAGCATCGCATCCCATGCCTCCTCCCGAGCCGCCCAATCAACACCTGGTGTCGGGGCCGGAGGGGTACGGCGTACTGGCGGTGGAGGTGGGGTTGAGTCGAACGCCGGGGGAGTGAAGCTGGGCGGGGGAGTGCGGTCCCGACGAGCCAAGTTCTTCCAGTCACCGCCACCCGCGCTCGCCGAATCCGACGACGACGTTTGTTGCTGTGGGTCAACAAATAAACTCTTTCCAGTCTCCCGGATGGACCGGACAAGGTCACTCAAGTCGCCTGGGGGCCTCTTCTGCGCCCCGTCACTACGTACGCCAGGGCTCGCACCCACTCGGGTAGTGCGACGGCTTTGTAGCGCTGCGAATTCCTGGTCAACACCGCCAGTATCGCCCCACGGGTTGGCGGCAGTTGGTGGTGGGTTAGCTGGTTCGGCCGGCCCATGTCTCGCAAGAGCCCGCTCCCTGGCTGCGCGCTCATGCGGAAGAAGGAATGATAGAGGGTCTGCTTGCTGCTGCTGCGGTTTCGGGACATCCGGTTGTGCCCCGGCGGGGCCCCCGGCTGCCGATGGGGTCGCTCCAGGGGCTGCGGCAGCCCATGACGGCGCGGCTGACGCCCAGCCCCCGGGTTGCGGTTGAGTCGTAGGAGGACTTCCGCCGGATGTTGACGGCGTTGACTGAGGGGCTGCGCTAGCCCATGCGGGCAGTGCCGATGCCCAGCCCGCTTTCTTGGGGGCTTCCGCTAGTGGTTTCGTGGCGGCCTGGACTTCCTGAGCGTCTAGACCAGGAAGTGAAACAGCCCCTTCAACACCACCCGCCTTAGCATCTGGTGTTGTCGCTGGTGTCACAGGCGCCGTGGGCTTAGGAGCTGCCATGGATGGTGGGAGAGGCGTTGGCGGAGCCTGTTGTACCTGCGGGGACGAGGTCGCCCAGGTAGGTGTGGGCTGCGCGACAGCTGCTTGAGATGGCGGGGGTGGTGTCGGAGGAGCTTGCTGTACTGGTGGGGGTGTGGAAGCCCACGCAGGGGCTGATGCCCAGGCAGGTATTCCTGACGGCCCGCTTGCCGGTGTTTGTGACTGCGCTGGTGGGCTTTCAGAAGTCTGTGGCTCCGTCGCCAGGGGTTGAGTTTTCTCGACACTCTCAACGGCCGCAGGTACGGCAGATGTGTCAGGTGTTGCAGAGACAGTAGACACACTTGGCTCAGCAGGCTGAGTAGACACTTCCGGTGCGGTCGGCTCAGCAGAGAGTGTAGAAGGGGTTGAGGGTGATTCTGCAGACGTGGTACGCGCCTCAGGTGTATCTGCAGGAGTAGTGGGTGTCTCAGGCGTAGTAGCCTCCACCTGCTTTGAGGCCATCTGGGATGGTGGAACAGGTGTTGGGGCAACTTGTTGTACAGGCGGCGATGCGGTCGCCCATGCCGGGGATGATGCCCACGCCGGCGCTGCGGGCGCTGCAGACGCTCCACCCAGTACCGACGGTCTCTGTGCTGGGGGCCGTTCCGGAGCGCTGGGTTCCACCTTGGGCTGGGAAGTCGTCGGTGTGTTCAGGCCAGGAACCCTACCAAACACAGACGCAGCCGATCCGAGAGCCGTAGCAGGGACAGGCCGAGTCGACGCAGGAGACGGAGCTGGAGCAGGGGCTCGGGGGGTGAGCGGTGTTGATGCCCGGAGAGTATTCGCCGAAGGGGGCATCGGAGGTCTCGGAGGGACAGCTCGTGCTTGTGCTGGTGCTGGTGCTCCGCCGTTCGCAGGTGACGGGCCTGGCCGATTCGGGCCCCGCATATTCCCCAAAGGATCTCGGCGTCCGGGAGGAACCGGCGGGGTGAACGGCAATGGCCTCGCCGCTAATGGCCTTTGTGCAGGCCGCGGGGGTAAGCCATCATTCATGGGCATAGCCCCTGGGCGTACGGGCTGTGACCGAGCCAGTGCTTTCTCCCTAGCGGCCCGCTCATGCGGAAGCAAGCCATCGTTCCCCGGGCCAACTCTCGCCGGCCCCGAGCGTGTATTTGGCGGGGCCCGGGGTCGAGGCGGGGGCGGGGGTGGTGGTTGGTTGCGGCTTAGGGCCTTCTCTCGGGCAGCTAGTTCATGAGGAAGCAGGCCGCTATTGTTCGGGGTCGTCGTCGGGGCCTCCGGTATCGATTGGGTCGCCCAGCTGGGTAGTTCGTTGGTCGAGAAAGCTCTCCCGTTGAACGGCGCCCTGCGTGCGGGACGAGTGAAGGGTCCGTAGCTGTAGGTAAAGCGGCAAAGCAGACATGCCGTCGGTCGCTTCTGCTTCTGCGCGGGGATTTGTTAGCGAGGAGTTGTGAGTTGTTGTACGGTTTCGAGGGGTATGAGGCGGCCAGACGCACCTGCTGCCATAACCCGTTTCGCATCATCGTTGGATCAGGCGGGACATTGCTCGGCCGGTGCTGAGGACGGGAGTGACTCTTTGCCCGCAGTCCTTTCAACGCTTGACGTTTGACGCCAAAAATTCGGCCAAAGCTTCTCCAATTCTTGGGCGATTCCGGCATCGACAGGGGTATAACCCCCACAATTCCGTCCCAAGAGCAGGCTTGACACAGTAATCTGTACAGTGACACACTGTAATCAAATGATAAGGAGGATGCAGGGTTAGGGTTCAATGAGGACAAGAAGTAACCAACGCGAAGGAATTCCGTCGCGTTCTGCAGTTTCTCCTTAAACTGCCAACTCATTCACTTCTTTCGTTCCTTGGGGATTCTCAACCAACTTTTTTCCCCAACCACATAATTTCATCATTCAGGCTTGGGAGTAAAATCAATTCTCATCCACGCATATTCTGTTCATAATCAATTGTTGCCCGAACCTTCAAGAGCGGTTCAAAAAACTTTACCCGGTCTCACTCACCCCTTTTCTCAAACTTCCATCACACCACCACTACATACATCACCATAGTCAACAACGACCACCATGCCACCCAACCCCAAATCCCGTCTCACCCCCACCGCCAAAAACAAACCCAAACCCACCGCCCCAACCGGCCCCCCGCACCCCTTCAAACCCGCCCCAACCTCCCTCGAGCCCCTATACACCACTCTCCCCCCCGGCCACGTCTACATCGCCCACACCGACCCACGCGCCGCCGCCTTCAAGCGCAAGCTCTTTCTCGTCCCCGTCGCCCTCAACCTCGCGGTGATCGCCCTCTTCTTCCTCCGCATCTGGTACATCGCGCCCTACTACGTCGCGCTCTTCGTGTCCGGCGCGCTGGGCCACACCAACGAGACGACGCTGAACGTGGCCGCGCTGTCGTGGGGCGCGCTGGCGCAGGCGATTGTGCGGCGGGCGGCGACGTTCTTGTTGGATTTTGTGTTGGGCGTGTTTGTGTGGCCGTGGCCGTATGAGTTTTTTGTGGGGACTACGGGTCGGGGTAGTCCGATTGCGTGGCGGTGGGCGGTGGGGTTCAGGGAGAAGGAGGTGTATGTGCGGAGGAGCAGGGAGAGCTGGGATGCGGTGTTGAGGGAGGAAGGGGTGGATTTGTTTGATGTGGATAGTGCTGAGGCGCGGGAGGGGAGGGATGCGGTTTTGGGCCGGGTGAGGGCTGCGACTTCGCCGATGTTTATGCAGCAGAAGACGGGGTATTTGACGATGGATGGGCAGTGGGATCTGGACTGGCGCGGGATGGTGGATGCTACGCGGTTGGTGGATAAGAAGGAGGTGACGCTGGACGCGCTGAAGTTGGTGGTGTTGCTGCATCACGGCAAGTTTGGCTGGGTTACGGTGGACTTGGGCCAGGCTGAGACTGCGGAGCAGGACGAGCGCCGGAGACAGGTTATTTTGTTCCGGGAGGCGCTGGCTTCGCTGGGCAAGGAGGACTTGTTCTTCCGCTGGGTCGAGATGATTCAGTTTGAGACCACCCAGCCTGGTGGCTTTACCAAGGAGCGACAGGTCATGGCCGCGCAGAAGATCCGGGATTTGTTCCAGGCCAATGGTGTGGACTTTGACGGGCTCTGGAAGGAGACGGTCGGCACTGAGGGGCTAGCTGGCATGCCTGCTGCCTAGATGGACGTTTCGAGTGTGTACTTTTTGGTATCTATTTATGTTGTTTGTATGGATATGAAGGCGTATAAAAAGGACGGAGGTGCATAGCGCAAGACGCGTCATTAATCACGAAGTAGCCAAAACATGAAAGCAAGGAAAGCCTCGTATTGACAAGCTACCCTACTCACAAAAAACCCGGCGCTCATTTCTTCTTGGACTTCTTGGGACCAAGCGCTGCCTCACGCCTCTTGGCCTCACGGGCCTCAATCTCAGCCCGCTTCTCCTTATCCTGGGCCTCCTTCTCCTCTTTCTCGGCCTGCCAAACTGTTAGCTTCCTTGTTCCTAGGTCGGGAGGTGGTAGAGAGGGTGTGATGGGGGGTTATCCACAAAACAGAAAAAAGAAACACAACGGAACAACATACCTGTTTCCTCGCAGCCTCCTGCTCCCGCTTCTCCCGAATCAACTTCAGCCTCGCCAAGTCCGCCCTAGCCTCATCCGTCTTCCCAGCCTCATGCAACTTGCGGTACCGTTCCTTCGCGGCCGCCGCCTCCAACGCCTCGCGCTCCTTCCGACTCGGCGCCACATTCAACTTCTTCACACCCTCCGCCACGGCATCCACATCATCCGCCCCAGGAGCCGGCGCCTTGGTCTGGTTGCGTGCCTTGCGCGAATGGTTCGGGTTCGCCGGCATGTCATCGTCATCCTCGTCGTCGTCATCCTCCTCCGAATCGCTTGGTGGGAGGTCGCCGACCTCGACGGGCTTCTTGGCGCGCGCGATGGCGGCTTCCTTGCGGGCTTTCTTTTCTTTTTTGCGCTCTTCGCGGCTCAGTTCGGCCGCGGCGGCAGACTGGGATGCGCCTGCAGCGTTGTCGTCGGAGTCTTCCTCCTCGGAGTCTTCCTCCTCGTCGCTGTCGTCGTCGTCGTCATCGTCGTCGGAGCCGCCCTTTTTGCGGGCATCTTGGCTCCACATGCTGATTTCGTTGCCGTCGGCATCGAGGGGGCGGAGGTCACGCGAGAAGTGCTTGCCGCCTGGTGGGGGTTTGTGTAAGTTTTCTGTCTGTGTGTCGGGTCTGAGAGAGAGAGTGTGTGTGGGTTTCTTGGCTTACCTCCACGCGTGTACTTCTTGAACTTGCCTCCACGTCCGCGAGAGTTTGCACCTGGACCACCGCCTGCCATATTGACGGTTGGAGGTTGGGTACAAAAGTGTTAAAACGGTAGGATGTTGAGTGGTTGTAGTACACCCGAGGGGCTAGCGCGGGGTAGGTAGGTAGATAGGTAGACTAGAAGTTATCGTGGTCGAGGGTGGGGGCAACGAGACTACCAAAAGCTCACGAGATGTGGACTCAAGATTCGAAAAAGCTAGGGCGAGGCCGGGCCTAAGTATTTATAGTGTTCTGTTCCGCATTCGATAATACCTAATCGAGCAGCAAAACGAGAGCATCAGAACCTTATGCGCAAAAACTTAGGTTTGGTGCTGGTGCAGACCCTTGCTCGTCTCCTAGCCTCGACCCCGCCATCCCACCAATGTGGGGCAGTTGACTCACTCCCCGGCAAAGGTTCGATATGCCTGCGCCTTGATTTGCTGCCGCAGAAGGGGATGGATTGTGGGTGGTTCGAGCCTCTTCTCTGCCCCCTTTGGATCGAGATAGACAGGCATTCCATATTCATGTTTCGGTTGAGGCCGATATAAGGTTCAAAGAGTAGCCTGGTCAACATGCTCAACGTTGCACTGTAGAATTCTAAGAATTCGAGGGTTCTGTCCTCAAGTCTACCGCTAACCCTAACCCTTTTAATGCTTCAACCCATGCTAGCAAAGCGACTCTAATTGGCCACAAGGGCCCCACCAAACACGACCACCCGTTTAAAATCTTCCGCGCCCAGCTCTCGCTTTCCTCTTTTCCTTCTTTTTTTCCCCATCATAAACTGATTCCTTCAAATTCACTCCGGTCCGAGTCTTACGCCATGGCATTCTGGAGGGGAAACTGGAGGATAGACAGATTTCTTGCACTTACCCTCTGTCTTTGGTTCACCATTGGAGAACAGAGAAATTTTTTGCTAGAGACAAACCAAGCATCGAAACTGAAGGTTTTTTGATGCCATGGCCGACGCGTTTTGCAGCCGACTATCTGTAGATATTTTCGACATGACCTCGAACCCGCGATCCTCCCTAGAAGTGTGTGTGTTGATGAGAGGATTGATGTGAGAGAGCTGAAGAGGAACTACCGAGCCGGATCAGAGTCTGACTGAACACTTCGCGATTGATTCATTACTCTCGCTACGGTATGGTGTGCTCCTCTGCCACCTTCATCGGCCCTTCGTCAGCCGGTCGATTGGTCGGCTGGTCTATAATTGTTGACTTTCAGTACTGAGTACGGAACAATGTCGTCGTGCCGCCGCTGGACATTCAATAAAGCCCAACAGAACGTGCGCGTTTAGCTTCCGCGCGTCGGTCAGTTGCCATGCACGATGGAGGTGCCCAACTATTTCTCGTTACATATCGCAGTCCCAGCATGAACAGCCTCGGCGACTTGAGGCGCGCCGTAGCGAAGGCTAAATGCGTGTAAATAGTCGGCAAACTCCTAGGTAAGCCCTCACTGATGTCCAGAGCTGTTGTTTTACCCCTGGGCCTCTTAAACGCTCCCACAGACGCCACACAATGGGCGAGACAGCGCACGCTAGTTTGTAGAGTCTAGCCATGGATAATGAGTTCCCAAGCAACACAAATGAGTCTTCGGTCTATGGACGACACTGGCCGCCTCCTCAGCATATTGTTCTTGTCTATCTGAATCTCATCTCGGGACCTCAGCAGCACCCGACATCTGCATCCCAAACAGGGTTGACCAGTGTCTTATGGGGCTTTGCTCATCATAGGGCGCCGGAGTGCTAAACACCCCATGGTTTGTTACGATTTTTAATTTGTGCCACCGTCCCCGCATTTGACTTCTTTTCCGTGTTTCGTTCTCTCCTGACCGCCTCGGCGTTCAGGGAGTGTCAAATGGGGGTTTTGAGGGAGTCCCTCCGAGGGGTCCATCCCATCTGCTAATCTGCGTGTATCGTTTCATCTTCCCCCAGATCCCACACTGTCCCCAGGTTCCCACATACGGCCTCAGGGACAATCTGCATCCTCGATGGGATGGGATCCGATTTCCAATTGCCATTCATCACTGGCCGTGAATTCGAGCAGAGCCCCCGGTAACCCACACCCCCGGATCTGCACGTTCGAGGCCTCATACACCTCAACAGAGGGAGGGGGGATACGTCACCCTGGCTAACCACCCCCCCCCCCCCCCCCCCCCCCCCCCCCCCCCCCCCCTCCACATAGTCCCAAAGACCAAGGACTAAGAGGCATGACCGCGCAGCACTTGCTTAACAACCCCCGTCCCCCGACATCAAAACAAGAATAACAACAGCCGGAGTGAAACCAACAAACACCCCTTTCCCTACCTTGCTCCTGTCTCGGGATCCGGTGTATCCCGTCGGCGGAGTCGTCACCCCGCCGATTCTCCTGTTCGATGGCGCGCCGAACCGAACGGATAAAGTCAGGAGATGCAGGTTCAACTCGAATCGATGCCGGTGGGTTTCCCCACGACACGAATGAGGGGGCATTTGTGGCGTGTTGAGTCAGTGATGAGATGCTTGATGGATCGGAGCGAAGGACTTGACGGTACGAGTGCTCGGCACCGCCAGCCATGTTCGTGTTTCGGTCGGCGAGGTGTTGTGAGTTTGAGGTACAAAGGGTAGCTAGTAGAAGGATATGGGAAGTTGAAAAAAGAGAAAATGGGAATTTGGGACGGTTTAAAAAGGTGGGAGACGCCATGGGCAGCGCCAATGCGCCGTGGATCTGAAGTTGCGTGTCCAAGCGCGGTCACGTCACTATTAGTAACCCGTCCCGTACACTCCAAAGAGCATACCAGTCAACTCGGATGTGTTGGGTTTATGATATCCATATGCGGGCCATGGGTGAGTTTACGCTGTGCCTGGACTATGGGGATGGCTTCGGTATATGTATGCATGTAGGTTGGTGAGATATGGTTGTATTGATTCTATCCAATTCCATGCGCTATCGCTGGTTGCTCTGCCTTTTCCGTCATCGTTCAGTTGTTCAAGGCGCATCCCTGGCGCTTAAACCCCTCTGTAAAGCTTCTTTTATACAGAACCCTCCATCTTTTCCGACGTCGTCGAAATCAGGTATGCAAGAAGTGAACAAACTGGAAGCTACCGATCTCAACGGATTCGTGCAGGATCCAGTTGCATCAGTGGTGTAAGTACACTTAGACCTTCAGTCCGAGCGCCGAATCCAGATTTGAACGTCCTCCAGGAAGCTACAGCTCCTTCTCTCCCAGCTAATATTCCATTTTCTACGCCTTATCCATTCCTATTCACCCCGTCCCAAACGAAGAAAGCAGATCCCCCACCTTTTGCTGCTTCCGTGGCCGAAGACCCAGCTCCTTCCTGTCCTCGGCCCGTGCAGTCCACGACGGATCAAGCCGGCGACGAGTGGCATTTTCCTGCGGGCGCGTCGTCGTCATCGCCGTCGCAGGCTCGGAAACGGGATTCCGCCAGCCCCGGGAGAAGATCAGACGGTCTAGCAGTGCGAGCGTCCGGTCGTCCGTCCAGCCGTTTTCGGGGGGCACGGTCCGGAGTTTGAGGTGGACGAACCTCTCATCGGGAAGGGCGACGCCCGCTGCTTGTTTTCGGGCTCGTGGAGTGGCGGTAGCATCGTAGTGGTTCTTGGTCTGGCCGTCCAACAAGGCGAGAAACCAGAAGAACTCGTTCTCAGGAACCTCTGCAACGGGGGTGTAGACTCCCTTACCGCCGGTCCATATTTGGGGGAATTTGAAGTAGCCTCCGATGATAGCACGCCAGCGACAATCAAGGCGAATAACTTCTTCGGGTTCACCGTGATGGTCACACCGGCCCCATGTTACTTCTTGCCGGTCGTCTTCAAAGGTGGTGACCAACCCCCCAACTCCCAACTTGTTCACACCTATATGCCGGCTGAAGTAGGCACTGGCATACGATACAAAGAGCGAACCGTGTGGCTTGGTGATCCGCCACCCGTACGTATTTTCGAGTTCCCGTCGCTTACCTGGTAGTGTTCCCGGCGCCGGGCGAACGGTGATATCAAAAATTTCAAGTCGCGGAAACCCCATCACGAGACCCAACCCCGTCTCCGTGACCATGTGTGTTGCCGACATAATCTTGAGGATCCGCAGGTTCGCAAACGCATTGTCACCCGTGGCATCCCAATTCCCGATCAGCCTATCATCAATCCAACTCCACCCAGGCTCCCGGTCGATAAGTTCCAACACCGCCAGGTGCGGCAGCTGAGCCAGCGGGATCAGCTCGTGCGGCCGGAAGCGGGAAACATTATCGATGCAGAGGTAGACCAGACCGCTACCGAGATCCCTCAGAGGCTCCAAGTACACGTCCAGCTCACATGGCGGGTTGACAATCTCCTGACAGTAACGGACCATGGCCATGATCAGTGTGACGCTGGACCGTTGGGGGTCTACATCCCCGTCCGGCCCGGGGTCGAGCGCGGGTAGCAAGGTGGTTGTGAGTAACTTCCATGTGTTGAACGGCATGTTTCTGTAGCTGCGGTCAGTTCTAGTTCACCGTCCGCTAAAGAGCACACCAATCAATGACATCCAATGAAACCCCAATAACCAGCCCCCCTACCACCCAAAACGCCAAAGACCCCAGAAAGCAGACCCCAAAAACCACACACCAAAAACCACACACCAACCCCCAAACACTCACCTCAAATACGCCTCCCGCCACAACCGCCCCAACAACCCCTCCGGCACCACCTCCAACGCCTCAGCCGTCGCACCCAACACATTCTCCGCCAGCACGCGCAGACACATAGCTACCAGTGACCGTGGACCCTTCCCACTTCCATCCGCCCTCCCACCCCGGGGCGTAGGAAGATCAAGAGCATCCTCGTGGACGTCGGCCCAGTTGGCGCCGGGTTGGTAGGGGGCGGAGAGGGAGGTTAGGGTTTGTTTTGGGGGTGGGGCGGGTTGGTCTGCAGGTTGGTCTGAAGGTTGGTTTTGATTTGGAGGTGGCTGGTTCATGGATGGGGATGACGATGATGTGGGTGGTGATGAGGGTGGTAATTGACGTTGGCATTTGTACACAGCGCGTCGGGATACGGGCATTTGGGTGGCCTTGGTGTTTTCTTTTTTTGACTAGAGTCAATTGGTAGGTGATTTAACAGCGAATCGGACACGTTTGCGTGGTTTTGGGAGGGTGGTGACGATATTGGAAGCGGTGTAGCGGCGTTAGAGATTTAAACGGGAGCTTTTGAAGTTGCTTGGCTGTTGGCTGTTCGTTGTTGGTTCTTCTGCTGCTGTGGCTGGGCTGTCAATGCTGTGAAAAAGGAGGGGTAAAAAGCCGTGGAAAAGCAGAAATCGCTCGGACAGTTGGGAGCCTAAACTAGCCGTGAAAAGCTTGGATATCCCTCTAAAATAATCCCGAAAAGCTAGGAGGAAGTAGATATGAACATGGACCGCATCAGGGAGGCTGAGAGGAAATACAAAAGCTAGCGTCAGTTTTGAGTGTGGATCGGAACTCGGGCTGCTGCACCCAAAGGGTCTAAGGAGGTCGTTCAACACGAGTGGAACATCAGTAGCAAACTTCAGATACACCAAAACAGCAGACAGAACAACCCATTCCCATCCGCTAGGCCAGGCAGAAGGTAGCATTTTTATCCATAGTCTCTAAATAAACTATAGTCGCTTCCGATGCTTCTCTAATCAAGAGAGACGTCCTCTCCATCAGACCTCATACGGGGGACAAGGCCAAATGTTTCAACCGCCCCTAAGATGCCAAAAACATCATTCCTGTCGCTTTCGCTTTCCGCTGTTCGCCTATATGGTTGAGGTTAGAAGTATCCTTAACCCACGCCATCGGTAATGGGGGACATCGTCCTGACGTTCACTCATCATCCGTTTTCTGTCTCTTTTCCTTTTCCTGCTCGTTGGTAAGAGCTGTGGCTTCTCCATACGAGCATGCCTGAGTCATACCCATCCACACATAGGCCACAGCCTGACGAAGGACATACGAGAAACACGAGGCTTTCACACCTTGCGTCCTTATCATGTCCTCCAGCACCGGCTGCTTTGGCCACAACACTCTCCCCTAGGCCACTGGGCCATCACCACAGCGCAACAAAGCACAATGGCGTAGCCCCAGACGCCAAACAACCCCATCCAGCTTACACCTGCTCACCCAACGCCCCCAACTCATCAATCACCGACTTCTTGGTGTTGATCTTCTTAACCTGAGTTTCCTCCAGCTTCTCACCACCCGCAAGCCGCATCTCAAGTTCCTCGATAGCGCGAATCTTCTTCTGCAGGGCCCGGATCTTCTTAGCGTTGGGGTTACCCGCGCCAGCCGCATCGAAGTTACCGCCAGCAGCAGGCGAGACAGGCGCACCGCCCTGTCCGACATGGTCCGTCGGGCTGCGCGAGTTGTTACGCTGCGTGTTCCCACGGTTGTTGTGTCTGCCCGGCTGCAGGTTGTTGTTGTTAGCAAAACCGTTGCCGTTGCCGTTGTTATTGTGGCGCGAGCGACTGCGGGAGTGGTGCTGAGGGCCGCGGCGGTCGGGGCTGCGGCCTTCGTTGCCCGAGGCGGTGCCCGGTTCGCGAGGGGACGGGGCGAGACCGCCTTCGGTGGGGGAACCGCCACCTGCCGCAGCGGCCTCGCCCTCCTTGGTCTTCTTGTTGCGCTTCTTCTTATTCTTCGCAGCCGTCTTGGACAAGGTGCTTTCGTCCACGGGAGCCGCGCCGGGGACGGCGGCCCGCCCAGTCGGCTCGGCCCCAGGGACGAGATGGCGTGGGCGGCCGAAGCCGTTGGGGCCGAAGCCGTTGGGGCCGATCGAAGGAATGCCGTTGCTGACGGTGTGGGCAGCGCCGCCCTCGTCCTCGCGCTTGAAGTGCAGCGGAGTCACAGCGCCACGGGCGCCAGGGGGGCGGTACGCGCCCACGGGCTTCGAAGGGGTCTTGACCTTGCCGAGGTAGGCCAGTCCCGAAGTGTGCGGGGCCGGCACAGGGGTCAGGGGGTCGCCGGTAGGAGGAGCGTCCGGAGAAATAGGGCGCCAGATCACATTGTACAGCTCGGTCATGTCCTCGTTGTACATGATGCCGCCGCTCACGTGCCAGAGCTTGATGCCGTTGTCGACACGGAGGCGGGGCGATGTGGTCGCGGTCATGATGTAACGGCTGTCCGGGCTCCAGGTGCACACGCTCGGGTTGCCGCTCTCAATGGTACAGATCTTGCGATAATCCTTCTCGAGGTCGTAAACATCGATCTGCCCAGCCAAATTGCCGAAGCCGGCCACCAGAGCGAAGCGCCCAGTAGGCGAAAAGATGATGGTATTGCGAGGTCCGATCGGGAACGAGTGGATAGCCACGCCACGGTGGTTGAAGATGGTCGTTTTGGCGGGCATGTAGCCATAAATGACACCAAACTCGGTCGAGTTGGGAGACCAAGCAACGTCGTGAATCGGGCCCTCCTTATCCAACGTAATCCTAGCGTCGAACGACCCATTGGCACTGAGCAAATACATAGTGGTTTCGCCGTAGTAACTCTTGTTCGACTTATCAACCTCTGTTTGTGCCAGCACAATCAGGCTCGTCCCCAGGGCGTTCCACTTCATCTGCACCTTGTCGCCCTTGAAGAACGTCTTCTGCGAGATCGGGGTGGTGAACGACGGGACGTTGAAGACTTTGACGGAAGCCGGTTGACCCTGTAATGAAGAGTGATTAGCCGCAAGTCGGGACAAGTGGGATGTGCTGTGGCAAGGTTAAATGAGAGAAGAACGACTCACCTGCTTAACAGGAACAAATACGGCGACGTTCTGATTAAGACCAGGGGCAATGGCAAAGTCGGTCACGCCCTCGACGCGCAACTTGTTCCAGACCGTTCTGAGGTCGCTGCTGTTGTAAAACTGCACCTCGTTGGTGACAAGGCGCGCGCAGTGCTTCTCATCGGCTGTGTACTGCAGATTCCAGCCCGACTGCGACTTCTGGACAAACTTGCCCAGCGGCTCCTTCTCGGCCCCCTCGGCGACATCCTCAACGGTGTGCCAGACCTTGAGATTCTTGGTGGCGTCGCCGTTCTCGTCCTTGGCCGGGCGCTCCCAGGTGCTGAGATAGTTGCCACGGGGCGAGAACCCAAGCTCATAGACGGTCGGGAGGGGAAGCGTGGTGAGAATATTGCCAGCCGAAGCATCGGCGACAGCCACGACTTCGTTAGAGGCGTAGGCAAAGTACCGACCACAGGGCGAGTAGACACAGCACCGGAGGTTCCCTTCGGGCTTGACGAACCCAGGAAGCTCCTCGTAGACAGGCGCGGCGTCAAAGACGCCGATGGCCTTCTGGGTTCGGTACGCAAACTGCAATGGAGTCGCCATGACTAGTCAAAGCCACAGGTAGTCTCGATAGCAGGTATGGGTGGTGTTACTGTCTTGGTGTTTTCTCTTGCTGTCTCCCGATGGAGAGCCGTATTTTCGATTGTCGGGACGTGTACCGGACCAATTGGGCGGTGCGCTGGGACAAATCCGATCGAGAACGAGAAGTTTTCGATCGATCGATGGCCAAGAATGCGGGCTCGAGCACGGGTTCTTATTTATCAACGCTTTTAGCGGATAAACAACAGTCGCACTATTGATGATGGCGAACGGAGAGTAAACGGGGTCGGGATTCGACTCGCGGTACAACCTCAGATTACGCAGTGGGCGTCAGGCGATTGCTGGGGCGACGACACGAGGGATGGTGTGGGCCTTTGGAGGAAGACTCGACAAAGGAAGCCACGCACCACAAAGTGAGGGGGAAAACCGACCAACAAGAAGAGGGGGGACAGTAAAGAAGCGAAGGGCCCTTGGGGGGGGTAGTTGACAAGCGGTGCGTGGAGGACCGGACGGGCGTGCGGGAAGAAGGGGAGGGGAGTGGAAGGGAAGGAAAAGAAATAGAAAAGCGAATGGAGTGAGAGGGACCGGGACCGACGTCGAGAGCGGCAGTCCCACAGTCGCGACCATTTTTTTTAGCCTTTCTGCATGGCTGATTCAGGCCGTGCACAGCGGGGCAACCTGGAGCGCCACCACAGGGCTGGTTGGTCGAGACCTTTCCGATACAAGTTCCCCGTGCTAACACAGGACCCTGAACGCGTTTCAGTGGACGACCCGACTAAAACCCAAACTATCGGGCATTTGGAATGGTGAGTCTTGAACAAGATAAGAGTGGCGATCAAATTTTAAGTGCCATAATATTTCCAATATTCTCTATTGTTTACCGTTTCAATCCATGTTGCAACCAAATGTAAAGAGGTCTGTCGCTAACAAACCCAGAAACGATCAGGAAGCGGCCGCCAAGCCTGGCTGGGTTTTCTTGGCGTGAGATCTCGCCGCATCTACCGGGCCCGGAACCGCGCAACGGGTCGTCCCATAGCCCTAAAGCATCCAAAAATATGTTGAGCTTTAAGGAATGGGGGATTCATTGAACAGAAAAAGGCGCGAAAAAAACCCAGAGAATTTGGGTCATTTTATGAAGCGCTCGCCTAATCATGGACATGTCAAGCCGAAAATATTGACTGCGTCGAAGCCCAGAGTTGGGCATCAAATGGCCGACAAATAGGTTCCGCACTTGCATTTTGTATTCCAACCGCAGGGCAGCGAAGCGGAACGGATTCAATGGTTTATTTGATGGTTACCACACATCGAAGCCGTTATACAGTAACAGGAGGACATATTCTGTTGGTGAATGTGCAATTCTCAATCTCCGCGTCCACCGCATGAGAGGAGAGATTAGATGTGGGATTAACACGATCAATAGGTACGCCGTAAGCTCCTGCGTAAGCATGATACGAATTCGGTTTTCCAAAGCATAGTCATTAAGGAAGCGGCTCCCGTATCCGTCCGTCACCCCAACGTAATGGTGCATTCAATCAGAACTGTAGTCCATCGAAGTTTAACATCCACCTCGAATTACATCGGCATGTCAAAGATCTGCGGCCGTTGAAAAAAACAAGCCCGACAAGGTCGAGGCGGGATGTGGGTGGTGCTCGGGCCCCGGAAGAAGCCGCTGTGGGGGAGGAAAGACTGGGGAAATCCCACTTGGGTGGCGGCACGGACCAGTCAGGGGCCGCAACGCTAACTCCCCTTTGGGCAGCCCTGTTCAGCCGCATCAACGTCTCCTATCAACGTCCATCAACATTCGACTTCATCCTTTCGTTGCCTGATAGTCTCGTGAGGTTTGTTCCAAGGAGGATGGGGTGAGGGGGGGTATCTTCTTTGGTCCGAATTAATTTTCAAGTGGTTGAAAGCAATTTAGTGCTAATATCTTAGACATGTTCTCAATCCTTTTTTTGCGCTTAGTGTCCCCTTTTTTAGATCTTTTTTATACTTGGTGTCACGTTTTTTACTTTTAACCCCTTTATTTTGTTATTATCAGAAACGCAACCTTGTGATGATCTAGCTTGCTCTTCAACAACTCTCAGTGGTGAAGCAGCCCTGACTCTTGTTTGGATTGATTCTTACTACGGGAAAGCCTTGTCTGAAGTTACAATTGTCTTGTAGTCACAAAAATCTAGCTCTGCCCCTGTTTAGAACCTCGAGAAGTTACGGTAGACATAAAACGCACATCTCGCTATGGCCTGTCATCCCACCATATCTATAAGTTGGAACTGGGATACTTAAGCATTGAAGTATGCTAAAAGTCAACAGGTCATTTACATATGTGCGCAATTCGGAAGTAACACCTTTTCTTGCGTTGTTGAATCTGTCGAGTCACTGAATCCAAATGAACTCGAATAGCATTAGACCTTAACCACAAAGCCTTAATCACGGAGCCTCAACCATAATATCACCGACTCTGCCGTTCCAGTCTGTGTTTCGGACCAACACCTAGTGGTGCCCATGCAGCCATTCTTATCTGATGTTTACTGCTGGTGTCGTTTAACAAAGGCTCTCCCACATTAATCCGACTGCTTTTCTTTCCCGATTAACGTCCGATCTTTGGTTTCTTCCCGTTGACATGGCGGTACACCTCATCCTCACCGACGAAACGTGTTGTTCTTCACAACCGCGTGACCAGTAACAGAGCCTAGGGCATGGAAACTGGCAAGAGCACTTAGACAGAAATTGAAACAAAAGTTTACACTTCTAGTGCTGACATATCGCCGAAAACTACTCAGCGGAAGGTACGGAAACCTATCACTCCAACCTTTCACTCCGAGCCCTAGACCTAACTGCCCGGTCACCCAGGCGCCCGGGCCACCAGCAGAGGGGTATTTAATCCCAACTAGAGTTCCAAATCTGATCTTTTCTTCCTTTGTAACTATCACGACCCTCTTGGCCGCCCTTTCGTCTCGCTTCGGCCGCCCAATTTTTTTTGTTTCTTCATAAAAAAAAGTTCACCAGAGACGAGTCCAGTAAGTAAGTAATGTTCTTCAGTTCTTTTTACCTTTTTATATGCACTTGCGGCTGCTTTTGCGGAGCACGCAGGTCCTTTGGTCTCGGCGGCGCAAAACCCCACGAAACACCGGGTCGTCTTCACGATTGTGAGAGCCGCAGCACGTCGTCAGCACTCTATGAGTCTGGCGTGAGAGCGCTGCGTTTGACATTAGACTGTGGCATTCACCAGTCGGACAAGCATATTTTATCACCACTCTCTCCCCAATCCTATAGCCTGTTACTCCAGCTGTTTACCCAATGTGCTTTGGAGGACTACCCACTGCATGATTTTGAAGCTGACTCTGAATTCCTCCACAGAATGGACCAAGAGGACGACGGCACTGTGCCGTTGGGTCGCCGTGTGGTTTTCGGGGGCGGTAAGTTCCATTGCTTTAATGTTTCGCGCCTATCCTGTACTGTCCCGCCCGATGGCCTCGATTAAACCACCATGGCCTTCACAACAGCCGGGTTCACGAAGCCACCGGGGGTTGGTATAATATGCCAAGGGACCGCACCTACATGAGGTCACCGTCCGTGGCTCTTGCGGCTTTCTGGGCCGGCACGCGGGCCTTCTGCTGCGGCTGGAGACTTAGGGCTCACGACTCAAACATGAAGCCCGCGGCTTGACATCGTGGCTCGACAATGCCCTCGTCACCTCGAAAGCGGCCACTCACGCGCTTCGCACACAATCAGCTATGGACCCGCGTACCGGCCACGGAGAAGGATAAATTCGCCCGTCCAAGCCTGCGAATTTCAATCTTCCCCTCTTTCTCTTTTCCCCACGCTCGAAAACACACACAAAGCTGACTTTTTGTGTTTGTTCTCTGCCCCCAGACCCCGAAAACGCCGGCGACGGCAACAACAACAACGACGGCGCCGACGGCGCCGACGGCGCACCCTCTCTTTTCCCCTTCCCTTCGTTCCCGGACGGCAAGCCGTCCTCACCTTTTCCCTCCTCCCCGTCCGCCTCTTCGAGCGGTTTCTCGACCCTCCCAGAGGTATCGAGCGAGTTCGCCGACGAGGCAAAAATGGACCAGACCAACGCCTGGTTCCTGGGCCACCACCACACCCAGGTGGTGGCCAACATGCACAATAAGTTCCAGGATATCCTGGACTACGCCAAGACGAAGAATCGCAAGATTCTTCACATTGACTGGTATGTTTTACTCTATTCAGTTTCGTAGCATCAAAAGCATCGCGCAAGAGAGAGAAAACAATCCATCGGAAATTAGAAAATAATTGAGAAACATGGCTAACCACGGGCCAATTTGCCTCGGCTCTCCAGGATCGCTGGAAACCCCAACGATCCGGCCAAGTTGGCTGATGCTGCTGCCGCCTGGAGCGGCATGACCGAAGAGGAGCGCCGGCTCCGTGAGACCGTGGCCAGAATGGTCATGAAGCACACCCATGGCACGGAGAAGTGGGATGAGACCCTCACCGTAAGTATTTACTCATTTCATTATTTTTCAATACATTTTCTTCTATTTCTATTCCCGCTCCTACTCCTACTCGTACTCCTTCTCCTTCTCCTTCCTCAGATCCCCATCACGCTAACCACGAATATTTCTCTTCCACCAGTGGAACAAGACCATGTTCTTCGGTGACTGGCTGAACGACGACCGCGGGTTCCGCCAGTACTTCATGGAGGTCCAGATCAAGCGGATCTCGGGAGACGACCCGACCCTTCTCGAGCAGTGCGGCATCAGCAGCAACTACGTCTGGCTGCCCATGCACGACGAGCACGCCCCAGCTATCACCGCCCTCGTCTGCCCGCCTGCCAACCCCCGCCCTCCCGTCCTGGTTGCCCCTGGTGCTCCCATCATCCCGCACCGTCAACTCCCCGACCCGACCCAAATTGCTCGTGCTGGTGGCCCCAGTCGCCAGCAGGTCATTCCCCCGCCTGTCTCGGACCGTGCCACCACGCCCCAGCCGGGCTCGCCTCCCGTTTCTCCTCCGGCTTCGCCGCCGACTTCCTCTTCATCGTCTTCTTCGGGTTCTTCGTCGGATACGTACGAGTTCCCCACTGCCTCCCACATTGAGGGGGGCGGGGGCGGGGGCGGCGCTAACGATACTTTGGACTCCCCCTTCAACGGCGACGAGATTTATGAAGACGATGATGACGACGAGTATGAAGACGTCGACAGCGATAATGAGGATGATCATGGTGCCGATGCCGACAGAGATGTCGACGCTGACGCTGACGCCGACGCTGACGCTGACGGCGAATTTGACGACGACATGATCCAGCCCGAGAACCACGAGAACGAGACCCAGGATCAGAGCGAGACCCAAAGCCAGCCCACTACCCAAGACAAGGGCAAAGGCAAAGCTCCCCGCATCACGGCCGCCGAGTTCGCCCAGTCCCTCAAGAAGCGCACTCCACTCCCCAGCCTCAGCAACTTTGCCCAGCGCGTGGCCAACTGGGACATGTCGTCCTCTTCATCGTCTTCTGCTGTTGCCGGTCCCAGCAACCCTCCTTCGGGCACTTTTCGCCCGCCCATTGCTCCTCCCCCGGGTATCCCCCGCAGCCGTCCTCTTCCCCTGACCGCTGCCGATGCCGCTGCTGCGGCTGCCCGAGCCGCTCCCGGTGGTCGTTCTCGTCGAGGTTCCAACACCGGTTTCATCCCCATCAACACCAACCGTCGCGCTTCCACCCATTACACCTACAACAACGGCCGCACCCAAGCTACCACGGCCACAGCAGCGACCAGCAGCCTATCCGCCGACACCAATTCCGAAACCAGCGAGGACCCCTACCACAACGACCAAACCCACCTAACCTACACGACCCGCCCGGTCAACTCCTTCGACGCGGTAATCCCCGCGCACCACGTGCCGGCCCAAAGCGCCGCCGACATGTCGCGCCACCGCGAAGAATACGACCGCGCGGCCTACGCCAAGCGTCTCGAACTCGACCGCATCTTCACTTTCCTCCGCGAGCCTACCTTCGCAGCCCGCATGTCCAAATCCTACATCTACGCCGTGCGCGTCGTCGCCTTTCCCGACCGCGGCGGTAGTATCAATAACTTCACGGGTCCGTCTGTGGACGCTCGTCAGGGAAGTATCATGGCCTTGGGTGGCTGGGTGGTGCCGCCGATGGAGGAGCGGATCAAGTACCGCGAGGAGAATCCGGGTGCGTACCCGGCTCATAAGGCGGCGCCGCCGGGGACATATGCGGGCCCGCCGAAGCCGCAGGTGCAGAATGCCATGCCGGCGCAGCTTGACTGGTCGGCGGGGTTGGAGCCGCGGTATTTTGGGCCGGTGGCGCCGGTTTGGAAGGAGGTGTGTGAGCCGTCGTTGGAGGATATTTATTGGATGGTGTGGCAGCTGTTGGCGGGGAAGCAGTTCCTTGGATTCCAGCCTGGTGTTGGGTTTGGCAAGTCGCGGTTGAGGGCCTCGGGGGATTTGGAGCTGTTGCATCAGTGCCCGTTTACCAGCCCGTCCGAGGAGTCTCAGTACCAGGCGGCTTCTTATCCGCGTGGTAAGGAGACCAAGTAAGTTGCGCGACACACCACAAGCTCCATGATCATCGTCCATACTTCCGAGATTCCTTCGAAGAGTCTCCAACGATCATTATCACCATCTAGAACTTGAAAAGTCGACAGAGTTTCCATCTCTTGACCACACAAAACAACCAAACAACAACCGGCTCATTCTTATAATCAACACCGGTCATGTCAGAACTTACACCGCCAACGGCGCAACTTCCTTCTTTGTTTTGCCCATTTCACTTTCTCAATTTTCAACTGTCAAAACATAACACAAATCCCCACTCAACGGAACAACAACAACAAGTACGAAAACCCCCGCACCGTCAGTTCATCATCCCACATCTCGCTCGGCAACAACACATTTGCAGTCTGAAGATTGCCGGTGCTGTCTGTCCACAGCGACGGAATGAACAAACGAACGACAACGGTACGGCATTTCGGAATGTTTTTCACGCCTTGCCCGACTTAGGGTCTTGGGGTCGCTCATTTACCTTTTTCTTCTGTTTTACTTTTTCTTTTCACACTTTTTCTGTCTTCCCTTCCCAGGCCAGAGACAGAGAGGGAAAGGTTGAACTCGGGCCGTTTCAGGAACGAAGAAAGGAGTTCGACTGACTGATTGACTGAATGATGAACTGAATGATACTGAGTCGGGGAGCTCAGTGTCTTCATTTCTTTCCTCTCTCTTTCTTTCACTATCAATCCTTTCTTCGACGACTCTTCAAGAAGTTCTTCTATTTTCTCTCTCTCATTCGTCTCCTGTAACGGGGTTTCTTTATGCTTCACATCGGTCGGAATCCGATCTCGATCGGCAAAAAAAGAAAAACGGAAACGGACATAAGATCCCACTAGGTGATGGAATGGTTTGACTGAGCTGGGGAGCCCGGTTCATACCTTTCTACATCAACCCGGTCATTCTTACAGTCCTTTCCACTTTTTTCGCTTCTTTTTCTTCTACTTCTTCCACTTCTTCTTTACACTCGGCTAGGGTAGGGCTTACGGAGTTCAAGGTTAAAAGGTTGATGATGATGATGAAGGAATGATCATGACCATGATGATTGATACCCATGGGGCAATGGAAATGGCTGGAAGGGGGACGGCGTTACATGTCAGATTAGTAAACTTGCTCTCTCAACTTGTCTTGTCTTTATTACAATGGAACGGTTCTTTTCATATTGTGGCCTGATCTAGGCGCTTGATTGTGAAAATGCTGATGCTGTGAGAGGTGTTGTTGTCTGCAGCATTCCGTGATATCATGTGATGTGATGGACGGAGCCAGGCCTTTCCATATGGAAGACACAATACCCTTCCACAATCCCTCTCTTATCTCCCCCTCTCTAAACTGTTGGTCCTCTTCTATCCCTCCCTCTTTCTGGTCTAGTGCAGTGTACTGCCATCTACAGCGTTGCGTCCAACGAAAATAACCGGCCGTTCAAACACAGCTGAAGTTATATGCAGCGTGACGTCGTTTACCGATGCCGATCCCTTCCCGCTTTCTTGGCACAAGCGGGAGTGGGAGAGAACTTTCGAGGTGAGCCAAAAACACCACGATACCCATAACTTTGGTTATCTCCACTGGACTCGCAAGACCCGGTGTCTATGTATTGGGATTATGGTGGGTATTCTTTTTCATGTCGGGACCTCCGGGCGGAACTAACCCGAGCGTCAACTTAATATGGACCCCCACATGGGGGAAAATGCAAGGAGGTTGTGGAAAATGTTGACTACCTTAAGTGAGTGCGGACATTGGGGGAAAAGGTGTCAGTGAGTGAGTAACGTTATCCAGCTCAACTCTGACGACAGTGCCTTATGCTCGTGGGTTTCACTAGGAACATGATCTTTTGTGTTAGAACTGTCAAGCTTACAACCACCGTACGAACGAGTAACACAAGCCCTAAGTAAAAAGTAAAATAAAAAATAATGGAAAACCGCCTTACCTCTACAACCTAAATGATCATGGGAAAGTGACCTCGGTACACACACAATGAGAGGACCCCAAGACCCTGAGACCCTTCTCCCCTTTTTTTACACCCCTCCCCTTTTCATTTCCTCGCGAATCTGATCTCTCGATTCCACGCCGAATTCGCATCCCCCTCCGACCTCCGATCTTCTCGCCTCCTCGCCGATCACCTTCTCTTTTCCCCTTTCGCTTACTCGCATTTCCCGGGACTCAGAAACATGGTAATCCCAGCTTCGCAGACCCTCAAAATGCACACCAGCCACAGCCACAAGCCACGTAGTTCCCCTCAAGCTAGGACGTGCACGGGGGGCGTGTTTGTGTGCTCGGTCCCCCATGGGACAAACACACCTCTGGCCGAGAAGGGCAACTCCCCTCGCTGATCGTGTGGCGCCAAATTGTGGCTTGCGCGTCCATGATGACATTGAAATTCTTGACAACTCCTTTCATGCATGTATGTACCAGTACGAGACGGAAGATGAAAGTGTGTGCGATTCAGTCTTCCGGACCGCTAAGCACTTAAGCGGGAGTTGTACACACCCTCGACTGCCGGCCTTCCCCCCATTTCGGTAGCTGGAAACCCCTGGTGTCGCCTTTGAGCCATTGTTGCACAAGTGGCGCTGTGATAACTAGTAGCAGTCATTATGATGTTCTCCCGGGCCCATAGGTACGTTTTCCGTTTACACTACAGTCCTAAGGCCATGGCCGGGAGATATTCGCGGGCAGAGCTGCCGTTGATGGAGTGAGCTATCGAGCGGGAGAGGTCGGCTCCTCGAGCCGCGAGTTGTGGCAAGGCGAGGGAGCCCGGGGTCTCGGTCCGATTTGTGGCGTTAACCGGAGATGGGGTTTAAGGGCGCTTGTGGGAGACCGTTTTTCATACTGAGGTTATTCCCGAGTAGACCAGCCGCTGCTAGGGCCCTTCCCTAGTCTGGATATTGCTCGGAATCTAAGCTCATCGAGTTCTGCTCCCCTCTCTGCTCCCCTGGTGTCGTGGCCCAATGTCCCTCTGAATGCTGAAACCCGAGGCCGCACCCCCAGCACAATGGTGCGTGGCCATGCCTACAATCCCCTTTTCACCGGACACGAAATCACCAACCATGAGAGACAAATTGTGACACAGCGTAACCCCAAGTTTTGACACAACTGTTCCTCGCGAACCCCATTGGCGGGGCGTCGTCCCAGACGCGCGGCAGCTCGCAGTCCCGAGGACCGCTCACCACGCTCCCGCCATCCGGTGATCGACACGATGATATCCCGATTTGGACTCCGTGACCTGGGCTGGGGGGAGGGGTGACCATAGAGATCCATGTGGGTTGAGACATTTTGATCCCGTGGCAGGAGGGCTCCATGTCACAGAGGGTCACCTCCAACACTGCTCGTTCACGAACATACTCGCGCGAGGCTGTCGTCGGAGGGAGAAGGTGTAGGACCTCACCCAGAGCCCAGCGAGAGGCCGTTCCGATGCCTACAGTCCGAGCCGGCCGTCAGTATATGTGTACTTACTATCACTCGACAGTTCCGCCGATATGGTCGAGAAAAGATACCACATTGGTACTCCGCGATCCCACCGATCTCACCGATCCCATGAATGCCAAGCCGTGCAATTGCGGCCCGCGATGAGTGGAGGTCGCAACGCATGCTGCACAAACTGCGCTTTCGGAACATCTGTGCGTGGGTGGTCGACGTTCATGCCGCAAGGGCAGCGTGATCAGTGAACAACACGTCCCTGCGCCAACATGCCGGCATGAGTTCTCAACAGTCCGTCGCCCTTCATCCGTACCGTGAAACATTAGCAGGGGCCAATTCATAAGTTTAACACGGAGGAAGGCGAAAACAGCCTCGCAAAACATCCCACCTGCTTCGCCTAAAGCCGTATCCGCTCCGGTTCAATCGGGAACCGAGTCAAAATTAGTATCTAGCGACTCCGAGCGTCTGCTCCGCAAATGCATTCCTTTTGGAGGAGTGTTTATCAAACTGATAAGAAAGCGGTGATATCAGCTCGGAGATGGCACGCGGGAGCGATAGTTAGTTGAAGGCGCTAGGTTTAATTCAACGAGCTCCGGCGACGATAGTGGCGAAAGGATGCGGTACACTTGACGCGATCAGGTCGAGCCAAACACTCGTGTGTTTTATCTCAGTCAGGCGACCAGAATCCATCGCGCTTGCCGCAACGATAGTGGAGCGGCAGGGAAGCGCCTGCCATTTTTGTAGGTAAATAGAGGTTTCTCTGATCATTTGTTTTGAGAAGGGAAAGAGCCCCCAGCAGTAATAATAGCCACCATATTGGGTGCGGCGTATCGGCCGAAACCGCGCGAGACGAATAATACTCACGTTTGGTATCGACGGGGGTATGCAAACTGTAACTGTTTGTTTGTTGCCGTCGACGATGGCCGGTGTCAATTATATTGGGGAGTCACCTGGTTAACGCCACACCGAACTAGAGACTCCGCCTGCCGCCGCCACACTAGTTTGTGAGATGTTGTCTCAGCGTGTGTGCGTGCTTGGCTGGGCGCGTAAGCGGTCATACTCGTAAAAACAGATCCCAGATCCCATCTCGGTGCTTGACTGAGTGTCTCGGTACTAGACCATCTCGGCACCGGACCGTCCCCAAGTTTTGACCATCCGAGATAACTCACCCACCCATTTCCCAACAAGCCTCCTCGCGCTAAAGTCCCACCCCGGAGGATGTCCCCACTCGGCCCCCGCCTCCCCTGTGTGGAAGAGAAGACGGAATGAATCTCGGCTCAAAAGTCGCCACTGAGCTAGCGGTTCATCTCAAACGGAAGAATTCCGTGCTATGGGTGAGAAATTCATGATACTTGCGAGCGTTGGTTCCCATCAACTCCAAACCGGATATTCGCGAGTAGAAAAAAAGGAGAATGTCGTTCGATAGACACTGTGTTTAGAAAAGTGGGGTTTAATATACAGGTTCAGCTCTGCATCGATCGTGAAAAATGGTCGTGGGGGCTCACTTCGACTCGTTGCGCATGACAGGGACAAGGGGTTCGGCCTTTTTTTTTCACTCCCCCTCCCCCCCGCCTTTGGCCGAGCCCAGCCTGAGGTCTATTGAAGGAGACCTAAAAGACAAATTCCACCTCTGCTCGACGGAGGTGAGGATGACGATGTATCGGGCGAGGAATATCGAGAGGCCAAGAGAGAAACACCAACGGATCTAACGGAGCGCTTCATTTTCCCTATATAAAAACCATCTCCCAATGAAAACGATCAGAAGATAGCAAGAAGAATAGACACAACCGGAAAAAGAATATAAGTAAAATACGTGAAGATGAATCACAGACAACATCGGCCCGTAGATGGGGCCTGGTATCTCGAATAAAAAGGGGGAGAAATGTCGCAAAGAAGAGCAAAGAATCAGATCCCAAAATGAGACCTGATTTTCAGACCTCCCCGTCCGCGTGCCCACCAGTCAGTTAATCCACCAAACCGAGACGAACGACCCTTTACCTCTCAACAACGCCGCTGCCACCAAGTGTGCACACATATTGTATCCCAGCCGGTAATATTTTGACGTGCCTCAGCCGACCCGCCCTTCGTTTGTGCCAATCCCATAAAAGATAGCTGGGTCGACGCCAGACACCACCTCCCCATCCAGGAATGTATTTTACCCCGTATCCACCACTCCCCTGATCCGTTTCGTTTCCCAACCCAAGTCGCCAGCCACTCCCATCATCCACAGTCCGATTCATAGGGCGCGTAACAAGCAAGGACAAAAGAACAAAAACAAAAACGAATCAAATCAGTACCGCAGCCTCAGCTCAACCGCCCCTTGGCCGCTGCTCTCCGGCGACGGCAGGTCCGATTCGCCAGGCGCATCGATAGCCATCTCCCACTCCCGCTTAATACCACTGGGACTGCCAATCTCGACAATCTCCAGCGTCATATCCAAGCCCTCGGGTAGTTCCCGGACCACATCGTCGTCGATCTCGACCTCTAACCCGCGCGGCTCGACCACGTGTACCGTGCGCAGCACCCGCGAGGTGTCGAACCCCCATTTCGCGGCTAGGCGGGCAACCAGGTCGCGTACGGTGCGCTGCGTGAGGTAGACGGCCCGGTGCATTTCCGGGTTGCCCGTGGCTGCACGGCGGGCGACGTAGAAGCACGCGACGGGTTTCGGCCCGCGGTCGGCAGGTGGGCGGTAGGTGGAATCCACGCCGAGGGCCTCGATCCAGCCGGTTAGATTCCCGGCTTCGTCTACTTGCCGGACCTTGGTAGCTTGGTGGGGGTCGCGTGATGGAGGGTCAGATGCGGGTCGACTGCCGCTTGCTTGGAGGTCTTGCCAATGTGGGGGTTTGCCGGCAACGGAGGCTTGGGAGTGAAGGGAGAGTGAGCTTGGAGAGGGGGAGACAAGGGAAGAGCCGGCTACGGAGCTGCGGCCGGAGCGCCAGGCGTTGCTCTCACGTGATTCGACTTTGCTGAGCTCGAGCGATTCGCCCGGGAGAGAAACTGGGTGAAGGTCGGGGTCGTCGGGGTCTTCGCCACGTAGGTAGAGCACGCTCACGGGCCGGGTGCTGGTAAACATGTCCTGAAGGGTTTGAAGCTTGAAGTGCAGGTCCTCCTCAAGTGGTACCCGTGGGCCGCCACCGCCTGCCGAACTGGCTGATGACATGGACCAGGTACGCTTGTGCTTCTGCACTTTGCCCGGCCGCTGGCTGCCCTGACCCTTCATCTGCGAACCGCCGGCCCTCTTCCGCTTTCCGAAATCTTTCATCCCACTCTCGGCTTGCGCAATCTGCTGTTTCAACTTGTCGATGGTCTTGCGAACGTGGGCCACATCGTTGGAGAGTTTCCGCTCGGCGCCGTGGTCGCGGAACAATTTGACCTTGCAGTAGCAGATCTCAGGTGTGTTGTTGCTCTCAGCCGCAGGTGATCCGTCGGCCGGAAGCTGGTGGGTTTTGGCGCACAACCGGACCGGGATGCCTTTTACGCCCTTGGAGTGGCTGAAGTCTGTTGAGAGGAAGTTGAAGCGAACCGCAATGTTGCACTCGACCGCACCGTTCACACCGGGAGTCCACACAACGGAGAAGCCGTCGAAGGAAAAGGTCTCGAGCTCAATCCGCGTTTTCTTGTCATCCCCTTCCGGCGGTTGGCCAGCCTCAACATACTCGACCGCCTGGAGCTTTCCTCCTCTTTGATGAGCCTCATTGGTGCCCCGGCCCTCCTTCCACAAGCTCCAGCACACCCCGGGCTTCAGTCGCTGCTGCTCGTCTTCGAACGAGACCCTCACAAAGGTCCGGAATCGCGTGCCGGGGGCGATCGGTAGTGTGGGCGTAGTATCGAGAATCGACAGGGAATATGCCTGGCCCTTGTTTAGATAGGTAACCGGAATCTCATCAGCGTGTTTGATCATCGCCGTTGGCGCGTTCAGGGCGGTGTGAAAGCGGAACTTCTCGGCTGAAGCGGGGAGCGGTACCGACATGGGCATTCCGAACTGCCTTGTCTGGAAGGCCACCATGGCGGCCTGGTTTTGGAAGCTGCCGTCGATAGAGGCGATCCGATCGTCGGCGTGGTCCGAGTCCATGGGTGAGCCCTGGTCCATGGTCTCGTACCCCGTGTCCTGGTGTATGAAGGAGGATGGGGCGAAGGAGGCCTGTGCTGCGGGAGGTTGAATGAAGGCGTTGAATTGCGGGAACTGTTGGGGGTGGAAACCTTGGAAAGCCGCCATGTCCATCGTCCCAGCGCCCGAGTGTACCGCGCCTCCGGAATGGGGCATGGATAATGGGGTCCCAAGACCCATTCCTAGGCCGAGAGTGGGCGTGTGAAGGTCGCCGGCTTGAGGGTGGTAGATAGTGTTCGTGCCGCCCGGGGTGGGCGTGTAATACCCCGGTGCCTGGTTTGCAAATTGCGCAAAGGAGAATGATGCCGGATCCAGCAACGACGGAGTAAAGCGCCAGGGATCGTTCGAGGCCCGTGGGGTCGGGTCTTGGTCGCGGAATGCATCGTGGCCCAAACCATGCGGTCTGTAGAGGAGTGGAAACATAAGCGTTAGCTCGGGTGCAGCTCTGCCAGCTGGATTAGTCTGAGGCGAGACAAACCTTTCGGGTCCCGTGCCCGAGATCTCGGGGTGTCCGGCGGTTGCGGTCCGAGCCGGGCCAGCGACCGCCGCGGTCGAGCCGACTGCCGCAACTTCAGGAAACTGTTGCCTAAAATTGGCCAGCAGGTCGTCCCCTGGCTTTTGCGAACTTGTTCTGTGACGTGATGGGCATTAGCGACAATTTTTTAACCGTGCGCATGTCCCCCACGGGGACGGCAACCCGCGCGCATCCAAGCGCAACCGAGCTTGGGTCATAAGAGAGGGCATTCCGAGCTTACCGCTGGCGAAACATGGCTGCGGCGGTGTGGGCGAGGCCACAAGATCAGGAAGAGAGGCGCAAATAACGCAAGTGGTTGTTTAGAGTAGTCGTCGTCGCCGTTGTCGCTATGGTCGTCGGGATGTAGCGGCGCGGGGCAGCCCTCGAGGTACGTGTTGCTGCGTTTCTACGGGAGCGCGCACAGCCCTCCTGCAGGGCAAGCGAAAGAACAGTGGGCGATTCTCTCCGCTGCTGTTCGAGCGTGCTGCAATAGCACCACGACCAAGTCGATGTGCGTTGTTAACTGCGGGCAAGAACGGGAGGTAGTTGAAACGAGAGTCGGTCGGGTAGGTAAAAAACGAGAGAACACGGCAAGCCGCCAGAAGGTCAAGCTTAGTAGATATGACGAGAAGTTTTGTGGTCGCATAAGGGGGGGGGACGTGGGCTTTGGCGCTGGGGGTATATACCAGCCCGCAGCCGCTAATGCACTTCCCCACTGTCGAAAAAATGCAGTGGATTCCGAGCGGCCCAGGTTTGTGTGTGTGCGCGCAGGCGGTGGAGGAGGAGTGGAGCGGCCGTTCCGAAGGACTTCGAGACGAGAAAGCACTAGAAAAAGGGTTCGGTGGAGAGATCGAAAGAAAGCAGGTACCCTGGCGAGTGTGCGCGCAACGGGGCCCCAGAATACCACAGTACCGAGGAGCGAGAGAACCGGTGGGAGGAATTTGGGGGAACGAGGTGTGGCTGTTAGTTACTGGAAATACGGATGGGGTGTCCGGAGGACCGAGGGGTTTCGAGTCCTCCTCGGCGAAACTTTTTCTTAACGAGGCGTGCAGGGACATGGGGCAGGGAGAAAAGAACCAATACTATTGGCTAGGCGAATATTCCGATTCTCTGGCTCGCAAGCTCGGCTCGATGACAGCATGACGGCTCCCCAACAATAATCGAGGGTAGAAAGAACTACACAGGTATGTACTGTGGTAATATTGGTAATGTAATAAGTATGAGAACATAAAACATGGCTGGTGTGAAAATTCAAGCATCGGCTCAAATTCGGACCTCGCGCCGGACTCACGATGCGGGGAGATGAGGCGGCCCAGGAATATGTTGTTACCGGGGCAAGAACGGGCATGATCGTTTTGACATCGACACTCGCGAGAGTAGGAGCAAATCAATGATCTATAATTCACGTTGCTTCATAAACGTGGCGCGGCCCTATAATTCACATTATTGGGTAGCTACACTCGCGAGGGTCACACTTGGGTAAAGTACCGATACCTAAACATCTCAACGATCGTCGCCACGCATTGCGCAAGTCATGGCGATGCACCGCTTCTCAGAAGGGACGGACGAAACGGATTGCTGAATCGGGGTATCCACAGTTGGTGTAGGAATAGCTAAACTCAATAGGAAATCGGATTTCGATCAAATTCCATACATTGACACACAATTGACTATGAACAATGAGATGGGCTAAACAAAAGAGCAGGAGGTTTGTCCGGCCGGAAGATGGGGCTGTGGCTTGGGCAACGCCACGCCTGACCCGCTAAATGTCCCGTCCAAATTTGGGGGGTTGCATCAAGCTGCCGGAGAATCTCTAGAACTTTTGAGCGTTCACATCAAACCTCAGCCGTGGGATTGCCCTCGAGTTTGGGCACTGACGGAACCGAAAAAAGGCCGCCTGACGGGTAGTACTTTACGACTCTGCTTCTGAGAATCACGACAACTTTACCACAAGAGATGGAACGTTTACACCCCCTCAATCATGCCCAATCGCAGAGTACAGCCTCTCCTTGAACCCGAAGGCATTGCAGGGATCTGCAACCCCATGAATGGCGCTAGTCAATCGGGTTGAGCGAAAGATAAGAATGACGTCACCCGACAGCTTGCATTCTCTGGCCCCTGCGCATGGCCTCACGCCGGCGTCAACCGGTCGAATGTCTCCAACACGGGCTGAGCATGCGGTACGGAGAGTACGTAACATGTATTCGGACAACCTGGGTGCCGTACCATTTCATTGACTGAACAGACATTGTGCACATTTGGGAGATTCGAGAAACGGCTGGTCGGTAACAAACGACTGTACGATGTCGTGTCATGTACGAGAAACAAACCGAGGGTTGGGCGGGCCGTATCCCCGGCTGCACGTGGGAACTAAATTGCGCAGTGCCATCGGCCACGGGCCTCCCCGGCTCAATCAATACAACTCACTAGCACTGGTCCCGCGTGCCGACTAAGGTGCTTCTGGAAGTATTCGGAAACCAGGCTTGCCAGGCAAGTTGGTGACAAAATAAGCGGCGGTGCAAAAGTATCAGAACCACCACAAACCGCCACTAAAAGGGCATTTCATGCCCGTTTTCTCTCGCGACTCTTGCAAAACTGAAGGATCCAATCCAGCGACATCTTACTCCGATTCTAATGTATTTTTTGCACCGGATAAGTGTCATCAAATTGTGGTGATATGCTGATAGTTGGTGGTTGGGATACTTTGCACCGCCCTTTTTTTTTGTCCCCAACTTGCCAGGGTTGACTGTCCTGTCGAGTAATGAGCACCTCATGGACGGACTCTTGCATGCTGCAAAGCCTGCAGCAGCACCAGAGGTTCTCGGAACCCATGGAGCCGTGCGGCCCCGAGCAGTGCGGCCCGGAGGAGTGCGAGACGGTCCGCTCCAGCTACCGACCAACAGAGCGACGCAGGGTCACGCCCAAAAAATAAATAAACAGTACAGGAGGTTGTCAGCGCTCTGGGTGCGTTTCTAAAATGATATCAAGCCTCTCGGTTGCCCTCCTTACTTGTAGTTATTTCACGTCTAATCTATTACTTAAGCCCAAAGATTAAACGACCCCTACTTTGTAGTGGCTCCGGACCCCCGGCATTTAGGTATTAAACCGGCAGCAAGGTTACCTACCTCCCGGCAGAAAGCCGTCTCGACGCCCCGCATCTCCGGTCCCGGCAACCACAATACCCCCCGGACTTCAGCAAGTTGAAATAAATACACGGATACACTACAATACTAGTGTAATAAATATCAAAAAAGAGTAAGATGAGTTTATGGGATCCGCCGCAACGGTCACCGGTTTCTTTCTCGTTCAGTCGTCATGTGTACCGTTGGTGAAAACATGACGTCATTGTTTCATCCTCGTCTCCGTCCCCCAAATTTCGACAGCAGACGGAAATTGTGGTCGGTTCATGGAGCTTGGGCGCCAGGCTCGCAGGGCACCCAAAGCCGTGCATAAAATGCAGGCCTTTTACCCCTGACAGTTGGGCAAATCGCTCTGCGCGTTCGGGATGGTCAACACCATTTTGTCAAAATGCATTGGACCACGAGACTCAGTCGGATATGCAGCCATTCGGAGGAATCGACCCAACGTGTCGTGATTTAGCAGCGTGGATCACAGCGCCCAAGGATTTGACAACCGTGTCTTGCCGTCCAAACACCGATAGAACGATTGGGTAGCTTCCACCTCATGGATGGGTCGCGTGTGTTTTTCTCTCATGAGGTCGGCCCCCGCTCATGACCCCAGGGCGTCATTTCTTGGCAGCCTTCTCCTTTGCACAACCACGCAATGGGGGTATGACGTCATCGTAAGATTGGTAAAAAAACACACGTGCCGTCGCAGACACTGGCATTGACAAACAAGACCCCTGCCCGCCTGAACAAAAATGACTTGCTGCCGGACACAAACGCGGCAACCAATCACCGTCACTTCCAAACACAACGGCCCCTCCTCCGGGCGCGAGACGGGATCCGGGTAAAAAACGGTAAAATGGGAGGACCGTGGGCTGCGTGGGACATCGGGACCCTTGTAACAAATGCGAAGGAGAAAGAGCGCCGGGGCAGCGCCACACTCGAAACACCGAACAATCACCGCTCCGAAGGGAGCTCGGAAGCTCGTGAGAAAAACGAAACCCAAAGAAATCGACAAGGTGTGGGTGGTCCGACTGCCGGAGTGGCCCCCATTCGGCACTATCCCCGACGACACGGATCAGCTCGCCGTTGCGCGCGGGATGGCTGTGCAGATTGCCGGTCCGGCACTGCTGCCGTTCGTCTCCTCCCGTCGTGCCAGTCTCTAAGATTCTACAGATTCACCTCTAGCATGTCCAAGTGTATCTCAACAGTCTTTTGAGGTAATGTGGGCGCTTCTAGTTCCGATATCCGCCTTGTCCGCTATCAGCCTCTTGAAAACGAATCTCAGGATTTCCTCTCAGAGCGTACATAGTAAGTGTTCTTCATGGATCATCTCTGCTCATTAGCAAATGGGGCGAGGAGAAGGTGAGGTAATTGCATCGACGAGAAAAGCTACGACCCGTCCTCGGTTGTCGAATTGCCATCCAGAATTGCATCGAAGCAAAAATCTACGTTCGCCAAAAAAAGAAACCGCCCATTCAACACGACGATGCAGTCCAACCCAACCGCACCCCCCTCCTCTCCCATCCGGGAGAGGATCGGCCTGCGATTCTCCTCTGTGAGTCTCTCTGGAAATGGCTGAATGGTTACAAAATTTCTCGAACCCGCCACCCCCAAAAGCGCTTTGGTTCTTTTGCGGTTCTCCAGTCAGACATGACAGATGGCCGAAAACGTGCTTCCCAATGTCACATCGCCCCGTCAATAGCGGTCGTTTGGCCTGTCGCGTGCCCGCTAGGATGTTTGCAACTCTCCAATTCTGCGAGGCTGAGCAAGAGTGCAAGCCGTGTGTGCGGAACATGGGGCGGAAATGAGGTAGGAGAGAAAGGACCAAATATGGTTTTACCCCTTTGCCCTTCTCGTAACAGAAAGGAGTAGTTATATGATATGATACGAGTAAGGGATGAAGTTGGAATGTGATCCCAGACTCTTAATCCCATTGTACAAGATGAGATGAACACGCTGTCATCCAATAAGCTCAACTCAGACATCGCAACTAAGACTTTTGCGTCTGCCACCACGGATTTGGATGCTAACTAGAAAGATTGATGGCATTTTCACATCTCCCCATCTTGGTGGGACTATCAATTCTTCGGTGCTACTAATAAGCTTAGCGATGGTCCAAAGCAACAGTTGCATGCATGATAATATGTGGAATCATCTACGGTAATAATACTCACCTTATTGCAAGCCTCGGCCCGTTTACCGGGCAAGCTTCCTTTAGGGCTGCGAATCACCACGGAGCTGGTGTATGTAACGGGAACTTGCCGGTATTCCCACTTCGTATTATCAATTTATTTCGACGTTTTTTTGAGTTGATCGGCACAAACAAGCCCAATAGCTCGACACCTCAGCAGCGCAGCCTTCGCACGAATTCATTCTCCCTGCGCTTTTGCCGTCAACGTCCCGTCATACAGCGCTGATCCTTTTAGGGAGGAAAAACGGGCAACATATTTTGATCTCTTCACACGTGTGCACTAGGTACATACGGAGATTCAGAGGGTAAAAATATCATGCGATCTTCGTGTGAGCGCTTGCCCGACGATCAAGACTCGTCTCCGGGAGAGATCATCTCGTATTCGGGCGGCCCTCCGTTGTTTTGCGTCTCCTACTTGCCTCGACTTGCGGCTGGCGTCGTGTTGGAGGTCGCAGTTTTTCCCGTCTCCTCCTATTTTGGATGTATTTTGTTTCCCGGCTGCGATTTGCCCTGCGAATAACGGTGGCTTCCCTTGAGGGTGTGCTCGGTGTGTGCCGGCAGACGGCGTCATCGGGGGATCCGCCGGCCGGCCTCTTGCATTCGACGGAGCTTCGCCCGGTCCGGAGCGGGGACGCTAGGGTGGGGGAGTGTGCTTAAAACAAACAGAACTCAACACTCCAAAATACGGATACACTACAGTGCATGCGTACGGCATACTGCCAATGTCTTGCACACGGCCTCAAATCTGGTGGCAAAAAAAAAAAAGTCCACTCGCGGTTCGCACCCTTTTCGCGAAATGGCGATCATATGAAGTTTGGAAACCATTCGGGCGGCCTCTGAGCGGAGCGGCGTTTAACGGTTAAAGCTTCGATTTTCTCCAGAACGTTACCAAGCTGCAACGTCAAACTCCTTTGCGTTGCTCCAAGCATACTTCCTCTCTTCGTGTAAATAGGGAGGCTGTAACACTAGACGCAAGAGATATAGTGTATTAGGTGAAGGTAATAGGTTGCTAGGGAAGACGTGTAAAATGTTCCCTTTGGCCCCTAGGCAGGCCGATATGCGACAAGTTTGAACCAATTTCTGACCGTTCGAGGATCGAGAGATAGAAACGTGCAGATTGAAGCAGAGGAAGCTAAAATCTCGAGTTAGGATTAGCCGCACGCGTAGGCTTCTGCCCACAAGAAAGGGCGCATCCTGGGTTTAGTATCAAGCTTTAGTCTTTTACTTGGAGTCAACCAGACAGGATTGTGGCGTTGTCCACTGAGTATTGGGCATAGGTCCAGCGAAGAAAGACTTTCTGACCGTGAAGGCTCAGCGAGCTTATGTTCTTGTGGCCACACGGATCAGAAACGACAAGTGGCCGAATATGAGACTGCCTTGCAACACTGAAGAGGCGGCATCCCCCCACACAAGATAAAACTGGCGTTCCTCAACATGAGCACGGGTACTTTAAATATGCCCATCAGAAGGTGAGATGCACCTTCCAAGATTGGGCCTTCCACGGCCTCGTGTGAGAGATCGTCCGGATCATTGGCTGGTTTCTGGCTTGAATGTCGCAAGAAGTCAGAAAGGCTATTCGCAGCCTTCTCCTGGAGTTGAGGGTCGGCGAGCTGATAGGAACTCCTGTTTCGCGCTCGTGGTTGGATGATTGGTCCGTGATTCGTCCCCAGGCGCTGGCCATAAAACTGTGCCGTGACCGCGGGGGCGACCGCGGGGCAGACCACGAGACAAGCTCAGGCGCCCTCTGATCTTGTGAAAGTAAGATTACCTACAATAGGATTGCTCCCTATTTTTATAAAATTATGTTATGTTTGAGGCCCTCCCTGGAGTTAAAAATTAAGTCTTCTCGGAATACTTCTCCTATTCACGTATGCAAAGAATTGCACTTCCTTCTTCCATTGGCTGACGGCGGTGAGCTGTTGTAAACGTTAAGGTGCAACTTCCGCTTGTGTTTCGGGCTACTCTTATGGGTGGAGACCCCTCAAACAACCCCCTCTTATCGGTCACCGCTCGCCTTATCAGGTGCCTTGTAATAGTGGCTCCCGGCCCGCTGATCGGCCACTGACCGGGACCTGTCACGACGCCCTGGGGGGTTTACTCCTCGACCGCCTTCCTTCTCGTCGACAACACCGACTCCTCGTCGTCACCTCCTTTGTTTTCATAGATGGACTGGCTCCTGAGGCTTTGCCGGAAGTAACCCGAATACTTGCCCCACCGAGAACCCTTCTTTTGTTCCCGAAAGCTGCATCGTCAACCGAACGCCCTTACCAACCCGCTTCCGCCATGTGGGCGTTTTCGTCTTCGACTACCCCGGCTGCGCCGTCACCGGATGCGGCGCCGTCAGAGGACCCCCAGAATGACGGATCGAAACTCAAAACCTTCATTTCCATCCTGAGAAAGTAAGCTTTGCCGTTCTGGATCCGTTTGCCCCCGTAGCTCCTTGGCCCCTAATATGAGCACCACCTCCTGGGGACCACGCCTTAGCGGGTTGCGGGCCGAGAAGTTGAATTACCGAGACGGACATTGTGCTCACAGTTCTGAATAGGTTCATCGGCGTGGCCGACCTGGCGTCGGTTCGCTTCTCGTTGCCATCACAGCTCCTCGAACCCACACCGAATCTCGAATATTGGAACTACCTCGACTCCCCAAACGCCTTCGTTGCTATCGGTACCGCAGATGACCCAGTCGACCGAATGCTAGAGGTGTTGCGGTTTTGGTTTACAAAAGACCTGAAATATGCAAAGGGGAAGCCTTGCAAGCCGTACAACTCTTGCCTGGGCGAGTTCTTCAGGGTAAGTGGGGCTTCGCTAGGACGCAGTGAACAACCCGGGGACAATGCAAAGAACAACGAGGTGCTAGGAGCTGATGTTATGGCTTGGTCAGTGTAACTGGGAGACCGACGATGACGCTCCCAAGATCGACACAACCGTACTTCGCCAACTTGGCAGTGCCCCGAACAGCAGCGCTTCGAGTGTTAAGTCGAATAAGCTCGCCGTGCCCAATGGCCTTGGGGCTGGCGACTCCCGCGGCGCCTCGACGGTGTCGGTCTCACAATCAGCGAACAACTCGGGCAAGCCCGTTCGGGTTTCCTATTTAACGGAGCAGACCTCTCACCACCCGCCCGTCAGTGCTTTTTACATTAGCTGCCCAGAGAAGGGGATCCACGCGAAGGGCTTCGACCAGATTACCGCCAAATTCACGGGAACCTCGATCAAGGTGATGCCGGGTGAGCATAATTTGGGCATTTTCATCACGGTGGAGCGCCGTGACAACGAGACTTACCAGCTTACCCACCCCGCTGCCCACCTCGGTGGTATTCTCCGTGGCGCGTTGAGCGTGAGTGTCGGCGACATGGCTTACATCACTTGCCCTGAGACGAAATTGAAGGCTATCTTGCGGTATTACGATGACGGCTGGCTTGGACGGACCACGAACAAGGTTGAGGGTGTCATCTTCCGGTATGATCCGGAGAACGATGATAAGCGGCAGATCCAGGACGTCGCTGAGGAGGACATTCTCGTGAGACTTGGCGGGCCGTGGAAGGAAAAGATTGTCTTTACACTAGGTCCCAAGCCACTGGTAAGGGCTAACCGATCCGGCTACGGTGTATCACAGTGCTAACCTATGTCTACAGGCCTCCCACCCCCCAGAACGCCAGATCACCATCATCGATATTGCACCCCTCTCTGTCGCCCCCAAAGTGCTTCCCCCGGTCGAGCAGCAACTACCCAACGAATCCCTTCAGCTTTGGGGCGAAGTCACCAAAGCCATCCTTGCCAAGCAGTTCTCCCGGGCCACGAGTGTTAAGCAAGAGCTGGAAGAGGCACAACGTGAAAAGGCGCGAGAGCGCGAGAAGAAGGGCGAGGAATGGAAGCCTGTTTACTTCGAGCAGGCCACCGATAAGGCCGGCAAGCCGTCGCTCTCGGAAAAGGGGAGGGAGGTACTTAGTAGGGCGCAGAAGGGGGATTGGAGCATGGAAGGTGTCGTTCCTTAGGCACGGGTGGGGATCTAGGTTGCAGTTTGATCCGTCTTTTTACGATCCATCGTTAGGTTGGCGAGGCGCCGACAACGGAAACATGTGGAAGCGGGCGCATATTGGGCTGGAGGGCATAGATATAGAGGCAGATCTCGGCGTTTTTCCTTTGCCTTGGTTTCTCCCCATCACTTCCGTTGTTTCCCGCCCAGGTGTGCATATATCTCCCTCTTTGTGTGGTTTTGGATCCTGGGCTTGATGGACAGAAGGATCCGTTGCTCAGCGTGGTGACGGGCTCATGGACTCAAGGGGGATAGGTTTTTTAGGGGTTGACAGAGGGGCGGCTGGCGCATTTGCACATTTGCACATTTGCACACTGAACAGAGACCACTTGGCTTGCTTGGGAAGAGGGTGTTGCTGAATCCTCATTCTCCAAGACGAGACACATATTTACTGCATGGGAAATCTTGCAACTAGAACGTATAGCGTAAACGGTTCTGCTCTTATTAATACCCTGTTTTTATCCATTACCCCAACTCAGGATGCTTGGTCCCTTGTGCCAAGTCTTGTTCGTCTCAAATAGTGGGATTTACTTCCAAGGGGGATGATAGGTTAGGGGAAGCAACTGGTGTTATAAGACCAGGTTATGTTCTTAACAACTGGGCCTTTAATATTAACGTTATTATTCCGTTGAAAAACAACTTTGTCAGAGACTAATGTTAGTTTAGTTAACGCATTCTCGATCTTCAAGAGCGTGAGCCTGGATGTCTTGGCACAAGGCAACCCATCTGCCCCACACGGCGTTTCGTCGAGCTGAGGCGGCAGGGGTCCCTTATCGTTATCGGAGGACAGCCGCTAAGCCATATTGCGACGTTGCTGCGATGGGAGCAAAGAAAAAGGAGCAGTGAAAAAAAGGAACACGCGAGAGACTAGAGTACCCATTGGGTAAGGCAAATACCAGGCAATCCCACCCATCTCCATTTCCATGCAACCGTTCGAATAAGAACGCCGACCAGCCTCGAGGGAACCGGAAAAATCACGCCCGACCCAAACGGAACAAAGCGTGTGTGTTGGACGCCTGTGAATTTTGGCCCCTGCAGAATCCACTTACGAGGCCTGCCAAGCCAATCTGCCTTGTGCGTTCAGCGTGAACCCCTAAACTCGATCCAAGACAAGCCAAGCCCAGGCCGGGAGACGCATCACCATTCTCCACGACCACCATCGACCACCACCGATCCACCCCGATCTGGGCCCTTGAATCCCCTCGCAAAGGGCACTAGGGCATAGCTTAATCCCGAGCGATTTAGTGATTTCCAGCGTCGCCTGTGCGCCAAGAACACACCCCGAGAGGAAGCGAAAAAAAAGACAAGAGAAATATTTAGGGTACATACCAAGGGAAGCGGCGAAAAGAAAGGGAAGAAAGGCGCCAAACACACAGATCGACACACACACAAAAATTCACAGCATCATGTCGACGACCACCTCAGGGCTGACACGGCGCCGAGGCGGCGGACCCGGGGGTGCGGGCAATGACGGGGGGAACAACAATGGCAGCAACGGCATTGGCTCGCGGACCAACTCGTCGGCCAACGTTCGCGACGCCGCGGGGGGCGCTACGCCCGGGACGGGCTACGAGAACGGCGAGAACGGCCACCCTATCGCTTTTGACCCGCGCGACATGAGTGAGAGCGCTGAACGCAGCAAGCAGCCCAAGCTTACGCTGATGGAGGAGGTGTTGCTTCTTGGGTTGAAGGATAAACAGGTATGGGCTTTTTCAACCTTTGTCTAGCCCTTTTCTTGAGGGGAGGAGGCTATGGGAGAGGGAAAAAGGATGTAGGGAATGTGCCTTATTCTATGGGCCTACAAGGCAAAACGCTGACCGAGACATTCAACGCGCTACAGGGGTATCTATCATTCTGGAACGACAACATCTCGTATGCCCTCCGTGGGTGTATCGTCCTCGAGCTGGCCTTCCGGGGCCGTATAGCCATGCAGAACACTCCGTCGCGGCGGAGCTTCCCGCTGCCGGATCGTATTATCGAGGTTATTGACGAGTCGCTGACGGGCGAGGTACTCCTGGACGAGGCCCTCAAGATGATGAAGACGAGCGAGAAGATGAGCGTGAGCAGCTGGATTGACTTGATGAGCGGTGCGTGTTATGCCTAGTATTATTTGGGAGGCAAGGCCCGTTGGAATGAAATGGGACAACCCACTAACCATATTTTGGGAATCAATAGGCGAGACCTGGAACTTGATGAAGATCGGCTACCAGCTCAAGCAGGTACGCGAGCGGTTGGCCAAGGGCTTGGTGGACAAGGGCATCCTACGGACCGAGAAGCGCAACTTCCTACTCTTCGACATGGCGACGCACCCCGTCGTCGATAGCGGCGCGAAAGAGGAGATTCGCCGACGCACACGCAACGTGCTGACCCAGCGCACTGTCGTCCTCAACAACTCGCAATGGCTGCCGGAGAACCTTGAGTTCCGCTATCTACGCACCGTTGCTATGGTCTGCGCGGCCTACGCCGCTAACGTCCTCGAGAACGCGCTGTCCACCCTCGGCCACGAAGCCCGTGAGAAGGCTTTCAACCAGACCGACGAGTTGCTCGCCGATTACAGCCAGTGGCCGTTTGGTCGGAAGGCTACGGGTAACGACATTGGGGAGAACTTGCCGCAGGTCATTGGCGAGGTGTGTTCGCTTTCTTTCTCTTCCCGTTTGTCAATCATACTGCCTGTATCCATCCATATTAACCTCCCCCACAGGAAGTTACCAACTCCTCAGAGAAGGAGCTCCAACTTGAAGTCGTTGCCGCGTGTCTCAGCGTCTTCACCCGTTTGGATTCACTTCTCTAAATCACTACCTCCGGAAGTGTACCTGATGGGCCGGCCCCTGATCCCTTCTCATGCCCCGTTTATAGCCCAAGGCTTATGCCTCCATTTATTGTCTCTTCAACACTACTTTCCCATCCCATCTTCTCTCTGGGTATCCACGCCATTCGTGATTCGCTATGCAACACCGGAATTCAATACCTTGGGCATAACTGGGGCTCGGCTGTTTCTTCAACTTGAGCTCACTGCCGAGTTAGGGTCACGGTTTACGGCCAGGCAGGGCCAACCGGACGTTCTAATGTTTGCCTGAACCGCCTTATTCCTCTCTTCTTTTGTCAGGCGGTCCTGCTTCCCTGTCCAACGGAATCAAGACAAACGGGGCACGAGATGGAAGAATTGAGGTCTCCTCTGGGCCGTCTAAGCGAAACACACCCACCACACCGATTATCGAACGAAAATGGATTGGCTTTCTGCTTAGGTTACGGGAAGGTGGCTTTGTATGGGGTGCCGTGGACAGCCGTCTGAGCGCTAATTCCGGGGTTATTCCTTGGAATGCTAGATGAGGGCGAGGGAGTGTAAGACAGCTCACAGGACGAACGGCGACTGGGATACGTTTAAGTTTGAATTAAGCAGGTAGGTAGGCCGGCAAAACCAGCGAAGCAGAAGCGGTGTAAAGCGAAGCGAGGGGGAAGTCGTTGTGGGATACATTCAAACAAACGGTGGTGGCGTCTTATCTTGTTCAGCGCATATATGTATGGGCGGGGCGTGCAATTCAATCATGTTCCTTTCCTCTTTTTCCTTCGGGGTTGACCAGCTAAGGGCTTGCGATTGCGGATTAAGATTTGGAGGGGGGGAGACGGCGGGTCGTTGCATAGGGCTGTTGTTGTTCGCCCTTCCGGCCGTTTTTTACTTTCCCACCTTCGGGATTGGACTGCGGATGGCCTTGGCAAGGTCCGTTCGCTGTCGTTTCGCTTCTGGGGAAAGGAACGAAAAGGAAAGGAAAGGGAAGAAAGGGGGGACGGGGGGAGGTTGCTCTTGTTGTCTTGCTGGGGGAGTGGGAATGGAGCAAAAGGGAGTCCGTTGGTTTTTGTTTCACTTCTTTCTACTTCTGTTGTTTTCTTCTCTTGTCACCTTAACGATTTCTACTGCTTTATTCTGTTTCTTCTACGTTTTACCTTCTATCTCGTGCATATAATTGATGGGTATGTTGTGACACTTGCATGCGGTTCTTCGCAGCTTGTTTGAAAAGGTGGGAAAGGATTGATGGGAGGAATAATCTAGGGTTTGGGGCACGCGGGTGAAGTCCTACTTCGTGATTCAAATTCAATTGCTCATGAGCTGGTAGGTACTACATCGGTTGGAAAACTGGTGTTTGGAGAACGTTGTTTGTGGCCAAATCAGCTGGCATGATGATATTTTTCCGTCCACTCAACGCCGAGGAATCGACAATACCGTCCAGCAAAATGAGATGCACAAAACAAGACCAAAAAAGAGATACCGCACCCAACACCCGGTATACCGCGAACGCCAGACACCCACGATACATAAAAAGTAAAGACCCCCCTTCTCATTTTCTCCCTCCACCAAACCCACCCTCAAACCCCGGCCGGCTCTTCTTCTTAGTCTGGACACCCTTATTCTTCTTCTTCCCACCCTTGCCAGCAGACTTTTCCTCGCGACGCTTGCGCAAGTTATCCTCGCGCTTGCGCTGGCGCTCATGGATAGCCGTCTTGACACCCTCGGCCCGCTCCTTCCACTCGCGCTCCGACTTCTTCTTGGACTTCTCTTTGCGCTTGAGCGCCTTCTTGAGCAGCGACTCGCTGTCGTGCACCTTCTCCCCTTCGGCCCGCCGCCGCGCCGCCAGCCATGTCTCCTTCTCGAGTACCTCCTTGCGCTTGTCCTCGTCCATGACGGCGATGCGTTTCTTCTGCGCTTCGAGCTTGAGGAGTGCCGTCTTGGGGTCTGACGGACCCTTCTTCTTAGCACTGGCGGGGCCTTTCTCATAGCTGAGGTCGTGGGATAGCTGGGTACCGTCGGAGAAGGCGAGGCGACCAAAGGCGAAGTTGTTGGCGTTGCGGTCGTCGTCTTGGTCGAGGAGGGTGCTGATGCCGGGAGAGTTACGCGCACTGCTGAGCGTCTCTTCCCGTTTCCTGTCGGCCTCTTCCTTGGCGAGCCGTCGCATTTCTTGCTTGTGTGCCTTGCGCTGAGCCTGTTTTTCCCGCCGCGACTCGATCAGGTCCTGTCTTGTACGGATCGGCTTTCCATCGTTGTCGTCGGCTTTCCGGGCGGCGCGCATAGCAACGAGCTTGGCTTCAAGGCGGGCGCGGAGAGCGGTGGTATCGGCGGGGATCTTGAGGTACTTGGGCTTTTCTGATGGCGGGACGGTGGAAGAGATAGAAGTCGTGGTGCTGGCGGCCTCGACTGAGTCGTTCTTGATGGTGTCAAACACGGGCGACTCAGGGGCCGAATTTGCTGAGCTGGTGTCGTCTTCGTTAGCAAGGCCGGCAACGTCAATAGGCGCCATGTCTCCGTCATCGCTGTTAGCATCGGCATCGGCATCGGCCTCGGCAGAAGGCTGGATAGGCTCTTCCTCGTCCTCCCACTCGCCATCATCCTCCTTGATCGGCTGTTTCGCTGCCTTATTCGCTTTCCCAGCCTTCTCGACCTCCGTCCCCGCTTTAGCACTCTCCTCCTTCAACTTCTTAGCCTCCTCTTGCTTCTGCTTCTTCGCCAACCTTTTCTCCTCCTTCGCCTTCTGCTTCTTGCTCAAAGCAGTCTCCTCCCCATCCTCTTTCGCTTCCTTCACAACCTTCTTCTCCGAAACCTCCTTCTCCTGCCCCTCTCCCGCGGCCTCCTCATCCAGCTTCAACTTCTTCTTCTTCAGCCCCTCCCCGGGCTTCTCCTTCTCAATCCCAGCGACATCACTCTCATCATCATCCTGCTCTGACCCATCCTCGCTGTCCCCGTCTACCTCTTCTTCCTCTTCCTCCATCTCGCGTAACTTCCGCTTATTCCGCGCCCGCTCATCCAACACCTCCTTCGCGTTCCGGTTCCGTTCGCTGTCCGGGTCAAGCTTCCCCCGCTTGGCAGCACGGGCCTCGTCCTTAGTTTGCTTCTTCTTTTTCCATTGGTCCTGTGGTGAGGTGAGATTTATCCCCGCGTTAACATTCCGCTTGCAAGCGCTCTTAAGTAAACGGGTCTCGCAAGGGGACGGATGGGTTTGCAGCGGGTGGGTTGCTAGGTAAAACCCCCGATCCCCGCGTTGCGCCACGCCGCGCAAAAGCAAACGTCGAAAACAAACATCAGAAAACATACACTTGTGTCCTCCCCGTAATACATCTTCGCCGGAATCAGCGACAAAAGGCCATCAAAAGACTGGGCATAGCCGCGCAGGCGTTCCTAGACCACAAAACCAACCGAATTAGCACGGTCAAAACCAAAACCAGATGGTCGTGTGCAAGTCAGGCGGCGCATACCTGCAACGCTGTATCCCCCATCTTTCAAGCGCTCGCGCCGATTAGAACTCGGAGGGAAAAATAAAAAAAGAGAGACACTATGAGGGGTGGTAGCCGGAGTGCCAGTTCAGATGGCTTCTCGTCGCGGCGCGAGGAACGTTTGATCCGGGGAATGCAAAGCCGCCAATGTTCGAGAAAAATTGACGGGGCAGGATGCGAACGGATGAATTTTATCGCCGGCGAAATTTTGGGTCGATGTGGAGGTCGGATTCTGCCCCACTCATGCATGTAAGTGGTTCTGCCGGGCGGTAAGCGCCGTCAGGGTCGCTCGTTGACGGCCTGACTGACAAACAAACAGCGGGGAACAAGAGCTGGGTTGGAAAGGAGAAATGGCCGGATGGTTGAGTAGGTCGTGGTATTTGTATAATCAATTTATCAAAAGGGCAGGTTACCTGGGTTCAAATCCATAATTCACCAGTTACCAATAGTTACTCAAGTATCCTTACGGTTCGACGCTCCACTTCATCGCTACTACATAACGTTAGATCACAACAGCACAACAGCACCGAAAGCACACCGAAATCCCACTGAGCATGCATCTCCGCTGTCTCATGGGTAATATCCTCGATTGGTACGAAGCTGGTTAAAGATAAATACACAACCCCAAGATGGCTAACCTGGGCTGCACCTGCCTTTCACATCTAAACGCCGTCCTGAATCCATAACAAATCGGCCCAACGCCAGCGCTATGCTTTCCGCCTCCCGCATTGCCGCCTACTGTCCTTGTTCCCTCACTATTAGGCGGTCATCGCAGGTCTGCGACATAAAATAATCATGCATAAAGAAATCTCGACAGATTCAACGGCCTGATCACGCGTGGCGCCATGGATCTGTCGTGCTCGGCATCATCCTCCCCATCACTATCGGGGATGATCTGATCCTCGCTACCCATGGACCGGTTCAGCGCCTCAACCTCCTCCACATCCACCTTCGGCAATGGTATGAAAGCCGGATCCACTGGGAGTGAGGCAGACGGCCGAGAGCTGCCGCTCGACATCGGGGTCGGCGGGGTCGAATAGTTTGGCAATGGCTTTCCGCGTCTCAAAGCCTGAGCCCCCATTCGCTGAAGGGGTGTCATCATGGGGCCTCGCGTAGTCGTTTGTGAGCTGCTCCTTGGAGTTGCTGTTTCCTGGATACTGGACGCCGGAGTGGGCAGGCCATGGACAACCTTTGCCCGGGGCCGGGCACTGTTATAAGAAAACCCCTTCAGCAAATCTCCAAGGGGAGTGGCCGACATGGGATTGCCGTTGCTGTGTTGGTTGGCTGCCGATCCGCTCTGGATTGGAGATGATGCGGGAACTTCAACCGCATCGTCATTATCCACCTGTTCACTCTTGGTCGGCGATTGGATGTCCTGTTTCGGCTTCACGGGGGACAAATCTTGGAAGACGTTGAGGCCAGTACCAGATTTGGCCGACTTCTCCGAGCGCCACGAAGGATCCGGGAGGCTACGAAACGCCTCTTCGATCGAATCATCCGACAGCAACAAGATGTCACTGTCCCTCTGCTTCTTGGCTGGCTTCTTCTGACTGGTCGACGGGAAGAACTTGCTCTTCTCTGGTATGGCAGTGACCACGCCATCGACATCTGCGGCCGAGTCCTCGCATAAACGGACCTTCTTGGGCGGACGAGGCGAAGCGACCGTGTCCTGGTATATCTCGATGGCCGGTCCAGCTGTCCGGCGACGGTGCTCCGAGGAATCTAACACCTCGAAACCTAGAAGTTTCGAGAGAGGTTCCGTCTTCCGGCGGAGGCGAGTGTTGCTAGTATATGGCCTGACTGGGCCTGCTGCGATCTCCTCGGCTCCCTCCACATAAGGCCGCGGAAGTGGAAACACAATGGGACGAGGCTCCTCCTCGACGGCGGTACTGCTGTTTTGGTTGTGATCGACGGCAAAACAGTTCGGATCCATCTCACCCAGCGGAATGCGGCGAGATTTCTTGTTCTGGAAGAACTCCGTGATAGGCTTTCCAAGATTCCTTGCCGGTCCGCTCACTGGGGCAAGAGCTTGGCTAATAGTCCGCTTGCCCGGCGAACGTGGCATCACGATGCGCGCCTTGGTGATAGGGTTGATGTCCCCGACAGCAATAGACCGTGCGGTCTCCGTGTCGACCGGCGCGCCAATGAAAAGCATGTCGTCGACGTTGACCGAGGGCTCAGGGTCGGTCAGCAGGACAATGTCCCGCTTCTTGGGGCAGAATACACGTTGGTGCAAAAAGGTGAGTTCCGCTTGCTTGAAGTCGTCGAGGTATGTGTCGGCAATATGGTGCTTCCCACCAAAGCGCAACATCTTGACGATACGCTCGGGGGTTTTGTGCTTTCGAATCAGGCGGTAGGCGGTTTTCAAGCCGACATTGTTAATGCCATCTAGGTAATCGCAACCGCTGAGGATGGCCATGTGACGAAACTCACGGTCCGTCCAACCGGTCAGGGAGACCTCGCGGACAGAGCAAAAGTCCCGTCGGTTGATCTCAATACACTGGCCGTGCTGGTCCATTTTGGTCAAGAGACGCTTGGCACCGAAAACCAGGAGATCAGAATCCTCCGTCACGATCCCGTTGATAAAGCCGTGGCGCTCAAGGTACACAAGTTGAGCGTCCGCCTCGTACGGTGCAACAACATACGGGATGTCGGCCTTCTTGAGCTCTTCGATCAGATGACGAGCCATCTCGGGTGTGACATCGATGGCCTTCTGAAGCTCGGAATAAGCCTGTGACGGCTTTCCCGCTCTGAGGAGCTCCAGCCCAATCTTCTTACTCTCCTCGCGGCGTTTGAGCCGCGAACTCTCCGTTTTGGCTTTGCTGGGAAGGAAATCGCCATCAAAGACGACATACGGCATCACGCCGAAGTATTTGAACATCCGAATACGGTGCATGGCGAAGTCTACATATCTGAGGGAAGGTTAAAACATGCTTCGGCGTTGCGGATCATAACAAGCGGACTTACTTGCGGGTCGGCTTGCCTTCGGCTAGCTCAATGGCGCAGGCCACGGAGCCACGATGGAGCCACGCATACCCGTCGATCCCCAACGTTTCGCCGGCATATTTTTTGAGTTCAACTGGGCGGTGAATGGATTTGAGCAGCGGAAGAAGGCCTAGATGAACATATTAACCAGATGGCGCGATACGGAAAGATAATTCCGTCTCCTACCTGAAATACCCATCCTGGACGCCCTCGATGACTGGAATCACGGAGGATGGTGCAACAACCCGCCCAGGAGCAAATTTCCACCTCAGAACCTCAGCAACAGCTACTCCAGTCCCAAGGCCATGAATCGCTGATGCCGGTTATTATTGTCCGACTGAAAAGAACTCCGGAAAGGAAGGATTGGTGAAAAAGTCGCAGTCGAAAAACACGTTGTTGTCGGGAGCGTGAATCGGTTCGCGACGCGCGCCAAAAGGATTCAGCGGAGGAGAGTGAGGAATATTGGTACAGCAATGCTTAACGAAACCCCGTGGAGGGTAAAGCAGAAAACAATCTGTCGCACCGATGAGGGTCGGGAGGTGGTGGAGGGGGTGCGATGGGCCCGGCGGTGGGTTGAAGTGGGAGTCGACGGTTTCCAAATTTGGCTACGGGTGGGTTCCTGCGATTTCAATTTACTTTATATACGCGCCAAGCGCGACCGCGTTCGGCGTCCTGTTACCCCCGCGACGGCTCCACACCAGCCAGGAACCGTTCCTGTGAGTGCGGGGTTGACGGTTTCGAGAACCTCAGCTAATTACAATCGATTACTACACTGCAAGTATTGTTCACTTGCTTGGGGAGCTCAAAAGAATTGCGTTGTTATTATGATACAAAATCACATTATATTGCTCCACCAGCTCTAAAATACCGGTTTCTGATCTTCCCGGGGCGTAGTTGTGAGAATTGTTTCCATATGCTGTAAATTACACATTGACGTTAATTACATGTTAAAATACATCTCCGTAAGACGCTGGCGCTTCCATTCTTGGACACGGCCCACAAAAAAAATCTCAACCCAACTCTCACAACTCAACATTGAAGACTCAAAGTGTTAGCAACTGGCTTCAGGATTTGATTTTCTCTTCATACATTTCTCCACGGGAAGAATACATCACAATTATGGCTAGGACACTTGATAAAACGCGGAAGCAGATTGCGAAAAAGAGAAACGGTGCTCTTGATGCTTTGCATGAGAAAAGCCGAGACTCCAAACGGCTTCACCGCGCCCAAATCCGTGACGAGCGTCTCGAGAAAATCGCCGGGGCGAGGCGAAAAAAGGACCAACCGCTACGTTAGTATTCCGAGACTTGGTATGGTGGGCCTGTTGACTAACATTAACAAAGTTGCGCGTGCTGCGTTCTTCCAGGACGCCGTCCAGCAGAACGGCGACAAAGCCCTGGCATTCGATGCCATACAGGCCAAGATAAAGGAGTGAGTGTGGTCTGGTATCAACTACCTTGCATAGTTTGCTAAGTTTGCCCCAGATTCGTTCAGCAGTATGACGAAGAGTACGGCGAAGTGAAAAAGAACCGCCGGCCGGGGCGCCCAGCAAGTACCAGGGAAGACTTGTTGAAGTTGAAGGTCGCGGCCCTCCAGAAGGAGCACCGCGACGGATTCTGTACGTCGCCTTTGCGCTTTTCCGGATTCCGAAACACAACTGACAGATCTTAGACCTGCCTGACCTCAGCACCGAAGCGAATGCCCAACTCCTGAGCAGATTCGAGGGATCCTGGTCATACCTGACCAGCCTCGCCTGGGTCAAGGTATCGGCCACAGGAACTGTCAAGCCGTCGAGTTTCCCTCCCCAGGGTCTCTAGGCCAAACGGGCTGTCATCAAGAGGGGATTATGCGGGGTCCATGTGCTCGCCATGCGAGCCATCCGAACACCGTCTGCGGTCGTCGCGGGCTTTTCGTCGCCGTGCAGTCGGATGTGGTCGTGAGCCGCAAACAGCTTGAGACATTCTGACGAGACGTCGGAGCTCCATACCCTGCGTCCTGCGGAATATTTTACGCCCGCATGCTGTGTGTCCGGCGCCCCGCGTTCACCTGGTGCCCTGGCAGCCCCTCCTTGGTCGAAACATACTACCGACCTGCGGCTGGCCGTGGTGGGCTCCGTCTTGCCGGGGCCTTAGGCCACGCTATGGAAGGGGACCGATGCTTCCGTCCTCCATACCCGGCGCAGGTCCGAAACACAAGCGACGCAGGGCGATATGCAACTCCCCGAACTACACCCCGCCCCGGTTGACAGCTGCGGTGTCATCTTGGGGCTCGACACCGCCGGCAATGGTTGTCGAACAATCTTGTACGACGCGGCATCGCCCCGCCTTTCTTCACCGCACGAGGGACCGCACGAGGAGGGCTAGGAAGACGGAGCAGGGCCGGCGCGCGTCCGGCGCCGCAATTGGCCGGATGGGGCGGTCACACACGGAATAAGCGGCAGGTAGCCGAGTGTCAGCGGCGGCCCGGGGCCATGCTCACCACCTCACGTTTTTAGACCGACGCTCAAGGCGCGCGCCAACACCATGATTCTGCCTCGCGGCCGCGGATGCCGCGTCTTAGTCATGGGAATCCGCCCGCCCTGCGAAGATGAAAGAGGGGAATGTGATATCATAGGGCGAGAGCCAAATGTCAAGCTTGTACTTCCGTACACCACCGTGTTCCTCCCGAGTCAATGTATGGAATGTCACATCCGTGTTTGTGCCTCCTCCCTCTCTGGTCGTCGTCGCTCTGGTACTCGTTCACTTTGTCTTCTATTTTGCTAAGCAGCTCGGATACTTGCACCGAGGGAATCCCTGGGCGATGTAACCTGGCAGCGTGTTTGACTTCGACGCCCATGGTATCTGACCACCAACTATCTCGGGGTTCTATGACTCGACAGCCGCAGTACAACCTTCTATCGTGGCCAACTCGGCCCATTGGGTCTGTCCGCGTAGTTGGGACGATGCGGCCACGTTTTCAGGCAGATTCAGACGTCGAAAGTACTGCAGCGTGCTGCGGTTGGTTTGAACCGGGCCTCGAGTCTTCGAGTCCGACAGTTGTGTTCGTGTCTAGATCTAAGGTTAAAGAATCTAGGATATATCATACCCCCCCTTTTCAGATTTTTCTTTTGTCTCCCTTTCCCTAGTTCCAACTCATTTCTTTCTCCGCTCAACCAAACAACACAACATCCATCATATAGTATATCTCAGCCAACCCTCCACCCAACCCATCACCCCCCCCCATATAAAAGCGCTCGCCCCCCCCTTACAACAACCCTTACAACACCCCCACAACTACCACAACACCACACTCCCCACCATTCGACATCGGGTACAAAATGTGCACCTACACAACCCACATCCACACCTGCGCCCGCTGCGCCCGCCAAGAAACAGTCCTCATCTCCGAACAAATCTGTCCCGTCGCCCGACCCAGCGGCATCTTCGGCACTTGTACCACGGGTATCCTCTTCCAGCAACGCGACGCCCACGCTGGGCCTCCCCCTTTATCTTTATCCCCTAGGTTTTCTACCACCACTTCTACTTCTACTTCTTCTCCTTCCTCCTCTTATAGTACCACTGCCGGACCTTGGACAGCAGGATCGGGCACCCCTGGATCAGGTCCCGCGGGACCGGGCCCCGCAGGATCAGGAAGACAAAGACGCAGTACGAGCGGCGCCTACCGCGCGCGGGGGTACAGTCTGAACCAGTGCTGGCCGTGTCGGGAAGCGGTAAGAGTGGCTATTGCTGCGGCGGTGGCGGCGGCGGGGGAGATGGGGGGTGGTCGATGGGGGGGAAGACGTGCTTCTGGCTCTACTTCTAGCTCTAGCTTTGGCTATACCTCTAGTTCGAGTTCAGGTTCTGGCGCGAGTTCTGGTTCGAGTTCAGGTTATGGCTACAGTACAAGCTCTGGGTTTAAGGCTGGGACTGCGCTGGCAGCGGGCGGGCGGGGGAGGATGGAGGGCTGGGTGGGGGGTAGGAGTGGGAGTGGGGATGGTGGTAGTGGTGCGTTGGGTGTGAGGATGGAGGGTGGTGGTGTTGGGGTTGCTGGGGACTGGGTGTGAGGGAGAGGTTGAGGGAACAAGTAAGTGTGCGGGTCACATTTTGAGTGCGTGCGCAAGATAGACTGGTATATATGGGGCCTGGGTTGGTTTTGTGTGCAAAAGTGATGTTTTTATGAGTTAACGACTTGACGACTGATGAATACTGATGAAGACTGATGAATTGATGAATCAATATACTCGAGTTTGTTAAATCTGCCTGGGTCTTTTCTTCTTTTGACGAAGTGAATTGAGTCCTTCGTAAAGTTGTAAGAGAAACGGTTCTTGGCATACGGATAGGGAACGTTATTTGTGGAGCTCAAGCTATCTGCCCGAGCTGCCCCGCCCAATGTGGCCCGTGCTCGAGTTTTTTTTTTCGAGCTTGCCTCCCCGCTCACCACCTTGACGGATGATGTTTTCATCGTCCCATTGCTCCTTCCTCAACCTCCACCTCACTTTTCTACCTTCCTCTTCACACTCCCCAATCACTCTCCCGTCACGACCCCTCGCATACCCAGCCCAAAATGATGTCCCTCCGGACCCTCGCGCGCTCAGCGCCCCGCACCCTAGCCCGTGCCTCCAGCAGCCTCTCAAGCCGCACTCCCAGCACGCTGCTCCGGACGACCCGCACGACACCCCTCGCGGCTCGCACACAACAGATCTCTGCCTTCTCGACGACAATGCTCCGCCCGGCCGCCAAGAAGGGAGAGGTGGATGCCGAGGTGTCGGAGAAGTTGGCCAGCGAGATCCAGTTTGAGAAGGAGGTCCGCGAGAACGAGCCGCAGCCGCCGAGCATCAAGGACTTTTTGGAGAATAGCAAGTTCACGCTGGAGGATGTGCCTGGCAAGGAGGATGTGTATCTTAGACGGACGTTTGGCGAGGAGAAGTACGTTTCTCTCTCTCATTCTCCTATGGTCCCTTACGGTCCCTACTCTTTTTAGTCTTTTGCAAGCTCTTAATCACTAACCCCGCCCAGGATCACGGTTTCCTTCTCCATCTCGGACCTGCACAACATGGACCAGGATATGATGGAGGACGACAACATCCTGGAAGACGCCGACATAGAGGAGGCCGAAGCCGCGCGCAACACAGAGAACCAAGAAGGCGAAGAAGGCGCCGAGGAAGACGAACCCGGCCACGAAGCCCCCGTTCCTGTCCGGCTCAACATCGTGATCGAGAAGCCGAACCAGGGCGCCCTCAACATCGAGGCGCTCGCGCAGGACGGCTCGATCGTTTTTGACAACTTCTACTACTACGCCGACCCCAAGCTGGCGCACAGCACAGACGCCAACGCGGTGCACGAGGCGCAGGACACCTATCCGGGCCCGCCGTTTGGCAGTCTGGATGAGGATCTGCAGGTGCTGATGGAGCGGTATCTGGAGGAGCGTGGGATCACCCAGGGCTTGGCGCTGTTTGTGCCGGACTATATGGACTACAAGGAGCAGAGGGAGTACACGCAGTGGTTGAAGAACGTCAAGGCGTTTATTGATGCTTAGGTTTAGCGGGCGGATGAGGAGTCTTGGTGTCTCGGGAGAATAAAAAGGGGGCTGAGGGTTGTGTTGAGGGCTTGTATTATTTCCACTCTACGAAACGGGATGTTTGGTGTACGATAGATATAACGGGGATTATGACATGTCTATTTGACATACCGGACTGTATGAATGAAACTCGGGTAAAATAATGGACTTTCGGGTTGTCTTGAGTGTGATTTCAAGCTTGGATGTATCTTGCACGCCATGCTCGCTTAGTCATTCAGTCCCAAGTGAGGCTGAGCTGAGCTGAGCTTGTCTTGAACCTCAACTGCTTGATATCTTTATTGTTAGTCCATGATTATCCCCGCTGGTTAGTTAATTCATTTTTTATTATTATTATTATTTTACTTTTTATTCTTGTTATCGATCAAGCGTGCCTATCAATCTCTCAACCAGTTCCTCCTTATCTCACTCAACTCGGCCATTCGCTCTAAGAGCCCGACATCAAACAACTAACATTTTATCCGTATCTCGTCCAATTCCAAGCAATACCCAACCTACATCCCCAAGCATGGCCTCAAACACCCCAGACCAAGACCGAAACCCCTCCGATGACGAAGAAGCCCAACTTCTCTCCAGCAGCGACGAAGACTACGAGCAATTCGAGCTCAGCAACCGATCTGATCCGAACACCCCAACACCAACACCAACAGCCCCACGACCCCGTAACCGGCCCAACCCGTCCATATGGTCCCGCATCTGCCCTCCCCGATCCCTCACCTCCCACCCCCCAACCGTAACCCCCTTCTTCCCCTCCATCCAAGCCCTACCCGGCAAACTCCTCCTCCCCAAACGACCCTGGCAACGAACCCTCCTTTTCATCCTCTTCGTACTATCTTGGGTCATCGTTCTCGTTCTCAACATTTCGTTTGCCTTTTCCAGCGAGGCCTTTTCCAGCGCGGGGTCCGCTACCGACACATCGGGTGGTGGTATCCGGGAGGTTAGTTGTACCGAGACGCTGTGGCGGCCGGGGAATGAGTGTGGGCTGGATGGGGTGGATTGTCGGCCGTTTGGGAATGTGTCGGTTGTGGTGAGGTGTCCGGGGGGGTGTGCTGGTGGTGCTGGGGCTGGTGCGAAGGTGGGGGGGAGGAGGTATGTAGGACGGGTGGAGGTGGATGATGGACTGTTAGTTGTGGGTGGTGGTGGTGGTGGCGGTGATGCTGGGATTGGGACTGCGGACGGGAAAGGGAATGGAAATGGAATCAGTCCGTACCGAGGCGACTCCTTCCTCTGCGGCGCCGCCATCCACGCCGGGGTCATCGACGATACCACCGGCGGGTGTGCCGTAGCGACGCTGGTCGGGGAGTACTACCACTACTTTTCGTCTGTCCAGCACGGTATTGAGTCTCTCGCCTTCGACTCCTACTTTCCGCTCTCCTTCACCATCACCACCGACCCGACCTTATCATGCCCGTCCTTGGGAACAGGCTCAGGCTCAACCTTCCCCTCTCTCACTTCGTCCATCCTCTTCACCACCCTCGTCTTCCTCTTTATCTCGTCCCCCGCCCTCCGCTTCTTCACCACCTTCCTCGCCATCTTCACCCACGTCGCTCTCACCTCCTCCCTCCCACCAAACCTCCCACCAAACCTCCACCTCCCAACCCTCCTATCCACTTACTCCACCCGACTCCTCCCCACCCTCTTCATAACCCCAATCCTCTACCACACCTGCATCCGTCCCACCCTCCCCCCGTCCCACCTCGCTCCCCCCCTCAGCATCGAAACAACCGCTTTATACCTCCCCCCCCTCTGGCTCGGCGCCCTCGCCCACCACACCCTGGCCCCTTTAACCCGCCTCGACTTAACAACCACCACCATACCTACCTTCATCACCGCCATTGTGTCAATAGTAGCGGTTATCGCCCCGCTGATGCTGCTAGCCCATCAACTCTGCACACTCTACCTCACTTCCGCCTCCACCTCCACCTCAGCCTCCAACCGTCCCCCTTACTCCCCCGCCGGGTCATACGCCTACCCCCTAGCAATCTACGCCCTGCTAGCCCTCACAGGTCTAATCCTCCTCGCCGGCATCCCTGACCTAGGCCTGGACATACACGTCCACCTGCACAGCTACTTCGTGGCGCTGTTGCTGTTGCCCTGCACGGCTGTGCAGAGCAGGGTGTCGTGGATTTGTCAGGGGGTGTTGGTGGGGTTGTTTGTTAATGGCGTTGCGAGGGGGGGGTTGGGGTCTGTGTTAGAGATCGGGGGGCAGACACCCGGGAATGAAGTTGGGGTTGTGAATGGGGTTGGGATGCCGGCTGTGGTACCGCCTTTGGTGGAGGGTTTGGGGGGGTTGGTTAGCGGGAACGGAGAGGGGGAGATGAGGATTCAGTTTAAGTGGAAGGGACTAAATTCAACTTTACCGGAAGAGGATCCGGGGATGGTAACCAGTGAAGGGACGGACGCAAAAGAAACACAAGCGACAAGGGCTAAACCAAAAGGAATCAGCGTCCTAGTAAACGACGTCGAGCGGTACCGCGGTTGGTTCGCAGAACAACCCCTGGAGGAACAGACATTTGTGTGGACACGGGATTTGAACGGCATATTAGCGGATGAGTATTTTCGATTTGGGTTTGTGACCGACGGCGGGAAGGCACTGGAGGGGTATACCGAGGCGGGGACGTGGTTTGTGAATGGGAGTTGGAGTCAGGGGGTGGGGTATTGGTAGTTGTTTGGTTATTTACATGTGGGTGTATCGTGGGATTTTACTAAATCTTATCGTTCACACTCACTACCTCCAGCTATTAGAGAGGTAGCTGACTTGCTACCGCATGACAAGCCTCTACCTTCTAGGATGGTAACTGCTTACGAAGTACCACCGACCTTTTATCCCATCTCTTCCCTTTCTTATCTCAAATTCCGCTCCTTCCGCCCAGGCAGTGCTGCAGTACATAACCCCCCCTCTCACACTCCCTGCCACCGACGTCCCAAGGGCCACAAACCGCCTCGTGGCTCAGTCAGCATTGGGACAGCCCCGACTCGAGAGGCTGGGGGTTCGATCCCCAGCCTTGCAAAAGCCCTCCCGTGGGCTTTTCGTAACCACCGGGCCTTATCACCGAGATAAGGCCTGGTGGTGAGCTTTTGCTTTTTTCGCTTCTGTTTCATTCGTGTTGTGGTTTCCTTCTTTTGTTTAGGGCTGGTTCCGCAGGCCAACATCCGAAAAACCAAACTTTATGCATCGCTAGTACCAGCTTCGGAATGACACATTTACAGACTGACATTGCTACATATCTCTACAACATACTCTTACAATCTAATATTAAGTACAGCTTCCCGATCTGTCCCCCGCCCAGTCCACCCCGCCCACTGTTTCCTCATCTTCCACGCCGCGTGCAAATACAGCTTCCCATGAACCCCCTCGTACACCCTCGACAGCTCCCTCAGACTCCTAAGCGCTCTCAACAGATCAACATCGCCAATTTCACCGCCCGCGCCCGCGCTCCCTGCCCCGTTTTCTGGTTCGCCAAATACACCCTCCCACGTCGCGTTTTCACATGCTAGCTCCTCCGACACCATTAGTTTCCCGTCAATGATCGGACGGAGCTGCGTGACATATGTCAGCACCACGAGCAGCCACAGGCTTCGTACAAGAAGGAGTTGTTGCTCCTGGTCCACCACCCATGTGGTAAGGAGCACTCGTGTGCTATAGACACATGTCGGGAGTCGGGCGAGATACAGGTCAAATGCCGGTTGTTTTGGCTTATGGGTTGCTGACAGGAGCAAGACGGATAAAGCAGATATCTGCTGTACGAGAAGCATAACATCCCGGGTGTCAAGGTATTGCATGTACTCCATAATCGCGGCTTGGGCACCAGGGTGCGTGAAGACGTAAGATACTCCGTGAAACCCCGGCCCGGTCTTCATGACGCCGCTGAACCGCCCGTCGTGCCCGGCCCGCCCGAGGATGTCTTCTGGCGAGAGATAGTTCGTGGATGGCTCTGGCGTTTCTGGTGCAGTCAACAAATCGCCGAAGCGCTCCATCCAATGTACCGCCGAGAGCGTCAGGGACTCCATCACCAGGATGGTCGCCTGCAGCTCGATTCCGTCGGCGAGAAGAGACAAGGGACGTCCAACTCCAGAAAAGAGGCCGTAGAGTAGCGGTTCACTGCCACTGTAATTGCCACTAAAGATGTGGTGTATTGCGAGCGCCCTGGTGTCACCTCCAAAGTTGCCGTTTTCCAGGCTAAAGTAGGACATGAAGGCACGCTGGAACCTGGTAATCGTTAGCTGTGAAACCACGAGCCGAGGCTTTAAAGTCTCATACCTGATGTCTCCGAGAAGCCGCGTTTTGTCTTCATCATCATGAACGGCTCTCGGTGACGGGGTCCAGGGAACTAGTCCGCTGGCTAAGGAATTGTTCACCGTTTGAAGTTGCTCCGGCGTTCTGCCAAGGAAGAGCAGCGTGGCGAGGGCCTGTGATCATGAGTATGGGTATCGATGACTAAAGGGTTACTGCCGTTCACTTACAGAAGGAAGTTCATTATGAGTCCCGTCTGGTCGAACCAAGGCATGCTGAACATGCACTGCTGCCAACAGACGGTCAAACGTGGCCCTCGACGTTGACTTGGTCATCATCATCTTGCAGTTTCCATGCACATCGGGCCACGGACATCGGATACAATGGGATAATCCCGTGAACCCCCATCTCATTATTAAAGGTAGCAACGCAAGAACCTCACGTCTCCGTCCCTTCCCTTTAAGCAATGGATGTCGACCGTTCAAAAGGCTCCGCCTCCCTTGGAGAAAGGAGCTCGGCTCGGCTATAATCAGATCGGCCATCGTGTCCAGTCAAAGACAACGAGTGCCTGGAGGTGGGGATAAGGCGAGAGATAGAATCGGAATGGACTCAACCAGTAGGCGCGAGAGGCTTCGACCGCGTGGCGATCCGCGGGGAGAGCAGCGATCCCGTATCCCCAGCAGCCTGGGACGACCGCCGTGTTTGGGCTAAGCCTAGGTGCGTCATTGGGCATATGGCCTGGGCCAAGCCGAGCTTGCGAGATGGTTGACTCAACTTCGACAGCTGGGGAGGGGCGGCGACAGATCCATATCGGTATCGCGGAACCCGAGAGGAGGTCGTAGACACGCTGTTGGAGACGCCGAGTGGACGGCTAGGACATCGAACCTAAGCATCTCGAGCCATCCATATGCCTGTCCCCGTCATACCGCCAGTCGATCCCGGGTCTTGGGGAGCCGATCCGCCACCGGCACGGCCTAGCCGTTTCCCCCGGTGGTTAAGGGCATATCCGGGGGGGGGTGTTGGATTGGTGTTTCTAAGAACGCCATGGCAGGCGATCAAAGCAGAGAAAATCGGAAAAGTGGAAGAAATCGGCCGGGGTGCAAGTGAACTTGAGGAAGTACTCGGGCTGGAACGGAGGTTGTTATCCCAGACGGGCAGGCGCGCGGGTCGCCTCTTTCCGCTTCTTGATGTCGACGCGAAGGTATCACGCACAATGCACTCGGTGAACGCAGGGCTGTTTCGAGAAGGAACAACCCAGCTTGTTGGGAAATCGAGTAGTCAGCGTTGCACACCTTGTGGTTCCTGCAGCTGCAAGCCGAGACCACAGCGGATTGGTCGAGGGTTGACATCGTTTTTCGCATGCGGAAACTGCATGCAGTAGCGGGAAAATTCCTGTTCTGATACCCTCCCGTCACCTAAGCAGAACTTCTTTTGGCCGCAATTCCAGTCATCGATTAGGAATCACTTGCCCACCATTGCCAGCCCCGGCCTCATCAAGCTACCAACTGATGCATTCATTATGAACTCGGCGCCCACTACATCATATTTGGAACTTGACCCGCTCACTATTCGCGCTGCTGGCTTTGAAGAATTGGTTTTCCTAGGCACTGATTTATAATCACTTCCGGCTGCACCCGCCTGGCAGCTATTCCGAAGCTTCCACACTAGCGGCTCGCGAACGCCGACAACACCACCAACCTACTCTCACTGCAGTCATTTGGAATTTCACAATCTTACCCGCAACTCCCGTCTAACCCGCCCTACATAACACTCGCTAGCTCCCCCCCACGCCACGATTTGCCACTTCTCACTCAGCCGGCCACTTTTGCGATATGGTGTTACCCAAACCCCTCGTAGTTCGCGCTCTCCTATGCAGCCGCCCTCTCGCCGGGTGACACCTCTGGCGTCGCACACGGGTCACCGCAGAAGATGAGGGAGATTGAGACCTCGGACGGGTAGGAAAGCTAGCCCCTGAAATTGGGCAGTCGAAGTCGACACCTTGAGACAAAAGATGGCTTGCGAAGTGCCGCCGCGAACAGATCTCGGAGTCTCAGCCTGGTCTCGGGTGGTCTACCCGACTTTCAGCTGACGGCGGCATTTATATATATATCTGTGTCCGGCGATAGAGATCTCCCCGCTCATCGGTTTGGCATTGGAACGGGACTGTGGCTGGCTGTCCCCGCGCCGTGTTTGGCATGGTGGGACATGTTGATGCTACACGAGTCGCTCGTTGCTGCGGAGTTAACGTTGCTTCTTCAAGAAGCTCAATCCTCACCATCTTTGCGACCCAAAAGGATTCGTTTACCACTTTTTCATTCCAGCTACTGACCGACCGACGAAAATGCGCTGCGACTAGGAATTCCGAATGTCCCCTGGGAGGCTGAACCGAGACAATCACGGACAGAGATTCAGGGCTTCATGCAACGGGAGAATTACCTTTTGTAGAATTCCCAAGAGCCCCTTGTCCGACGGTGAAATGTTGTTGTACTCGGGTTCAACCCCCTCATATGTCGAGGGGCCTCAAGCGAGGGGCTTCGGGAAGGGGCAGTTGGATTACAAGCACAGCATTGTGGGTTACAATGTTATGATCGTTGCTATGAGCAAAGTTGGGTGGGTTTAGGGGGATAAAAAAGACCGGCGAGGGGGCCAGCACGGGGATGGCTTTCCAATTCTGAAGTTTTCTAGGAACGGTACTCGACCGAAGACAGTCATTGAGATCACCAATAGACTCCCCTAAAGCTCTCTGCGATGCGTGTCCATGCATGGTTGTGTTTGGCGCTAGGCGGCTTAGCAGTTGCGCTGGGAGAAGGCCAGTCTTTGGCAAACGATGACGAACAATATTTAGTAGAAAATGAACACCTGGGGGCGTTTGGTCTAGGAGGTAAGTAAACGTGGCAAGGAGACGAAACGAACTGCTCACTAACAAAACCTAGACAGACACCCAATTCACAAATCGGAATGCACCGACTGGGTCGGCGTCGAGGTGATCGTGATGGTGGACTTTATCGACGATTGCCCCCTGAACCCGGAAGATTTGCTAGGTCTCGCCTCCTTACCCCGTGTGGTTATGCCAACAACTAGCTGATGACTAGGACAGGACAACAAACCGCGACTCGGTGTGTATCGACCCTGAGCCGGTCCATCTGCGCGACACCTACCCCGGAGCGGCCATACTACCCATGTGTCTTTGGCACGCTGTCGTCTTCTGAACTGGTGACGGTCACGGTGGTGAGTTGCCGGCTTCCTCGCCCACAACTTATTCCCTCGTATGTAAAACATCATCATGCTAACATACCCAGACCTCCTGCACGGCGGACACCAACCCAACACAAACACTTACGCTCCAGATGTGCTGCACTTGCTCGGCGACCGTCTACACGACTGCCGTCTCTGGCTACACGGCCGGCGCGCCTTGTCACGACTGTACCCCGTACAGTAGCCTCAGCAGCAGTATTAGCAGTGTTAGCCCGGAGTCATCCTGCACCACAGACGACGATATGACAACGACGACCACCACCACCGTTACAGCCGCGACCACTGTGCTAGCCCATACAGAGACCACGACAACAACCACGTTTCTGTCGGCAAGTCCTAGCGAGAGTGAATCGGGGTGTCCATGTGCGGGCATTAGCACGACCACCAGCACGAGCACCGGCACGAGCACCTCGTCGGGATATTGGCCGACGGGTGGGACCACATACACGACGTCGTATAGCACGACGACGCTGGGGGCGCCGTATGAGACGACTACGGAGGGGGCGCCGTTTACGGGGGGTGGGATGCAACAGATTCAACAGGGGGTGGGGGGTGGTGCTTGGATGGGGATCGTGGGGTGGGTGGTGGTTGGTGTTTGGGGTTTGTAGGTGGGTTGGGTTCTTCGGGTTCTCTTGTCTCTTTCTATGATGGAACTAATAAAGGGGATTGAACGTCACTTTTTACGCAGGTAGTTAGGCTTCGGTCGAGCAATTTAGTCTCTTCAGTCACTCTTCACACTGATCAACCGCCATATATGACTGGTGAACACGGAATTCGTCTAACATTCGCACACACATACATAGCCAAAATGATACAGTAAATCAGCACCCCCTCAGGCCTTCACAACCTCCCGTCCCACCGCCTCCAGAGCCTTCACCAACCCCTCCACCGTCCCCGGCAGCGTCAACGCATTCACGACCACCCTAAAAAAGCTCCCCTTCTCCCCCGGCGCATAATCAATCATATACCCCCTGGCCACCAACCTCTCAACAATCGCCTTCGTCCTCGCCGTATTCACCGCCTTATCCTCACTCACCCCACCGACACCAGGCGGTCCATAATAAAAGCACACCTGCAAACACGGCGGCGGGTTCGACGACACCAGCACAAAATCCTCATGCGCCTCCAACAACCCCGCCAACTGCGCCGCCCGCGCAAACGCCCCATCCACCGCCGCCGCAAACCCATCCGTGCCCGTATGCACCCACGCCAGCGCCAGCTTCAGACTATCCGCCCTTCGCCCACACTGCAGCGTCAAATCCGCTAAATCCCACGGCTCCGGCACCTCCCCCGTCTCCGGATCCGCAGCACCAGCATGGAAGAGATACCCCGCCGGCAGCGTATTCGCCCGATGCAGCACCGCCGTATCGGGCACCAACAGGAACGAGCACGTCACGGGTACGTTTAGCATCTTGTGCGGGTTGACCGTCACCGAGTCTGCGCGTTCCACGCCCGCTAGCTTGTACCGCTGCGAAGGCGAGAAAATCGCTGGCCCGCCCCAGCTGCCGTCGACGTGCAGCCAGATCTTTTCGTGGCCGTTTGACGCTGACGGCCCGCCTTCGGAAGCGAGCACGTCGGCGATGGCTGCTAGTGGGTCGTAGGATCCGAGGACGGTGGTGCCGGCGGTAGCGTTGACGTACAACGGTGTCTGGCCCGCGGCGCGGGACTTACGGATCGCACCGCGCAGCTCTTCCGGATCCATCTGTCCCGTCACCGGGTCCACAGGCACGGTCCAAACCGCCTCAGACCCCATGCCGCAAGTGACGGCGGCTTTTTCGACCGAGTAATGGCCGTGCACGCTGGTGAAGAGGGCGAAGGGGCCGGTGGGGATGGCGGAGGCGGAGTTGCCGAGGGTTTTGGTGGACGGGTAGAGGGTGTTGCGCGCTGTGACGAGGGAGGTTAGGTTGGAGGAGGAACCGCCTTGGCAGGTTATGCCGCCGGCGCGGGGGCCGGTGAAGCCGAAGAGGGTCGCGAGACGGTGGGCGGTGTGTTTTTCGAGGATGGTGAGGGCCGGGGAGACTTGGTAGACGTGGACCTGGGGGTATTAGCTTTGGGGGGGATTGTTGTTGTTGGGGGGGTGGGTGTTAGAAGGGGGGAGAGAGCTTACATTGGTGTTGAGAGCAGCGAGCAACAACTCCGAGGCCACGCCAACCTGTTGATCAACACCAGAGTCAGCAAACCCACTCACTCATAGAAAATAAGAAAGAGAGAGATAGAGAGGAAAAGAGACCCACCGCATTAGTACTCGCATACAACTTATCCATAAACCCCTGATCCCACGTATTCACACTATACCTCAACACCCCCCGAATCGTCTCCAACAACCCTTCCTCGCCCCGTCCCTCACCCTCCGGTAGGTCCAGGGCTAGAGCCTTTACCAGCTCTTGCGGGCGCTTGGCGTCCACTAGGACGTTGCGGATGACCGGAGTGAAAGTCCCATTTTCGTTGGCCTCTTCGGTAGGAAGTAGCTGGCCGGCGGCGCGCGAGGGGATAGCGGTGTCGGCGGCGCGGATGAAGGGGATTATGAGCGCTTTTACGGCGTCGATGAGCTGGGGCGGGTGTTAGTATGAGTGTGAGTCAGACAAGGGGATGATAGGTGGTGGCTCACATGTTCGACTTCGTCGGCTCGGTTGAGCGTTTGAGGTTTGGAGGTGCCGTTTATGCCGTTCATTTTGACTGTGATGATAGGCGAGAGGTAGAGTTGGTAAAGAGTATGGTGGATGAGTGTGTTGTGTGTGGTCGTGTGATGGTGGTTGTAAAGGGATGTAAGTGAATAGGGGCAGGGTTGGGGTTGTACGAGACAAAAACCAGCAAAGTTACTGCTCAATATTATATACCGAGGCTGGAGTTACACTCAAGGATGACTCGAGTTATCTCTGCTTTTATTCTGTTCCCTTTATCTCTCTCTTCCTATGACTCTTTTCCAACTTTTTCCTCCCTTTTAATCCTTCCGCCGCTTTGCCGGTCCGGCCCGGCCGGTCTAGCCCCCACGCCGCACGTTTTTTATCCCCACCGCCTAAAACTTCAGCGCTCACCTCGGCCCGGGACGGCCCCACCGCCACCGTTCACGGGGAGAAATAGCGCAACGGTTTTATTTTTTGGGGTCAGTATTGAGGTGAAGAGGAAGATTGGACATTGCTTGAACCCGAACAAAAGGTATAAAATAATAAAAAATAGATCATTATCTTGCGTAAAAGGGTATAACCGGCAGCTTAACGCTACCCCTTACCCCTTTTCCCCCGAGTCCGAGTCCTCGATCCGAGCCCTTACCGGGATACCCTTCCTTTACTCCACGTAAAAGTATTTCCAAAAGGCAATCAGATGTCACCAGGCACAACACCACTTCAATCAGCTGCATGCACTCCAAAATAGGCTTGATTGCGAACCAAACGAATGTCTTGGATTTGTAGTCTCAGAGTGGGTTACAACCTAAACCAGTGACAACCTGGAAACAAGTAACATGTTCCTCCATCTTAAACGACCGACGGAAGCTGCCAGATCCAGCCCCTTTGTGCCACCTGTTGCCCTCCAAAAGTAACAGTAACCCAATTAACAGAAAGAGAGACGAAGGCGCCCAGGTCTGTTCCCTCCAACGAGGTGGGAGGCAGGAGGCTTAAGCATCATTCTGCTTCTTACGCAGATCAAAAACCCGAATCGCCTCCTCCGCCGCCTTCACCCCGCTAAGCGCCATAGCGCCAAACGTCGGGCCCATGCGGTTGGCGCCGTCAATCTCGGACAGCTCCATGCCGCCGACAATCAGACCGGGCACGATCTCACGCGTGTTCTTGACAATCGCGTCTTCGGCCCGCTGCATGTCCAGGCCGCGCATGCCTTCGAGTTGTTCGAGGCGCTTCATGCTGACTAGGCGCTTGACGGAGAAGGCGCCGAAGGGGCCTGTTGGTCGTTAATATGGATGTTGATGATGAAGGAAGGGGTAGATGAAAATAGGGGAAGACATACCGTCGTGGCCGGTGGTCGAGATGATAACCGGCGCGTTGATAGTGTTAGGGTCCATGCAGCTCTGGTCGTCATGGTGCATCGACACCAACGTCCAGTTCGTAACAACACCCGCAATGCGCACGCCCGCAGCGCCCTCCTCATCCGACGGCCGGGTAATCAAATCCTCCACCGTCGTAGCATTAAACATCTTGACATTATCCATAGCCAGCACGCGCGACAGCACAGTGCTAGTGAACAGCGCGGCGTGCTTGACCACCACGTAGTCGCCCTCGTCGTCAAAGGGCACGCCGATTTCCCGGAGGAACACGTCGGCCGGCTTGCGCATCACCATCGCGCTGAAGAGCTGGCCGCCGAGCCAGGCGCCGCCGCCGGGGGCGACGCCCGCTTCGATGATGGTGATCTTGAGGTCCGGGCGGAGCGTACCGAGCGTGTAGGCCGCGGAGAGACCGCAGGAGCCCGCGCCCACGATGACGATGTCGGTTTCGGCGTGCGCGTCCAGGTCGGCGAAGTCTAGGCTGTGTTAGAATACATTGAACCTTATGATAGTGATGCCACGTAGAAAGGAGTAAGAACTTACAGCGGCGGGTCATGGCGCGCGAGACGGTGCTCTCACGGATGGGCGCAAAGGTAAAGTCGTCCCAGCTGCCCAGCATCTCGCTGAGCGGCTTGGTCAGGCCATCGGTGCGCTCCTCAACGGTAGCGCCGGCGTCCTTCACCTTCTTGACACCCACGGCGAGCTGGGCGTGCTGCTGAGCGGGGGAGATCGCAGAGGGAGCCATCTTGTTGTTGTTTTATTTCGGGATTTACCGAGGAGTAAGTTTGGGTGATCTGCAACAGTCAGGATTTTCTGCTCCGACACAAGCAAGGGGAATAGGACAAGAAGCATGATCCTTTCGCTGGTATTATCCAGATCAAGTTTTGCGCCGTATAATCTCAGCCGCTCCGCTGCTGTCGGCAACGCCCACCGGTCTTGGTTCTTGAGAATTCGCCTCCTTTATGGAAGTGGAATTATTCCAAGAACCCTGACTGGAGACAACCGACAGCAATCAGATTGGCACCGGCTCACGCGTTCAGATAGTTACCTGAAGATGATACAAGTTTGATCATTGTGGGATAGGACACCATCGAAAGGCCGCCATGGCTTCTCGGCCCCGAAGGGAGGACGGCATCATGTACCGGACAAAGTCGGTCGGTCAAAGTCTGGGCTGTGGTTAGAGATACTAGTGTTCTACTAAGCAAGGGGAGGAAGTGCGTGCGCACGACACTTGTTGCTTCTAAGAGAGCTGTTGTTGTTGTTTTACTGAAGCGTTGGTGTTCGACGATAGAGAGAGAAAGAGAAAAGAGAAGGGAAGCAGAAAGGAGGGGCAGGGCAAGCGAGCATCCGATATGGAGTCTCCCTTTTATAACCCGGCGCTTCCTAGCTCGTGCGGTTCTGGGCGGCTCAAGGTGCACAGAACATCCGACCCCCACGACTCCTCTTTTTTGGCGAGTAGAACTAGCCGTGCTAGTTCTGCGAGATGACTATCTCCGCAAGCGAGCCCCTCCCGTGATACCCTTTTGCCCCTCTGCCCCTCACGGGGATAGTGGGATAATGGTCGATCCACGGGGAACGGCACGGCCGGTGGAGGAAGAGGGGTCGGCTGATAACCCAATGACGATATCAGATCCGCTCGAGCCGTCTCCGTTGTGGTACCCCAGCGAGTCCAGTTGTGCCAAAGAGAAGAGCTTGGCTTGGATATTTGGGTTCACCCACGCTTGAGTCGACCAACATATCATGTTCCCGCTGTCGTATCGGCTAAGTACGGCCTACGTGTTGGAATTGACCAATGTTATGCCAGCGATTTGGGCCGGAAACCGCTCAGCATTGTTGGTGCTTAATGAGCACCACGTCCGAGATCCGACCTCACCCGCCCGACCCCGAGATCGGAGAGGATTTGGGCCAGGCATTAGGTAAAAGCTGAGCTTGGCGAGTGTCGTCGAGGTGGGTTTTGTACTTATGAGAGGAGGATGTGACAGAGAGAAAGGTGGTCTGGAGAAAAAGAACAAACGGAAGGAGAAGGAAAAAGAGGTAGTACACTAAAAGCAACCTACCCTAACCAACCATAGCCATGAGAAGTCTTGATAAAACGCTACGAAACCTGCGATTTCGGTGAACTCGTCGTTGAACATATACCAAGCCTTTAAGTCCCGTCTACTGGTCCTAGGCAGATGGTAGCAGCTTCGTGACCCCGGCCTCGAGCATCGCGGCTTCGTTGGTTAAAGGCGGGGAGAAAGGTATCTCTACGTCGACGTCATTGCCAAGCTCGCCGATTCGGATGCAGGTGACCCATGAACCGATGGACCTCTTCCCTTTTGCGAATGACAATATTTAAGTGTTCATCACCATGAAGAAACTCCAATTGATAATAAGGGAGGTCGTGGTCGGTACTCCGGAACTATTATCCTTGGGTAACTCGAGCTCCCCACCCTGTTACCTCCGAGGGCCATCGACATCAATCGCGAAGCGGTCGTTCTCGCCGTTTATACCCGCGACGGGCGTCGCCGATATTGGCATCGGCGCGATCGTGAAGACATCGGTAATTTCGTCTCAAAGCTTTCCCGGGGTATATTTCCCGTCCGAAACCTGGGGTTCAGGGTGGTGGAGTTGGGTTGCTTGTTAGTGGAAGTAGCTGAGGCAGTTTTTGGTGTGAAGTGTTGAAAAGCAAAAAACACCTGCGCGTCATCCAAAAGTGGGGCTGCCCTACGGCCCCACCTCGGTCCGGGGGTATTGATACGCGTAATTACATCGGACGTGCCGAAATTGTCATCTCCGACTTCACCTGAACCACCGACTATTGTGATGATTGTTTTCCGGAGGTCTGCTTCCTGTTGTTTTTTGGACTACGGATAAGCCGCACACCCCCACGCAATCCAATTTTACCCAGAACTAATAGCTTTGCGTAGTAGCACTTAACCTGCCAACCGGACGTGTGCCAGGTGTACCGGATTCCACACCTAACTGGCCTCCCAGTCACTGGTCTCGATACGCAGTAAAGACGTTTCTGAACATCCATCACCGATAAAGCAGTCCCACCAGCGCATCCCAACTCGCCTCCTCGTCCCCCTCAACAACAGCATAATCCCCCGTAGCCAGCAGCTCCCACTTCACCTTCTCCGCTTCCGCCCGAAGCCTGCCCGCTTCATGCACCATGCCCTTCCGCTCATACACCCGCGCGATCTGCCACTGAACCCTGGCGGACTCTCCTGAATTCCCACGGTGCGGTTCGTTGAGACGGCAGATGTACAGGGCCTGCTGTAGATGCTGTAGAGCCGTGTCGTCGTCGTCGTCGCCCCCGCGAAGCATCGCGATCCGGCCACGCTGGTATAGAGCGGCCATCACGCTCGCATGTGTGGGGTTGCCTGCGGATACGAGGGAATGTGCTTGGTGACTGAGTTGGGCGGCTGCTTCGAGGTTGCCTTGCCACGCAGAGAGCTTGGATAGCTCGCGTTTTGTCCTGCGGGTGGGAGGTGTGCGTTAGTCGTAGTATAGCAGTGAAAAGCTATCAAGGTGGGCCGCGAAAAGAACAAGACAACGGTGTGAGTGGAGAGGAGAGGCTGGGGGTTTAGCAGGGCGGTAACTCACTCCCCATCATAGTGGCTATCGGGCCCATGGAGCTTGGTCTGAAAGTACTCGGCCTCAAGAAAATCGCGCTCAGCCTCGTCAAACTGCCCGAGTTGCTGCCTGTAGCGGCCCCTATTCCTCAGGAACCGATCGATATCGTAGTCCTGGTAACAGCGCGGCTCGGGATGCGCCTTGGCCATGGCCACTGCCGTGTCGAGATACTTGATGGCCTCCGACGCTTTGTGTGCCGACACCATGGTGTAGCCAACATTGCTATGGGCATTGGCGATCTCTGCATCCTTGTCTGGGTAATGCTTCTGCAGGAGGGCAAATTCCGTTTTGGCTGCGGCGCAGGACTTGTTGCTGCGTCCTGTCCTCTCGTATAGACCCATAAGACTGCGATGGATTTTGGCGGCCAGGAGTGAGTCCTCGTCAGTGTCGTCTAGGATAGACAAGAGCGAGGCCTCCGCTTCCTGAAAGTGCTGAATCTCGACCATATACCTAAGGCGCTATCAGCTCTAGTTGATTTGACCCGGCGATAGAAGGGCTGATGTATTTTATGAGTTGCTTACCATGCGTTGTCACGTATGAGTTCGATGTATCCTGGGTCCCTAGTTGCGAAGTCGCCAACGGCTTTTAATGATTGGTATCGCTCACTGAATGCTAAGACGAGTTGGTGCAAAGTGCTACATCGATCCCACTTTGTCCACAGGTGTTTGGCGGCACCCTGCTGTCGCGGGAAATGTGCGCGGAGTAGAATGAGGGCCCCACGGAATGCCTCGTCTCGGGATTCTGCCGTCACCTGGGAAAAGTAGCTTTCATGTACAACACGGTCCACCAAAATACTGCCCGTAGCGACGTGGATTCGGACTAATGAGGCGACAAGAAGGTTCTCCACCGCCTCGTCGAACCTGTTGATTCGTAAGTCAGTTTGGGAGGTCAAGGCAACAGGTCAGAGACGCTACTATCCTCCAGACGTTTTCCAAAAGTCCCCAATGCGGCCGATTGCTTCCAATCGGTTCCCCGAAACAGCGACAGCGGAACGGGTTCGGGGCTCATAAAGCAAAGCATGCCCATAAGTTCGGAGGCATCTTTGCCCAAGTGATCGAAGATCATCTGCCAGAGGTCGTTCATTTTCTTTCTTTTTTTTTCGAACACTAGAGGTCTCCGTTCCCAAGTCTAGGCCGCTTCAAAGTTGAACTCAGGTTTTGTTACAAGTAGAATAGGTAGGCAAGTAGGTATTCGGCCATTGACTGACCTAGACCGTTGCGAGATTTTGACCCGTAAGACTGTTCCTTCCTTCCCCTACCTTCGAATCTCACACCGGCCCTTTATAACCACCCTTCCGCTACTAATTGCCAACAGCCCCCCCGTCCGACAAATGCCCAACCGCGGATGGTGTATTTGGGGGGGTGCGGGCAGCACCGGCAGTGCCCGCTTTCTCCGCTCCATGAGTTCGACTCATGGACGGGGCATCCAAGCAAAATCCTTCGGGATTTTCGTAGCTGTTCACTTCCTCACCGGAGGAAGTGGGCAGTGAGCCTTTTGTTCTTTTAGCCTTTTCTTATTCCTTTTTTTCCCATCTTGAGATCGCCGGCACGTATAGTTGTCATACACTGCTGTCCCATTGTCGTGCCATCCTCTCGGTGTCTTCCAAGAAACCCTATTGTAAATGAGATTGCTTCCAATTGCTTCCCAGAAATATGGATCTCGGTCTGGATTTGGGACATATAATGTAGAACATGCCCATCATTTCGGAGGCATCTTCATTCGTGTCTCAGGCACCGTTGCCCGCACGCCTGTGGCGGACGAGGATACCTTACGTTATCGGGTTGGTTGGCTTCGTGGCGGACAAACATCCCCCACCCCAGCGCCATTCTTCCAACCAACACCCGCTGGCACCCCGCTGCTCACCGATCTCAACTCCTCTATGCTTATCTCTCGGCCCCGCTGTCGCCTGTACCGGTGTTCCCCCATCGTTGCGGATGCACAAGACCCATTAGAGTGTTCTGTCCCTCGGTTCCCCTCCGAGCGTTACATCACGTACGAGAACCCTTCATGTCGACAATGGACTGGCCGCGTTTGCCCTTGCAAGATGGGACTCTTGTCCCCGTAGTGAGTATATCCCCCAGCGGCCCAACACGCGCTTGTCGCTAAACCCATACTCCCAGCTCGGGTTTGGAACAGGAACCGCCTGGTTCAAGAACGACCCCAACGACCCCGCCAACCCTGAGTTGATCGAGGTTCTCAAAACAGCCCTGTCCAAGGGTTTCGTTCACATTGACACGGCCGATGCGTACGGAACAGAGAGCGAGGTCGGCATCGCCATCAAGGAAAGCGGCATCCCACGAGATAAGCTCTTCATAACCACCAAGGTGATGGCTGGATGGAAGGACGTGCCCGCCGCGCTGAGGAAGAGTCTTGAGAGACTGCAGTTGGATTATGTGGATCTGTATAAATCCCCCCATCTCTTCTCACACGCTTGAGTTTGCCGTCACTAACCTTAGTCTGCACCTCCTAGATATCTGCTCCATAACCCGTACCTCATTCCGACGACCGAAGATCTCCAGAACGCCTGGAAGGGGCTAGAGACCGTGAAAAGCGCAGGTCTGGCCCGGTCCATTGGCGTATCGAACTTCCAGCGTCACCACCTCGAAGCTGTTCTAGACATTTGCACCGTCGTCCCGGCCATCAACCAAATCGAGTTCCACCCCTATCTTCAACGTGACGCAGACTATATCCCGTGGATGCGCGAGAAGGGAGTCGAGGTCTCATCCTTCAAGACCCTGGCCCCTATTACCGTGGGTGCTGGCGGGTTTCTCGATCCCGTCCTCCAGTCCATTGCGGAAACCCACGGAGTAGCCACCAGCACCGTGCTTTTGAGCTGGGCTATCGGCCGGCATGCTGTCCCCATCACAACCACATCCAAGGGCGAGAGAATGGATGAGTATCTAGCCGCCGTTACGCTCAAGCTATCTACTGAGGAGGAAGAGGAAATTACTAAGGTTGGCCTGCAGCACCACTTTCGCTGGTGGGGGAGGAAGTTCTTCGGCCCGGATGACCGATCTTGATCGGACAAGGGGTATTGCCTTAAGTTGCCGAGTTTAGCAAAACACGAGGCTCTGTGAAAATACGCTCTATACAACCCCTTGGCGTTGGGGAAGCAAACACCGCAACAAACATGGAGGCAAACACCGGAGGACGCATGCATTTACAGCAGTTTTAGTGATGTGTCGTTTTTCCCTCTCTTTTTAAGACTTGTTGTCCTAAGCAATTGTTCGGTAAAGTTCAAAACGCCATCCTGATGGGTCGACTTCCCTTGCCTGATAACAGCCTCGACGATAACGCCAAAACGATCTGCGTCAACACGACGCCTTGCCGAGAGTTATCGTTAACTAGCGGACGGGATCCTGGCGTCGTCAATGCAGCTCCAACGCGAATCGGCGGGGACCCCATTCTGTAGGGCTTGACGGATATGAACGAAGGACCTGCATTGCGGTCATCAGCAAAATCAAATCCCCGAAACCCCACGTAATGTGTGTAAACATACAGTGCCGGTCACTCTGCAAATGCCGAGTTGCCCTGCATATGACCCGCAAATGGGCCGCAAATGCGACAAAAAGTGACTATTGGAACAGTGTCTTTTGCTTAGCTAAGCTCTTGGCAGCTCGAAAATACCGCGTCTTGATTGGCTGGTTCATGCCAATTATGCCAATTGCAGAATGTTCGAAATGCAAAATTGACTGGGGACGGGGATGCCGAGCCAGCAACCACATCCCACCTAAGCTTTTGCTTTTTGCGGGCGAAAACCCCGTCAGCCGTAAATTATTTCTAGCTTCTGCACATCCTGCTGCCTTCCGCCAATACCTTATCCCGTGTGCATTCCCATTCAGTTTTTGTTCACTCTTTTTATTCTGTTTTATACTGACTGCCGGTTCCTTGCAGCTTACACCCCAGACTGCTTTTTTCCCACAAACTCCACTCTCTTGCGTGCGATCGTTGCATCTCCTGCGCAGTGACGTCGCGAACCGAGGCCTGCGCCCCACCGATTTTATCATCCTAGCTTTCGAGCAACCCGACAGAGATTCGCGAGATCGCAAACCACACGTGTTTGCGCCATCGATCAGATCGCCGGCTCAGAGGCCGCGTCTCTAGCGGGGGTGAGCAAGCAGTCGAACCAAAGTTGCTACGAACGCGCCAACATCTCTCCCACGACGCGTCGCAACCAGCCTTGCGTGACCTGGAGCGCCAGGGTTACCAGGATTCTTGAATCCTTCAGACCGATTTTCGCGTCATCGACTGTCCGCCCACGCGACACACCCACACACACACACCGCCCCTCGCGATCTGCGCGTTGCTGAGGCCAGGCAGGGGAAACAGTAAAGAGAAGGAGAGAGAACCTCCCAAACATCCCAAAACCCCAAAAAAGACCGGAAAGAAACACAGAACAGCAAGCCAAAATGAAGTCACCACACACCCACACGCCCTCAGGCTCGCTCGACGCCTCGCAGCCCCCAGTCCCCATCTCCATCACCATCTGCGGCGACGGCGGGTGCGGTAAATCCTCCATCACCCTCCGCCTAGTCCGCAGCCAATGGACCAGCGAGTACGACCCAACCATCGAAGACAGCTACAGTGTGACCCGCCGGCTCGACGGCGTAACCTACCACCTCAGCCTCACCGACACCGCGGGCCAAGAAGAATACCGCGGCATGTGGGCGTCCTCCAACCTCGGCGCCGACGCCTTCCTCCTCGTCTACGACATCACCTCGCGCGACTCCCTCGACGCCCTCGAATACTTCAACGAACTCATCGACATGGAAGCCGAAACCCGCCTCGACAACGCCGCTCGCGCCCGCCGCGCCGGCCTCATGCCCCCGGCCCATCACAACCCCTCCTCCACCTCCTCCTCCTCTGCGATCCCCGTCCCCCTCAACCTGCACGGCCTCCCCATCAACGGCGGCGCGGGCTCCGGCGCCAAAATGGTGGCGCCCATCAAAATAGTAGCCGGCAACAAATGCGATCTGCAAGACGCGCGCCGCGTGCCGGCGGCGGTGGGGCTGGACTGGGCACGCAAACGGGGCTGTGGCTTCATGGAGACTAGTGCGCGCTTAGAAGTCAATATTGAGGAGACGTTTGCGTTGATTGTGCGAAGGGTTGTGGAGGCTCGTAGGCTAGCGGCGCTGGGTGTCACGGATGCTGAGTTGGCTGCTAATAGTCGGGGGATGACTAAGCCGTTGACGCCGTTGCCGCCGGCGGGTGAGGGGGAGGAGGGGGAGGGTGAGGGGGGGGATGAGAAGAGTGGGGGGAAGAAGTGGGGGGGGGGGGGGGGGGGGGGGGGGGGGGGGGGGGGGGGGGGGGGGGTCTTGGGGGACGGGGTTCTGGTGTGAAGAATGAGGCTGGTGAGGGTGGTGAGAGTGGTGGGTTCTGGAGGAAATTGCGGTGCTGGTAGGGCCGGTACGCGGTGCAACGGGACTTGATGGGTGATGGGACGGCCGCAGCGGCTGGTGGTGTTGTTGTTGCTGTGACGGAGGAGCCGAACAAGCTCAGGAAGACGCAGCAGAAACATTGGGGGCATGGGGAGATTGCGAAGAACAGCATCCGGATTGTGAAAGGTGACAGACGCATAAGATAAGTGTATGGTTTAGGGGATAGGGGTTGAGGATTCGCGCTGCAATATTATATACAACACGGGGACTTGGGGGACTCGGAGGGTTGGGGGGTCAGGGGTAGGGTTGACATCTCAGCGATGGGGTGCGGTGTGCATGGGCGTTGGGAAAAAGAATCGGGCTTGGCTTTTCTCTGTTTGGGACGGAACTGGGCTTGGGAGCGTTAGATACCACGGTCGGCCGGCACCACAGTCTGCTTTCTTTTCGTTTGTTGTTGTTTGGTTGTTTTGCTGTTGTCATAGCTGGTAATGGGACACAGGAGTCGGTGCGGACCTCACAGAAGCGATTCCTTTTGTTGCTTGTACTATACCAATGTAGGACGAACATGGTGGCGTCTAGGCAGTAATACGAGAACTCAACACAGCGTCTCACTTCTATTTCGTAAAGTAACCGGAATCTAAAGCAAAACCCCCGTCCAGATGTTACCCGTGAGATAATTCTCGGCACCAAGGTACTCACCTTGAGCGTGCAACATACGGGCAACCGAGAGATCCCAAGCTCAAAATGTGGAAATCCTTCCTTCCCAATCCCAAACCGACTCCGACCCATCCTTAAACCCACCGTCAATGCCCCAAAATACTCCGTAAATCGCAAAAGCCCTGAGCCCTAAAATGCCGTCCTCATCTTCACACCTGTATGATTCCCAGGTCTTGGTCTCCTGTATCTACGCCTCCATCCATCTCTCTAGATCCTCCTCTAGGCCACAACTGTAAAGAAGAAAAGCCCAACCCATCCACTCACTGCGCATCAACCCAATCCCGCCACTTCTTAAACTCGGCATACTCCACCGTCTTCTTCTTCCCCTGATACCGCACCACATTCAGCGGCACCTCATTCCACCGTTCCTTCTTTCCAACCCACCCCGCCTTCCTCATCAAACTCACCAGCGTCTCCTCCTTCGTCCACCCTTGCTCAGTCGCCACATCCGGCAGGTAAGTCGCGCCATACCGACGGCCATGATAAACAAACGAGATGCGCAGGCCGTGCGTGCCGAGCTCCCAGTCCATCTCGTCGTCGGCGTCTTCGAAATCCGTCAGCAGCGTCACGGCGACTTCGAGCGAGGGCAGTTCGCGCGTGCTGATGGGGTGGAACCGCGTGTCTTCGAGCGCGGAGATGATTGCGTAGGAGGACAGGCCGTGCTCGATGGGTTGCGCCTCGAAGGTGCCGATGCAGCCGCGCAGGTGGTATTCGCCGTGGCGGGTTGAGAAGGCGTTCCAGGTTACGAAGAGCGGGGATTCGGTGATGGGGGGTGGGAGTGCGGGGTCGGCATCGTCGTCGTTGTCGGCTTCGGCGGGGATGGAGGAGGTGGAGGTTCCTGGGGTGTCTGGGTTGAGCGAGAGTGTGCTGTTGGAGGCGGATGAGGCGGAACTGGATGATGAGGATGCTTCGGTCACACGGGTGAGGGCGGGTAGGCGCTTGGCAAGTTTGTCGGACTCATCGGCTGTGTCGTCCGCTTCGGTGGCACTCGAGGAACGGGCGTATTCAGCCCATGACTTTTGCACTTCGCTCAAGGTCAAGGGTGTTCGGTCCTCAAGGCGGGCTGCCAGGGTTTCAAAGCAGTAGAGGCAATGCTCGACGGACGCCATCGGAGTGGCTTGGCTTGGCCGCGTCGCGGATCACGACGGTAGTACCTAATTTATGGGGTTTGGGGATCAAAAGGATACGGTGTGAAGCGACGACGACGCAAGCCAGGCCTTGGGTTGTTGTGGAAAGAAGGTGCGAACGGGGAGGGGCAGAGCAGTAGGAGGGGCAAGTACCCGTGTGGTCATACCCCACTTTCACACGGTTAGCCAATCATAACCTGCATGCACTAACACCAGCCCGGGAGTCTGAGACCCCCATGTGAACACTGGGCGCTGTTTGTCATCATTCCATATCATCGAAACTACCTAGCTAATTACCTTTATTCATGTGAAAGGTCCTACCTAATCTACCAGAAAAATACAAAAAGCTCACCACCGAACCCTATCCCCATCCGGAGGGATAGCGGTCGGTAGTTACGAAAAGCCCACCGGGGGGGGGGTTTTACTTCGCTGGCCCCGGGAATCGAACCCGGGGCCATTTCGATTTACGACGGAATTGGCGTGGTGCTCCTCCCAATGCCGTTACGCCAAACACGCTGTTTGGCGAATTGGGAGGAGCTGGTGACAGTGCGAGGGAGAAACGGGCTTATATGACGTGGGGTGGTATGAAGCAGCGGTCCTTCCATTCGGTTGACTTGACTAGGGTGAAGCCAGAATTATAAGGCCAAACATTGTTTAAGAAGCTACTGATGTACAGGCATATAAACGCGAGGATGAGCAAAGCGAGGAAGATATGGTGCGTGTCTTGAAAAGTCGAATCTTGCTTCTATCTAGTCTTACAAGGAGAGCAGCCCTCTGCTCTCACTCCCAGCTCATCTCAACCAAAAGTCACATCCCAAGCGGTTATAGACCACTTTCAAAAGCGGCGTGAAATCCCCTACGCAGTTTCTCCGACCCCTCCCCCGAATCCACAAACAAGCTCGTGGCATTTCCAATGAGGCCTGATATTCTCAAAATGGCCGCCACCGAAACTACCTCGTCCCTGACCCTCCAGCCCAGCTCAGTCGGCAATCGTTCATGTTCTGCGACGATAAATGACACAGACATCCACCAGTCAGCTCAGATTCACGGTACCGCTTTTCTACTCACTACAAAGAACAGAAACACTCACGAAAAAAGTACTCAACCAGCGTCCGATTCACCGTAGCGGCCTCCAAATCCCCAAACGCAATAAACGGCGCCGCCATCTCCCCCAAACTAAAATGCTCCACGGCCTCAGTGAACCGATACTCCGGGTTAAACGCCTTAGAGTCGATCTGCCGTGCAATCTTGGCGTTGGCCATGTGGGTTGTCGTGATGAGGGGCTCGGGCCAGTAGCGCTTGGTTTGGTCGAAGATGGTCTGGTTGAAGATGTGGTTGCTGCCGAAGAAGGCGTCGGTGCGGCTTAGGCTGGCGTCGTGCTCGAGGACGTTGTGGCGGTTGAGGTGGTCGCTGGGGGTCGGGGTTATGGAGTTAGTAAAGGTGAGGTTCTAGACATTACGTAGCTACCTTGTGTGCGCTGGTGGTGAGGGGCCAAGGGTAGGGTATAGATTGGGACGTACAGCGTGAAGAAGGTGGCGTTCGGCTCTGGGTTGGCGATGATAGCTTGGTCGAACATGATAGTTGCGAGAGCAGGAGCAAAGTTGAGGCCGCGCCCCATGCCGTCGATGACGGCCTGTCTGGTAATTTTCCGGCCGTCTCGGGGCAAGATACCGTGGTTGGCAAGCGTGTTCATCATGGGGCAGGGGCCGCGGACTATATGCGAGAGATCTTGTAAGCACAACACTTTGACCAGGCCCGGTGTGACAGGCACACAACATAGAGCCAACGGTGTCAAGATAAGATGGCAAGGACAAAACTTACAGTCGTTGGGCCGCGGGGGATGCCACTCCGGAACCTCGACCGCATCACAGTCCTTGTGAGCATACGCTGATGGTATGCTGCCGAGGAGAGTTGAAACATAGCTGAGGAAGATGATGAACGACTTCATTTTGGATGACATCGAGAAACATAAAGTAAAACGAACTGGGTTGCACAACGCTATGTAATACCCATCGGGGCTAACGGTTGCGATTTATACTTGCTGTTCCCCTGCCAGGTCAAGTTAACCCCCCTTTGTTCGTCTTTCTCGCATCTTTCGTCGTATCTCGCGATCTCGTTGTCACCCTCCTGCGCCCATCCGTCCATGATTTTGTAGCGGTAGGTTATCCCTGTATAATACTGCCATAGTACCGAACACAGCGCATTGCCCGGGGGGCCATTCCGCCCGAAATGGGCACAAGCGGGAAACGTCGTTCATCTCGCAGGCGAGTACGTGTCCGCGTATTAGTACTCTCGTACCTCTCGTACTATTTCGCACCTCTCGCGTTCTCGTACCTCTGATTGGCTTGTTCAATCCAGGGAGGCCCACCAGCCCAGCCGTGCTCTGAACGATCATACTCTACCGCAGTAGCTTCCCCGATCACTACTACCTTGGCGGAATCCAACCCATCTCCTCCGTCGCCCAAACAACCCAATGGCGATGCTCAGCATCCAGCAACGCCCACGTTTTCCCCATGAGATGATCCGCCCAACCCTCGACATACCACTGGCTTTCAAGCTTCCTCACTACGAGCAGACAATACGCGAATATGACCAAGGCTTCCTGCGGCGGATCGACGGCATCGAGCAACGGGAGGAAATGCTTCCCTTGTGTCCATTGCCATATCAAGATGTCCCACGCCTCTAGTTTCGTCCATGGTAAAGCCTCTGGGGCCGCTCCCGCTCCTGCTGCGCCTGATGGAGACGATCCCGGCATTGTAGCTCCGCCTGGTGTTTGTGGGACGCTGGACCCATGAGAATGGACGTGGGTCGCACCCATGGCGCCGCGAGGTGGTGTCAGGATCAGCCCAAGCACGCGACGGAGCTGCTCAATCATATCGTCGTAGATGAGGATAAGATCAGGGTTGGCGCAGGTGCGGTGGATGAGGGATTGGACGTCTACGAGCAAGTTCGGGTCCCGGGGCGGTGTTGTTCTCAGGAACGGTAGCATACGGCTCCGGCCGAATTCGAATAGGGGGGTTAGTGTGCCGCGGTAGTTTTGGGGGTTTAACACGTGCAGGATGGGTTCCATTCCGTGAAGGAGACGCAGCCAGTTGGGGATTAGGGGGCTGCCTGGCTCGAGGTCTGCTTCGTTTACGGGACATGCTATAGCTGAAGGAGGGCATGTCAACGTCAGCTACCTCGTGATGCCCAATTATGGAAGGGGGGAATTAAGTTAAGGCGCACCGTAGTAAATCGTTAGCATAGAGAACAGATGTAGCCTCTCGCACTCGTCAGCCTGCAAGTCAGCCAGCAACTCAATGGCGGCAGCGCTGGCGGCCTGGTGGTGGTCCATGGCGCGCTGGAGGTACAGAGCCTTCTTTTGCGGGCGATATCGGGACAGGTGAAGAGCAGAGACAGCGAGGATGGAGCGCATGAGGTATTCGCAGTCGGCAGCCATGTGGACGGCTGTCGTTCGTAGCAGTTGCCGGACTGCTGGGTCGCTGACCATGGTCGTGTAAGTAAAGGTGGTGAAGTTGTGCATGAGTTCGAGGTCCATCAGGTTGATCTCGCATGGAGACGAGACTGTAGACACCGGATGTTGAGGCGGCGGCAACGGGTCCTGGTCCACCGGGACGGCGGGAGAGGCAGACGAGGCACCATGAATGATAAAATCGCATGGCAGTCCACTCTTTATGCATCTACGACATGACGGTCTACTTTCATCGCACTGTACCATGTAACAGACAAAATGTTAGCGGGCGTGACTGTGGACTTCTTTACATGATCGCTTCGCCGCAGTCTTGAGATAAAAAAGAAAGGAATTAAAGATTGGAAAAAAGGAAGAGTGAGAAAAGGACGAAAAAAGTAAAAGGGTCGCGCTTGCGTACCTTGACCCTGCGTCTCTTGCAGGTCCGGCATCCTGTTCGCGTTTTCGGGTGTGGACGGGGCCTGACCACTGTTCGTTTCGGTCTTGCGTCCTGAGCCTCAGTGACCGTTGAAGCTGAATGTACAGAACCAGTGTCATTGGTCTCTACGGGAAGGGGGTTCGATGAATTATCCGACATTGCTGCCGAGGTAATGGAGTGGTGGATTAATACTAGTCGATGTGTAGTTTGGGGCGTCGCGAGAGATTCGGATGTGGTGCGAGAATGAGCAAAGGAGCGAGAGCACAATGCGAGATGGGGTGGAGATCTTTGCATGTATTTGTATCTAATTACGTATCGCCCCCTTTTCAGCCCCCCCCCCAAAAAAAAAGAAACATGCATCCAATTAAGGCAATTTTCACCTCCATGATCGATAACAAGCAGAAACCCATATGTGCGATGATCAGGGCTCGGAATTACCGAATTTCCTAAACATGCGATACTCTCTAAAAGCCAGCACGCTAAGATGAAGGGACAAAACACTGCAATGCCATACAAGTCAGACGGGACGCAACCAAAAGGAGGAACCAACCCAACCCATCGGAAACTCACAAGATGATAATAACCACAAACGTGCCGACCCACGCTACCGCGCAGCTGCTCCCAATGCAAAATCTCGAAATGCCCATGAACTTGAGCACAATGAGGGTGAGCCAAAAAACAGACTCCATGCAGTTCAGTATGAAGTTCGCCTTCAAGATCTTCCATCTGGCGAACCGACGTGTGTGTTCGGTGAGAAGTTGATAGGCGACGATAAAGATCGATTTGATGGACTATGACGGTCCCTTGTGTTAATGCTGGGGGCTAAACACGTGTGAAAAGCATCCAGGCGAGGGGGGCAGACTCACATAAACGATGCCCATGATGTCAGGTGGGGTTATGAAGGGGGCCAGGTTCAGGTAGGTGCCCGTTAGAACGAGAAGCAAAACGACCAGGAAGAGCAACAGAATGTGCTCCCGTAGCTTCCATTTGGGGTTGAAAAAGGTGCCTGTTTTGCCCCTGGTGACGGATCTGTACTTTGGGTGCTGAAGAGAAACAGAATTAATAGTGTGATGACTTGAAGATGCTTTCACTGTATCTCTCTCGAGGGTTGGAGCCAGCCTAAATACTCAAATGTCGCTGGAGGCATCCCCAATCTGTCCATATTCTTGTTGTTTGTTGACTCGATATCTTGCGTGGATTCAGGGGCTGGTTCTCGCTCTGCTTCGCGAATCCTCGTTTAGCTCGCGTTTGTGGGCCTTGGGGCCACGACTGTCTGTGAACGGTCGCGCGTCCCTGGGAATTATTGCAGAAGGCCAAGACAATAAGCGTAGGCAAGCGATGAAACAAATATTGATTAGCTATTAGCTAGCAATGGCTTCAAGAGTAAATCTGAAGTGATGACGTTCTACGTGGAAAGGGGAGGGAAACTGGCCCAGGACAAAGACTCTGACACATGGCAGGTAGGCAGTTTCAGCTTCCCAAATAGAGCAGCAAGATCACTTCTCTTTGCATTGTTCAAAGCTACCAAGCAATGACAACTGACTGAAAGAAACCATTCCTCGATTCTCTCAATCTCAGTTCACTCGCTACTCGACATCCTCCTGCAAGTCATTGCGCACATTGTCGCCAACCGCGAAAGCTTCACGGTCCGTCTTGACTTCCGTCGGCCAACCGGCACTTTTGAGCACCGCTTCGGCAAGGTTGAGAAGCAGGAGATCGCTACCGTGCGCACCCACGAAACTGCTCACTATCGGCAGGTATTCCTTCAACCCGCTGATCCGAGAGTTGTATGGCTTTTGCCCGACTGTATTAAACGAAATGTGAGCGAAAAAATGTATGCGTTGAAGACAAGAGTGCGGTCACTTACTAGGCACTATGAGCGTTGGCACCTAAAGCACCGGTGGTAAGTAGAAGACCGAGAACGATCCGACAATGCTCGGGAGGCTGTTCGTGGTTAGGGCAATCCGCAAGTGGCAACCATTACCCATATATGATGGGGACCTACTTGTTTGCGTCGTCACGGTACTTCGGAGCTGCAGAGCCAAATGGCATCATCATCACGGCATCAGTTATGGTGTCCGGGTCCGGCCCCATGATGTTCTTCTCGAACCACTTTCGAAAGACCTTCATCTCGGCTACGCCCTGCTCACGCTCTTCTTTGGTAAACGGAACAGCGAGGCTCCTAAGAAAAAGGTCTGGTCAGTATGTGAACAGCATCCTTGCCATCTGGGCAGACGCTCACCATCGCTTCCGCATGTACGGCCCCACATATGCCGGCTTCCCAAACTTCTCAAGGTAGTCTCTTCGAAAGTCGTCGAAGGTGTAATATGTATCGTAATACATAGGCCAAACCGCGCTCTGTTCAAGTCAGCTTGGGGAAGTGGCAAATTCCAGAAGATGTCAAGTACCATTTCGAGATACTCCAGCAGCGTCTTCCCTCCAGCTTCCTCGGGCGGATTGGGATGCCCATGTGTCAGTGATACTGATGGGAGTTCGCTTGACGCCGAGGAACTTCTCGACGGCGGTGATAAATGCCTCAGTCATGGCTTATTGCTCGGCATCTGCCTGTGGAAAGAAGTCCAGAGGATAGAGCAGGCGTTTCGGATACTGGGACGAGGCAGGAACATCCAACGTTGCCTTGATCAGATGCTTAGCATCCTTAAGACTTCTGTGTAGCGTTCCGACCGTGTTGAACTCACTTTCGAAAGAATTAGATCCAGTACAATTCCGTGCATCGATTGCGCATACTTACTTGCAGCTCGGGACGATACCTTGTCTGGAGGCAATACCGTACGAGGTCCTGAGACCGAAAAGGCCATTGAAGGCCGCAGGAAGACGTATACTGCCGGATGCTTTTGCAAAGGTCAGAATAGCCGTATAAGAATGTGGTGAAGAAGAAAAAAACACTCTGTCACTGCCAATCGAATGGTCAAGCCAGGCATAACCAGCAAGCGACGCACCAGCGCCAGTGGAACTGCACGACGGAGTCTGATACGTATCACCCCTTGGGTTGAAGGGGCAGTGGTAGTCAACCCACTGATCAGTTGGCTCCTCTGCAGATGCAAAGGCAGACATCTTGGTTTTTCCCACAATGATAGCACCCAGTTGCGTGAGCTTGGTGACGTAGTCTGCGGAGGACGTACGGGGTGGGTAGAGCTCATTGTAGGCTCTGTTCATCATCGTAGTTCGGATGCCCTACAAGTCGTAGTTATCCTTGATACTGACGCGAACGCCAGCCAGTGGCTTTTCTTCACTTGGGTTCAAGTAAAGCCGGCTAGGCACAGCGATGCTCTTGAAAGTGCCTTGGTGCGAAACTGCTTGAAGTACGGACAAGCTGAACGAAACGATGAATCAACATAGGGTGACATGAAAAGAGGCTTGAGGGTCGTTGAGGCGGCTTACCTGGTTGGGTTGACGACATCATCGGCCATGACAGGGACGACAAAGGCGCCGAGCTCATCTTCATAGAGCTTCCAGGCCTGATGGATCGACTTGCCGTGAATGAAGTAGGGTCCCTGAGCCAGAGAATCGTGGGCGAGGGCGGGCTCGGTTGTGTAGACTGCTTGAAAACGGCGGCTTTCCGCGAGTCAGGCAACAACGACCGCAATGTCTACGCCCGGACTGGGTTGCAGTATGACGGCTGAGGTAAAGTCGTCGCAGAAAACATCATCCCGGCGCACAAAGTCGTCCAGGGCCATTTGAGCATGTTCCGAGGCAAACCCAGAATCTTGGACAGAGAGCAGCACGGCGGGGGTCCAGTGCTCACTGTTCGCAGCGGTGCCGACGGTGTTGATGAGGCGGCCCTACCCTCTGCTGGTCAACAATCCACGCGCCTCGCGATCTCGTTTCTGCAAACTGAACTTACCACTTCTTGGGGATGAACGTAGTATGAGCCTCTCGCGAGCACGCGCACCGTAGCGGAAGCCATTGCCGCTGTTTCGTGGAAAGGGGACCGGGCTAGCCTGCGGGGAGGTTTGCAGCTTGTGTGAAGAAAGAAAAGAGCATCTAGGCTGACTAGAGTTCCAGTGCGATGAAAACTTAGATTCGTGCAGATGTACAGTACCTGCTTCCCGGTGGCAGAACTCAGCACTGTACTTGGTTGACGCCAGGAAGTGCCAACAACCCGCGCTAACGAGGTGGTGCTTCGGGTACTGTATGCCCACCGAGTAGACGGCCGGCCAGGCTGGGAGTTTGCAATGTGGCAGGGAAGGTGCGGAGGCGGGAAGTAGCCTTTGAACATCCAACAACGAGTACATCGCCATTCATGCCACAAGAAAGCACAGAGGCTCGACGGGGAGTCTGGAAACTGTGAGGGGCCATAACCCATTGGAATGCAGAGAAAGGTAAATATATCGCCCTCCGCTTCGGAACTGGGTATACATTTGGCTTTTCTTCTTTTATATGTAATAGGATGAATGCTTGACCAAACCGCGTTTGCCGTCCTATCCTTGCAAATCATTACAGAAGCTCAGAACAGAAGGTCAGAGTTTGGGACACTACGATCCCTTATTGCTCAAGTTTCTGCGGGGGAGAATCTGTGAATGAGATGATAAGCGTGGCGCGTTGCATGAGCCTTCACACAGGCACATTGTATCTTGAAACAGAATAAATCTGGTTGTGCTAAACCGACTTGCAAACGACCAAATCTGAACGGTCATGACAACGTAAAATCGCTATCTTAGGCACCAACGTGAGCATCTTCCTTCAATGTTCACCTTGACCAACAGTTGACCAAATGGTCAAACTCCGAAATACCTGAAACCGGAGACCAGTCAGCTCCTCCCATGACGCCCTTCCAAATCTCTTCCGCTTTCTCAATGAGCCAGCGACCAGCTTCAATGTCGCCCAAGTCCTGGTACACGCATCCCAGCATATAATTAGACTTTGCCGTTTCATTCAAAAATGAGTTATCATTCTCAAAGATCCTCAGCGCCTCTCGTGGGTTGGTTCTGGTAGATGGCGTTGTTAGCCTCCCCCTTGTTCCTAGAGGTGTTCTTACGCTTGCATGGCCCCACCATTGTAGGTATAGGGTTAGGGTTATGTCGTGGAGCGACAGATCATGCAACTAAAAATGGTCGAGGGCACAGACCACCACCACCACCTTAGGTAGGTAGCTCAGGTAGGTACCTAAGGTTGACACTGACACCGCCAGTTAATCAATTGTGAGAAAAACATCCTCCTTTTACTCCGTACCGTTTTGTTTTCATTCCTTGGACTCGGTTACTGGGTCCGGGCCGACCGGGACACCTAACCTTTGGTGAGAAAATCACGGAGCCTACCGGCCAGCTAGGCGAGGCCGGGGAGGCCGTAACAAACTGGTGAGAGGCTGAGAGCACAAGGGAGTCTTGACAAGACTCGAGGCATTCTCTACTAGACTAGGCCAGATGTATCGCTGTGATCCTTGCGATCGTGATTTCGGAAGCGCTGAGGCGCTTCAGAGCCACTTGGATCACTCGAGGAGGCACGCCGAAGAACCATATTTCGAGGAACCATATTTCGAGGAACCAGCACGCCAAACTCCGCAGCCTACACCACCGCCCAGCTCAGCGCAGGCGGCGCCCGATAAAGTCAGGCTAGAGTCCATTGGAGTTTTGATTAACTCTTTGCCGACGTAAGATGATCATTTCGCTATCCTCGTTCCTTCATACCAGGAGCTTGCAGATGTTGACAATCGCCTCCGGTTAGTCTTTACACCAGCCAAAAGTACTCAGACCTTGTGATATCCTGCGGAGAGACTGAGTACCATGTACATAAGGCCATTGTATGCTCGCAGTCCGACTTTTTCGCTAAAGCTTGCGACGCAGGATTCAGGGTTAGTGGCCGTTTATATGCTCGCAACAACGCCGCACTAATATTGCTCGTCTAGGAAACACAAGAAGGCAGGATTGATCTTTCAGATCATGATCCTCGGCTTGTCCAGATAATGGTACATTATCTGTACAATTTCGAGTACGATGCGCAGTCGCAACACGAGAGTAGCCCTTCCCCGGCGTCAGAAACAAGCGGGGATGGAACCGTCACTAAGGATACGCCCGAGAACCTCGTCACTCATGCAAAGGTCTACGCTTTGGCAGAGATGTACCTGATCCCTGGACTTAAAGCCCTGGCTGTTCAAAAGTTCAAAGCAGAGATAAAGGATATTTCCGCCTCAGTCTTCTGTGCTGTAGCGGTGGAGGTGTATACGTCTACCATCGAATCTGAGGAGGGCCTGAGAGACATTGTTGTGGAGACGCTTTCCCGGAATATGGGGTGGATTGAGAAAGAGGAAGTACAAGATCTACTTAAGAGTCACGGAACCTTGGGATGTGCTCTTCTCCTGAAGATACGGATTTACTGGACTTGGGGTGCCTACTTAGTTGAGAGGCATGCGGGCTAACCGGAAACTTCACTTCACATAGGTACCCTACCGCTGTAACGAGAGCTTGAGTTGTTGGTCAAGGCCAAGCTGCGGCTGCTCCATCTGCATTGCTGCCCAGTTATGAATGCTGAGCTCTCCTATGAATGTTATCAAGATGAACAACCGGGTTTTTTACTTAGGTGGTTCACGTTGCGGAGGTGCATGGGCGCAATGATCAAACGGCGTGTAAAGTTCCTGAGGAAACAGTCACAGGGATTGGTCTCATTAGGCCGTGTTCTTTTGAAGGTTTGTTGTCGCCTTTTGGAATAATTGCCCTTCTCGGGGGCAGATTGCGTACACTAAATTCAAGACGGACACGCTTAACCGGAAGTGCACGCGGATAAAAGCTGTAGAACCTTCAGACGACAGGGATTTGAAGCCCCACCCAAGGAAACCGGCCGATGCTTGGCACCCGGGGCATCCTGCGACACGGAAGCGGAGATCCTCGGACGATCTCCCCAGAACTCGAAACACTCCAGAACGGATTGACAGGTTTCCGACCGCAACCGACAGGAGAAACACGCAGAAAACCCCCCCGCGTGGCTCTGGTACTGCGACACCGCGGCTCTCTAGGCATATGCATGGCCTCGTGGAGAGCCTCGCTGCCGGTTTCAACCCCCTGTCTTCCGAAAAATAAAGCTGCGCTTTCTTTTGCTTGGCTGACTTGGCTTCGCTCATGGACCTCTCCAGACCCTTTGGGTTCCATTTTTTACGATTAAGCTTGAGTTGACGTGTCACCGATATCGTGGTATTAGCCGAGTCTTGGCGATTCATCCATCGGATTGAACGCTGGACGGCGCCCGTGTAGCATTTAGCGCGCTGCTGAACCCGATGTATGCGCGGGAAGTCAAGACGCCGCGCCTCATTGTCTCAAGGAATATCCCTGACTCGAAGCGATGCGCCCTGGTTGTTCGTCCCTCTTACAAGCGCCGGCCTAGACATGGGAAGCCAGAGATGCGAAACCTCCCGCGGTGAAGTCCAAGGATCCGGCCGACCGGGCGCTTTGAGAATGCATTTTAGCAAGGTTGTCCAAGACTAGGTAGTGATCAGCTCCGCTGGGTATGCGTCCCTGAAACGGGGTGTTGTCGGCCCAGTATCAAGCATGGCGGACCCTGATCGTCAGTTTGCCGCTTGGGTATACGCACGCATGCTTCATGCCCGCAAGCTTGGCTCATGTAAAAGCCGACGAACCCCCTTTACCGAGCTTTCGACTTGGCCCGACTTTACTTTCTATCCTCTTCACTCCTTAACCTTCTTTCCCACCACCGTCCGCAACGCATCTTTCGCTCGTCGCCGGCCGACACATTCGTTTCTTGTCTCTCCAGCACTTCCCGCAGCAAATCCCCATTTAAACATCCATCAACATGAAGTTCACACTCGCCACCGTCCTGGCCCTGGCCACCGTCGCCCTCGCGTACCCTACCGTCCAAGAAAATGGTTTGTTCAGCCACAGCCGCAGCCGCAGTCATGTTGGCAGCAAATACCGAATAAGTTACTAACAACACATATACAGCTCCAGTCAAGCGCCAAGCCAACATCGCGGGCAACGTCGTCGCGCAGACCCCGGCCATGTCGGACCAGGCCGGGAACGTCATCCCCTTCGATTCTACCAAGGTGTACCAAGACGCTAAGGTCAAGGGGCAGTAAGATGGGGACGGGGTCTGGTTTGATGGGGAGTCTGCGGTGAACCCATGGGATTAGGGATACTGGTTCTGTGTTGTTGTTGTCTCTGGGGGTAGGCACTCGAATTTGCTCGTTTGGAGACTCGATTCGTGGACACGACACCGCATATCGTGAGAATAACCATGTTTTTGGGAGGGGTTTGGTAATGGCAGTGCCACAGAGGAGGAGAGGAGTCTTGAGGCTTGGCTAGCTAGCACGACGGGATGTCGTGGCATGGGGTTTATAAGAGAGGGTTGAGTACTCTCGAGAGGACGTGATGGGTCAGAGGGCTTCGACCATACATATTTCTTGAAGAACACGACTGGTGTCGTGATGTTTACCTTGAAGTCCATTCGTTTCCCTGAGGTTACTATGACATTTTGGCAGTGATATCTGAATTGAAGGGAGAGACAGTAAGCGTCTTCATGGCATGGTCGTCTGAACGACTTACACGGTAGCGTCAACCCTAACCCTGAAGTCTGACACTGCAACCGATCGCCCCTCCCCAAAAGGTACCATTATTCGGCTCCCACCTTTCCAGTTTCCATTTCCAAGATTCCACATTCAAGCCAAAAATAACTAATCGACTCTGAAATATCTCCTCTAATACCTATTTTCCACGTGTTTGCGCCATGTCGAACATGCCTGTACTCCGCTCCATCCCCGCCCCCAAGATTCCCCTCACTTATTTCCGGCATGCATCCATCCGCCTGTGTCCTATCGCCGGTCGCAAAGAGAGCCCGATTGACGCAAGACCGGCCCGACAGCACAGCTGGCAGCAAACAAACAACCGCAGACTCCGTACGCAGTACATACCCACCGCAGCATGCTACAAACGGGCAGCGTCAGCATTCGCCAAACGCAGGGGGGGGAAGCTCAGCTTTCACGGTGAACCCCACCTCCCAAGTTGCAGCCTCCGACCCAGCCTGCCCAGCCCACACGACCCGAATAAGGTATGGGGTGGCCCGTTGGGGCCGTTGGGCCTGAAAAGAGGACAGGATCGAGAAAAGCTGAGGGTTTGCGCCGATGGGCCGGGAGGATTGGGCTAGGCTGGCTGGCTGGCTGCATAAGGCCAATGTTTTTATTTTCTATCGTTTTCTTTTCTGACCTTTTTTCTTCTCTTGTTTTGTGATGCCTTCTCGATCGGTCTTCCTCCCCCTCCAGCCCCGGGATTTTGAGTTCTATTTTCTGCCGTGCTGGTGGGGGCCATTCATTCCCCGGATCCTGGATTAGCGGGTGAGCGCGGGGATAAAGAGTGAGAGTGAGTGAGATTGATTACTACGCCGCAGCCGGCTAGCACACGCGAGGTGAGCTGGACAGGGCCAGGTCCAAGGGCTGTTTTTGTCTTTTGTTGGTTCGATCTCTTCGGGTGATCTGAGCCGGAGACTTGCAACCTTTTCGCCATTTCGACCTCGCGTGTCTGAGAGAAGAACTTCGACTGTTGGGCTGGGCTTGGGACGACAACCGAACAACAGCTCACCATGTCGTCGGTCGACCTCGACCAGGTGCTGTATGCGCGGGCAAGATGGCGCAAGACCATTCTGATCCCGCTGTGGGTGTTCCAGCTCACCGTGTTGCTGGGTCTGATGGGCATATTTGCCTACCGCCTGGCCGAGACGTTTGAGCATTATGAGGAGATGAACAAACTCAACCAAGTGCCCATCGTCGAGGTGGTGTAAGAAGTTTCCCCCCTAGCCAGCGAGGGTCTACAAGAGAGGGTCATACTAACAAAAAGCAGGTGGGAGGCGACCAACGTCGGGTTCAACCTCATCGCGCTGATCCTCACGATTGTGGAAATCGCCCGCAAGGCTACGGAGCGCCTGACACCGTTCATGATGGTCTCCACGCAGATCATGAAGCTGACGCTCGCGTTTGCCGTGCTGGCCCTCGACATCGTGGCCTACCTGCAGCGCATGGACGGGTACTACTCGACCATCGGCCTGTCGCTGGACTGCGGTTTACTGTAGGTCTTAGACTCTACGTACATCACGGCTCTTCTTTTTGTGTTGTACTGACTTGCCCAATAGTGCGGCCAACCTCCTCGCCCTCATCTACTCCATCAAAACCTACCGCCGCGTGCTGCACTACGAAGACTACCACCTCACCGCCAACACCAGGGGCCACGTCTATGCCCCGGGCGAAGAGTCCCTCGAGATGGGCCACGGCGGCTACCGCGGCACCACCCCCAACAAACCCTTCGACAGCAGCAGCCGCGGCATGGTAACAGAACACACAACCGAACTCCACTTCTCCGACTCCGCCTACCCTTCCCAAACCACCCAACAACAACCACTAAACCCCTCGCACTCCAACTCGGACCTCAAACGCCAAGTCGACCGGGCCATCAGCGCCGAATTCGGCTGGGGGGATAACAACAACCCGCCGCCCGGAGGTCCCGAATCCTTCCACCCTGGGGCCAGTAGCAGCAGTAACGTGGGGCAGCAGAGTGCACACGAAAGTCGGGAGTCGGATATTAACCGGTCGGGGAGTGTGGTGTTGGGGGGTGGGAAGGTGGCTGTGCATCATGGGGGGGTGGTGGCGCCGGATCTGCATCGGCAGCAGAGTTGGGTTACGGAACGGGGGGTTGTGACGGATGGGGTTGGTGGTGGTGATGGGGATTTGGGAGGTGGTCATGGAGAAGGTGGTCATGGACGTAGGGGGAGTGGGTCGAGGGAGGAGGATGAGGAGGCGTTGTTGCCCGGGAGATGATGGTGAGGGTTATAACGTTCAAGATGAGGGGCGTAGGTCGTGTGACAGGTGTATCTGCACGAGTACGGGAGGATTAGGGAGGAATGCTCATTTAGGCCTGGATTTCTGTCTTGGGATGGAGTTGGGGTATAGTTTGGTTTATCAAGTCTGTTTTGCTTGTTGGAGCTCAGGGTCAGGATGTCTGTCGATTTGCGAATAAAATATCTCTTCACTGTTTACATTCCCTGCCCCTTTTCCCTCTTCCTTTCCTCCTTCTCTCTTCTTCCTCTCTTATCCGCTCACCTAGCCTTCCACCTAACCCTCCCCACCCACTCCGCAAACCGCCTCACCTCCTCCGCCGCCAACAACCTCTCCACCGTATAAAACTCCCTCGCCAACTCCTCATGTCCCCTAAACCGATGCACAAACCGATGACAAGCTCCACACAACCACGCCACATTCTGCAGTTCATCAGGCCTATGCCACCCGCGCTTCACCACTTTCGCGTGCACCATACGTGGGATTAAGTGGTGGTACCCGAGGTTGAGCCAGTCCCGTCCGCAGATCTCGCAGCCGGTTGTGGACATGGCGGTTGCTTTGGTGGAGCGCGGGGGTGGAGGGGGGGAGGTCGCGGTTGTGAGGTAGGCTGTTAGGATCGGGGCGAGGAATTCTGCGGGCGTGGGGAGGTTCCAGGTTGAGGGTGTTGTTGTCGTCGTCGGCTCGCTTGTGGGTGATGATGACCCCTTTTTAGAGGACGACCCCTTGGGAGAGTGGGACGACCCAGCGATACCATGACCATGCCGATACGCCACCGTCTCAGCGGGCGTGGCCAAGCCGTATGCCACCAATGAATCCGGGACGGAGGGGTCGAGGGCTTGGAGGATGGTGAGGGTGTGGTCCGGGGTGAGGGGTAAGGAGTATTGGGTTTGGAGAGACAGGGAGGGGTCGGTCCAGGTGTGGTGGGCGATGGATTGGAGCGTGGGCGGGAGGGCGAGAAAGGTGGCGGTTGCTAGGTAGGTTGTGAAATCGGCTAGGTCGTCGGGGTCAGGTTCTGGGGAGGTTTCTTCGTCCGTAGGTATAGTGGTAGCAGGTGTGAGAGTGGGCTCGGGTTCAGACTTGGGTTCAGGCTCGGTCACGGGCGGAGATGGGGAGGAAGTGGGAGGTGAGGCTGGCTTGGCCTTGGCTGCTCTTCTGGCCTGGCGTTTGGGGACGTGTTTGCGCTTGGTGAAAGGCACGGCGATGTGTTCGACCAAGAAGGAGGACAGGGCGTCGCGGAAGTGCTCGTAGTTGGTCACGAGCTCGTCGGAAATTTCGTCGGCCATGGTGTTTATAGTAAGATGTAGGTTTGCTTATACAAGCGATTGAACACAGAAGTTGATGATTTGGTGTTGATAACGAGTGAAGTCGTGATGTCCAGATTTATACTTTTTACTGATACATGCCTGTAGTGAACCCGCTGTAACCTGACCGTACCCCTATACCCCTGTCCGTCGATCTCCCGTCCGGCCCCGCAAGCCCAACTTCGGCGTCCCGTTCCAGGCCTAGCGGGGCCGCCCACAGGCCCAAATCGGCTCGCCAGTCCCCTGTGTTAACCCCGACTTGACTCACTCCCCGCAGCCTGGAAGCCGCCGGAAAGACACCAGCTGCAACAGGGGCATCAGACTCCAGATCAGAACACCATCGCGAAACAAGCACGAGTGGACACTTGACCGCAGCGAATAGAAGCACCATGGCCATCATCGCGTTCGACCTGTACGGCACCCTGCTGTCGACTGACTCGATCGCCGCCGAGCTGGCGAAAGCGGTCGGCGAAGAGTCCGGCCGCGCGCTGGCTGCGCTGTGGCGCCGGTATCAGCTGGAGTATACGTGGCGGATCAATAGCATGGGTGCGTCCGTTTCCCAGTGAGATATTGAGTAGAAGTGAGAAGAGGAAGAAGAGGAAGAAGAAGAAGAAGAAGATGAAAATTAAGGGCATCGAGATGATGTGTATTCTAGCCTGTCACTGCTTGGTGTTTTACCCTAACCCTCTCACGCTTAATCACCCTAACCCTGACCCTCTCCGACCTCCCTCTCTCTCACTTACACCCGCCTACCCCTTATCACCTCCCACACCCTTCCTAATACTCCTTCAGGCCACTACCGCCCCTTCAACACCATCACCCTCGCCGCCCTGCACCACGCCGCCGCCGATCTGAACCTCATCGACGCCCTGTTCGGCCACAATGGTAACGACATCGAGCAGGACAACAAGAAGAAACAAGTCGAACAACATCTCATGCGAGCCTACGACGCCCTAGATGTATTCCCCGACGTACCCGCTGGTCTGGCACGTATTGTCCAAGAGAAGTCTAGGCCGGCAGACAGTAACATTGATGATGGTGGAAAGGACGGGAACGTGAAAGAAAAAGGCGTGATCCAAGGAGCCTGGATCTTCTCCAACGGGACATACGACATGCTCGCCTCGTCGGTGGCCAACTCACCCGGTTTACGCAGTGCATTGTCACCCTCACAAACGCCACCGCCCTCACAGGACGATAGTAGCAACCCCCCAGGCCCAACGAACTTAAACAATACAAGGCAAACCGCCCTCAACGGCCTAGTATCAATAGACTCCATGCCCCCCGGAGCCCGCGCTTACAAACCCGCACCGCAAACCTACGCCCACTTTTGCGCGCACGTCGGTGCTGAGCTAAACCATGTAGTCAACCCAGGCGACGTCTGGCTAGTCAGCTCAAACCCATTCGACATACTCGGCGCGGTAGCCGCGGGAATGCGGGCGGTGTGGGTGGATCGGAAGGCGACGGGGTGGGTTGATGGGTTGGGGGGTTGTTTATCAGAGGGAGAGGGGGGGTTGGGGCCGACTGTTGTTGTTAGGGGGGTGGAGGAGGCTGTGGGGGAGGTTGTGAGATTGTCTACTGTGTAATACCCATCATACCGTGTCTTGAAGGGGGATTTGGAAGGGTACTTTTTTTGTGGTTAGTTGGTGCTTTGCCTTGCTTGGTGTGGTGGGATATGACCAAAGGGAGAGCATCAAGATGTGAAGGTATGACGAAAAAAACAGTAACCAATCGGCAATGTATTCAAACAATCCGATTTATATGTTCAACCATTATCCTCAAAATCCAAGATATGTACCACCAACCCCTTAAATGCACCAACAATGCCCATGCGGTAAAAGAGACAAAAAAAAGCCTACATCGTCGCATTCCTCACGACTCCGTCCGGCCCCCTGACCAACAACGGCGGCGTCTCCTCAGGACTCTTCCCATTCCGATACTGCCACAACCGACTCAGCTCTTTCACCTTGACCTTTACTTTCACCCCCTGCTCCCTCTTTTTACTCTTTCCTTTGATACTCCCCCCTTTAATACTGCTACCCCCCCTGATACTCCCAAACTTGATACCACTCCCCGTTCTAGATAGCATACTCCCGGTCCTCGACATCACCGGACTACTATCATGCACCTCCACCTCCTCATCCTCACTGTCACTCTCCACTTCCCCGTCTCCGTCCCGTCCCGTCCCATCTCCTCCTCCACCAACCAACACCTCACTCTCCATAAACTCATTCCCATCCTCTTCCACCCCCCACGGCACCCACTCCCTTTCACCCTCCCCGTCCCCCTCTTTCCCAATAACAACCCCATCCTTGTTAACCTGAACCATCAACAACCCCCCCGTCCCCCTATCCCGTCTCAAAGGAAACATCCCATCCAAATAATGCTGCACCATCTGATGTCCCCCCCTCGGACTTGTCCGCGCAAACACCCGACCAATAAACCGTGGTATGAACTGGGAGGAAGGGGAGGAAGTGGCGAAGTGGAGGACTCCCCAGAGGGCGACGAAATCGGTCGTGTGGGCGTAGTGCTCGATGTGGCCGATGGCGCGGTCGGAGAGGGAGGAGGGGTGTGGGGAGGTGGTGGAGGTTGAGAGGTCCAGGGGGAGAGATGGGATGATTTTATTGTTAGCTGGGGTTCGTCTGGGGTTGGTGGTGGTAGTGGTGGTTTTGAGGGGGGGTTGGTCATCGGAGGAAGAGGAGGATGAAGAGGAGCCGGGCCGGGTGGGCTGGCGAAGACGAGGGACCCGGCTGGACTCCCGGTGATGGTGTGCGAGACGGGTTGAGTCGATACATGCCGCGAGGGGGTTGTGTTTGGCCAGGTGCTGCGTGCGGATGTGTCGATGCGGGTTGTTGAAGTGGTTAGCTGCGTTGCCGAAAGTGTAGACCTCCAGCTTCGCGAGAAGATCCTGCGGTAGTTCTTGCAGCAGCCAGTCGATAATCAGACTGCCCTCGATGCCGCCCTGTGAGTGGAGGATGAAGACGACTTTGGAGTACTGCGGGTTGTACAGCGTCTGCTTCATGATCTGGTAGCAGACCCGGACGTCCTTTGTGGCGTAGCCCCAGTTGCGCTGGATCAGGCACTCGACAACGTCGAACAGGATGCCGGCGCTGGATGTGTCAGCCCTGGTATTTGTTTGACACAGCCTAACTAGCTAGGTACTTACGTCTTGTTGTGAATCCCTAGGATCGGCCGCTTAAAGGTTACGGCGAGACGGTTCAAGTTGCCCTGCATCCAGTGTGATCTGCCATGGTTAGTTACCTACTTAGCACTTCCACCACCTCCAACGCCTCATACCAAGGACAGCTTACCCGGCCGCCACACCGTTAATAAAAATCCACTGCTCATGGGCATGCTCCGGCAGGGCCGGGGCATACTTGGGATCCGAATGATACTCGACCCCCTCACCATTCAACAACGAATACAGCACCCTATTCACCAAGAAAAACCCCCCCAGCGCCAGACCCGCCGTCCAAACCGGCAACACAACCAGCGCCGGCAGCAACACCAACCCAGCCACCTGCACGATGCCCAACAGCAAGTGAATAAACAACGCCCAGGCATTCCCCCACGTCGGCGCCAGCTCGCTCAGGTCGCCCGAGTCCGTCGGCGTCAGCGGCCACACGATGTAGGGGATCGCCCAGAAGAAGCGGAAGAAGTAGTAGACGTCCCACGCCATGAGCTTCCACGGCATGTCGGTGTAGCCATAGTTGATCACGGACCGGCCGCCGATCTGCGAGCCGAAGAAGCGGGTGTCGCTGCCGTGGCCGGGAGGGGGGGCCGGTTGTGCTGCTGGAGGGGGTTGAGGCATGTTGAATAAGGTGCCTTAGCTGAATCGATAGGAGGATCAAACAAAAACAAAAACCATAACAGTACCAAACAAAAACCCCATAAATAAACTCATTCACCCCAACTCACCAAAATAATCAACCATCCAATATTTTTAAATTTAAAGAAAGAAAGATGAAGAACCCCAATCAACAACCGTTGCGCCACTCCAACCCCAACGTCAACCTGCCTCGCTTGCTGACCCTGCTCACATGGCATGCCTGCCGGCCAAGGGTGTCAGATGGGCGGCATCGTGTCAGCAGGATGGCTGGGGACGGGGGGCTTGGCGCCCTATGAGAACCTCTGAGACCCCCCATCTTGTTGCCTGGAACACCTGCGATTGGCGATCGTCGATGGGCCCCGGCAGTGGTTCACAGGGCTGAGTCCGCTGCGGTGCCGAGCATTATACCTTTATGGTTCTGGTTTGCCTGCCGCTGGGTGCGTTTGTGAAGTGTCGTGTGCCGGTGGTCGAGTGCGCAGCTGTGGACAGGAACTAAGGGCACACGACTGCGTGGCTTCCAACAGCGAGAAAACATACATCGCAGTTAACGTTAGTTATTTATCATGTTTGGTTTGAGGTTTCACCGAGAAAAGCAACACGAGACGAGTTCTGACGGATACATCGCGGCTGCGAACGAGGCAGCGTGGTTACACTACCGATAAAAGTGTGGCTATGACAGAAGTAAACGGATTTTCCAAATTTCTGGCCTCAAAATGCGTTTGCATGCGAACTGTCTTTGGTTGAAATGGAAGGTGGGAGCGAGATGGTGGCTCGGTGGATGGAGCCAAGCATAAGTTGGCACGGCCGAAAGCTTGAAGACCAAGGGTTAGGGTTAAAGTTGTCCGATAAGATAAACTTTTTTACAATTTGCACCTGCTCTCCGTCGCTCGACCGTCTCTCCAAAAGGAATTGACAACAAACACCACCATGGGCAAAAACAGGAAATCCAAGCGCCAACTCGTCCGCGACGAGAAGCGCGCCAAAAAGCGCGGCCGCGAACTCGCCGAAGACGAGGAGCGCTCCGCAAAGCGCCAGCGCCAGCACGACGACGACGAGCACGACGTAGCGCAGACCTCCAACAACGACCTCTTCACCCTCGACCCCAATGCCGATCACCTCCCCTTCGACGACGAGCATCAGCAGCCGCCACAGCTCCATGATGAGTCCGGCCCAGCCCCGCGCGCCCGCGGCGGCAACTTCGAACGCGAGTTCTTCGGCATGCTGGCCGAGCAGGAACAGGAATACTTCCGGCACGCCGACGAAATGCTCGAGCTGAACGACTTCCCGTCCGAAGACGACCGCCACATCTTCCTGCAGAGTGTCTACCGTGAAGCCCGCGGCAAGGAGCTCAAGCTCGCCAGCAGCCAATCGTGCTCGCGCCTGATGGAGCGCCTGATCATGCTGTCTAATGCGAAACAGAAGAAGAGTCTGTTTGGCGCCTTTGCCGGCCACTTCATGACCCTGGTTACCCACCGCTTTGCGAGCCATTGCTGCGAGAAGCTGTTTCTCATGAGCGCGCCTGTCGTGACGGCTGAGTTGACGGGTGCTGCGGCAGAAGAAGATGTGGAGATGGAGGACGCAACGGGAGGAGACGACGATGGAGTAACGCCCGAGGTGGCCGAGGCCGTCAAGACACCCATGGAAGACCTGCTGATGTTGACGCTGGATGAGTTTGAGGAACACCTCTCGTTCTTGCTGTCGGACCGGTACGGCTCGCACGCGCTGCGGGTGTTGCTTGTCGTGCTCTCGGGCCGGCCGCTCAACCAGGCCGGGACCAAGTCGTTGCTGCAGGGGAAGAGCAAGGAGTACATCACGGTTGAGGGCGCGGCGGGCTTGTCCGGGGAGCTCAGTGAGCAAACGAGAACGGTTCCTTCATCTTTCTCAACTGCGATTCAGAAGATCATTGGTGACGCGACGGCGAATCTCGACTCCACGGCGCTGCGCGTGCTGGCCAAGCATCCTACCGGCAACCCGACATTGCAATTGTTGTTGGAGCTAGAACTCTCGTTGACGGCAAAGGCCAAGAAGGGTTCCAAGAAGGAAGAGACCGAAAAGCCGGCAGATGGGGCTACCGAAAGCGAGAGCACCGTATCCCTCCTCGACAGGCTCGTTCCCGATGCGCCCGGCGCATTCGGTGATGAAAAGTCACAGGCCTGCGAGTTCGTCAACGGCATGCTCTACGACCCCATTGGGTCCCGTCTCCTGGAGACTCTCATTGCCCACTGCCCGGGCAAGATCTTCAAGGGCCTCCATGCCAACATCTTTGGCCCGCGCATCCAGAGCCTGCTCCGGAACGACATCGCCTCCTATCCTGCTATCAAGGTCCTCAACCGGCTGAGCAAGGAAGATCTCGCCGACGCGGTGCAAAAGTCTCTCCCCGAGATTGGCTCGTTCGTCGAAAAAGGCCGTCTCAACGTTATCAAGACCCTGTTCGAGCGCTGTAACGTACGAGGCGCAACCGCTGAACTCACCACCCTCTTACAAGCGCTAACCACGGCCTGCGGCGGGAACTGGAAACACCTCGTCCCGAAACTCTGCCTCCTCAACGACCCCGAACCAGAACCCGAAACCAAAGAAAAGAAATTCCAAACCCCCGAAGCCAAAAACAAAGCCGCGCTCCTCTCCCACGGCAGCCAAATCGTCTCCACCCTCCTCTCCATCCCCGGCCCCCCCTCCAAAGCAATCCAAAACTCCCTCCTCGCCCTCCAACCCGCCCACCTCCTCCGCATGGCCACCTCCTCCCCCACGACCGCCACGATCCTCACCAAATCCCTCACCACCCCCCCTCAAATTCCCCACTTCCACAAACTCCTCGTCGCCTCCTTACTCCCCAACATCTACCCCATCGCCACCACCCACCACGGCAACGCCATCATCTGCGAAATCATCGCCGTCCCCTCTAAAACAGACAGCACCAACACCACCCCCGTCGTGCCGTTTCACCTCAAAGAAAACATCATGGCCCAGCTGGCGCGGCACGAGCACGAGCTACGGGAGACGTGGTTGGGGAGAAATGTTTGGCGGACCTGGAAGGGTGATTTATGGGGGCATCGGAGGCATGATTGGGTGAGGTGGGCGAAGGAGACGGATCCGGAGGGGGCTAGGGTTGCGGCTATGCCGAAGGTCAAGGGTGAAGAAGGCGGGAAGAGGGGGAGTGGGAAAGCTGTGGAAGATGTGAGGCCTGAGGTTGAGGAAAGACCTGAGTTTGAGGAGAGGCCAGAGCCGGAGGATGATATGGAGATTGATGTTGAGGGGGACGACGAAAGGAAGGATGAGGGCGAGGTAAACGGTGTGAAAGAGAAGACAAAGAAGGAGAAGAAGGACAAAAAAGAAAAGAAAGAAAAGAAGAAAAAGGACAAGGCGTCCAACGGTGAAGCCAGTGGAACCGGCGACGCCGAAGGAGAAAAGGAAAAGGTGAAGAAAAAGAAGAAAAAGAGCAAGGAGAAGGCCGTGGATGTGGCTGCAGAAGTGGAAGCTTCTACTTAACGTTAGAAGCCAATAGCTGGCACATCACATATTCGCTGGTCTGTGCTGTGGACAGTATGATACCCAAAATGTCTCAAAGAAAGAAGCCAGCTACGCCAACCCACGGGCCATCTCTGTGTTTTGGACTTTGTTGAGTTTGCATATTCTCGTTTGTTTATGTGTCACAGATGTTGTCGCCCGCCGGGGAGGGGGTCCTAGGCTAGTCCTGAAACTGGGTGTTAGGTTCTGGAACAAAAGAATGTTGTTCTAGAACAAAAGAACAACAGACGATATTCACAGACAAGTCGAGAATGCCAGCGAATGGTGATCACAATGGTACGAAGGTGGGAAGTATCATGGGTTATGCGCCAGAAGCCGCTAGAAAAGGTCGAGTTGAGGGACAGGAGAAGAGAGCGAGTAGTTACTCCAGTGGTATAAACAAAGGGCCTCTGAGGGTTAAATAGATGTAACGTTTCCCGGCTTGGGAGACTGTTACCAGCAACTCACCCACCAACCTTCGCTTTTCCAACGTCAGAGTCTATCGCCTCTTGTAACCTAGGTTTTCGCGATCCTGCTCGCTCCACGCCCTCGTCCATCAACAGTTCTCGCCAGTCCAGAACCGCCAGTCACTCGCTCCTCCCCCCTATCACACTTTTCACCATCTATTTGCCCACTCACATACCCATCCCTCCACCCCAACTCAACAGCCACCTCGATACCCCCCCTTCCTCACCACCGAACCCAAAACTCAAAACCCACTCCCACACACCCAACTTCCCCTCTCCCCTCTCCTTCCTAAAAAACACCAAGCAAAATGCCACGATCAGGCTATGACACCTCAGGCTTCGCCCCCACCTCAACCACCTCAACCGCTCAAACACCAACTCCACGATCACGGTCACGGTCACAGCTACGGCTACCGCAACAGCAACAGCAGCAACAGCAACCCCAACAGCAACCCCAACAACCACTGCCTCCAAATTTACGTCCCCAGTCGCCACCACATCAGCAACACCAGCAGCAACAGCAGCACCACCAGCAGCAGCAGGAGGAGTACCCGAGACAGCCATCCCTCCACGCCCAGCTGATGCAAGGGGTACGAGAGTACGAGTAGCAGCAGCAGCAGCAGCAGCAGCAACAGCAGTACCAACAACAGCAGCAGCAACAGGAGTACCAACCGCAGTACCAACCGCTGCAGCCCCACCATCAACAACCGCTACAATATCTATACCAGCACCAGCAGCCATCATGCCAGCAACCACGCCAGCCACACCCCTTTAGAACTCGGCCTATGCATTATTGTGGTATCACCGACCCAACCCCGAGTTCAATCTCAAGCCCAGGCTCAATAACAAGTCCAGGCTCGATCACAAGACCTGGTATGCTCACGAGCACGAGTGTTAGTGATAGTTCTCAGGATGGGTATGAGACTGAGAGTTTGTATAGCACCGGGGACGAGGACGAGACTCCTAACGGGTACGGGAACAACAACGGGTATGGGAATACTAACGGGTACGGGAATAACAACGGGTACGGGAACAACAACGGGATGCGATTCGAAGGGTGGCGGTAGCAGGGGGAATGATGGGAATGATGGGGATACGGACAAGGGCAGCGGGAGGAACAAGGATGGGTGGGAAAGGGGGGGGTATGTGATGTGAAAGGTTTAAAGGGGGGGTATGTGATGTGAAAGGTTTAATCGAGCCGAGTCGAGTCGGGGTTGGGTAGTGGTTGGTTGTGTGTATCAAGTGGCTGAGTGGTTGACGGGGATAGGACAAGAAGAGCTGAGGGTTGAGGTGATGATTAGGGGTGGGCAAAGTTTTGAGGGAAAGTTTTGAGGGAAAGGCTTAGGGGGGAGGTTTGCGATGTATTCTTTAAGTTTTGAGTTTTGTGTTTTACAACGTTGATTTAGTTTTGGTATTACGACGCAAGAGGTCAGGGGGTTCGGGGTGTTTAGACCGGTGTTTTACTCTCCATAGCAGTATGAAATGATATCACGAGCTTTAGTTACCAAATCCGAGTCAATATCTCAATCCCGTCACTCCCCAGTCCATCAAAACAAACAATTAACACACCACTATCCAATTCCCATATCAACCTCTCTATGCATCCCACATCGGCTACAGTAGCCGGCTAAAAATAAAGCACCTGTATCGTGACGTCGTTGACCACCACCGCGATGATTCACCACCCGCCTGTAACACAAACTCCCCCCTTCTTACATCCATTATATTCCTACCATGCGCCCGCCGCCGCGCTCCTGTCCTGTTTCCCCCTTTATCCTACGGTTGTTACCTGCCACATTCACTGCACACACACACAAACAGGCGAGCCAAGATCATAGAAGAGTCATTACTCATTGTTAAACCCCTTCAAAACTAACTAACCAACCACGAAATGAACGAATTACATACAAGACCAGCTTACAAAACGAAACCTTCAATTTGAATCCGCCCATCAATACAACGCTTCGCTCTCAAAACAACGCCGCTCCCAAAACTTGAAAAAGCCCTCCCTAAAATGCAATAAATTCCCGCCCTTCAGAATGCCCAGCCTCGTTAAAAGTGGTACAATACCCGAATACCACCCCCCCCCCCCCTAAAGTCAGAGACCAAAAAGTCCAAAAAGCCGCAGCGCGGGCGAACTCCTTTTCCCCGTCCAGTTTTGTCATCATTTTGTCGTTCATTTTCTCCTTTGACTTTTTTTGTTTTACTTTTCCCCCTCTTCCCAATTCGCGACGCAATTAAGTATTAAACCTCAACCCCCAAAACAGCCGGTCCATCCCCATCCAAATCAACCCAGTCCGCCCACGGCTCTCCCGGCCCATTTGTCGTCGTACCATCACCCGAAGTCGTCGTCGCCGCGCCCATCCCACCCGGTCCGGAGACCATCGGCAGGTTCATGCCCGGCATGCCGAACCCCATGTCCATGTTCATGTCCATGTTCATACCCATACCCATATCCATATCTCCACTGCCGCCGCCGAGGATATTCGGATCGATCAGCGCAGAATCAGCCTCGAGGTCAGAGAAGAGATCCTGTTTGGCATTGGAAGAGGAGGGTTCATAAGGGAAATGGAACTGCGCGAGCGAGGAAGGGAGCGAGTAACTACGGTTGCGCCATGCGCTGGCATCGGTGGTGTTGCCAGCGGCGTCGTGGACATCGCCATCACCGCTGTCGCTAGCTGTGGTGGTCGAGGAGAAATCGAGCTGCGGTAGGTGTCCATCGTCGTCACCCCCAGTTTCGCCGTCCATAGCCCCCGCAACACATATCTCCATACCGGCGCCACCCTCGACTTGATACGGGTCAGGCATGACCAAACCGGTAGGCCGAGCTTGGCGCGCCGGGGTGGGTGACGCGCTGGTCGGCCGGGAACCGTCAATGCTCAGGGCGAGGGGCGACATGCAGTTGGGGCTCTCGTCGCGGCTCGGGGGCAACGGATACGAGCCGGGTGGTGTGAGGGGCGAGGCTTGTGATACGATCGATCCCCGCTTATTCGGCTGCGGGAACGCCGGTACGTAGCCTGTCTGTAGCTGCAGGGGCTGCGGGTAGCTGTTGCGGTGTATTTGGGCACCGGTTGCCGCCGTTGTTGTTGCTGTTGCTGCTGCTGCTGTCGTGGTTGTCGACATTGCTGATACCGCTGGCCAGCGCGAGGAGGTCTGGAAGTTGGGAAAGTGTTTTGCGAACAGGGCGTCTATTTCGGCATAGCGGTCGGCGTTGCTCGTGGTGTACGCTACGCTGGTAGCCGCGGGCATGCTGAGCCGGCGCAAACTGCGGTCATCGTCTTCACTCTCGTACTGCTCGTCTCCAATGACAGCCTTGCGGGTGATCTTGAGACCCCGTCCGGTCCGCTTCCTGCGGCATTCTGAAGCCTTCAGGGCAGACCTGATGCGGTGCTCGATGTCGCGGTCAGCCCGGCGCGAAGCTGCGATGTAAGCCCTCTCCTGGTTCTCCTCATGGGTCCGCTGGGTCTGAAGGTGAGTGTAAGTGGGGTGAAAACGTGCGGGAGACGAGTGTGCGGGAGGACGGGCAGCTTCTCACCTTCTTAAGAGGAAGCTCCGAGGAGTCGCTATCAGACGTCGGCGAAAAACGCTTAGGGGGCATCGTGATGGTGTAAGTGCCCGGTGAGACGGCGCGTGGTTGAAACCCCTGCTCGCACTCGTTCAGTCGAGGAGTGTTTGTTGAGGGCCGGTGTGGATTAGAGTGTTGAGCAAGGTCTGGTCTGGTATCCAAGCTAATGCCCAGGAGTCAAAGCTATAAGTAGTCGTGACAGGTGAGGTCTAGTGAAGTGTATGTTGACTCGAAGCTTCCAGAAACTTAAACGGAAGTCAAGCAAGCAAGGCCCAAATGGCGAAGGAGGGGGAATGCTTTTGTACGTGTTGGACCTTCCAGATCCTAGAAAGTGGCAGAGAACAGGGAGGAGACGAGGGATCGTTGGCACTGTGACAAGCTCCATTGCTTTGCTGGTTGGCACCGAGCATGGTCGTTGGCTGGGTCGACTGGATTGGATGCATGCCACCCAGACAAGCCAGGGCCGGTTGCTCCGGGGGACCACCATCCAGTCGCTTCACTCTCGGTTCTGTCGATGGCTCCGATCGATGGCCAAAGCCTACCACACGGCCGATCGAGATCAGAGAGCTCCAGCTCTGCACCGTTACGTCAAATAGCGGGGCTTGGCCTAGCCCCCTTCCAGCCCACAGTGCCTTCCCCGGCAGACAGCCGAGGGGCGGAACTCACCGATAACCCGCAAACGGCCAACCCCACTCCCCACCTTCCTCCATTGTTCCGAAGGCACGCCAGCGCGCCTTCCATGACGAGAACGAGAACTTTGGTTTTTCAGATACCCAGGCTGGTCAGGCAGGTAGAAACGCAACAATCGGTCCGGGCGAGAAGAAAAACCGAGCTGGTTCGAGCAATTGAGTAGAGCGCGAAGAGTACCCGAGCTCCCGTTCTAGCTTGCCGTCTTTCGATAACAAGTCCCGGTTACGCGGCTGGGGCGAGACAGTAGAACACACTGTACCCTGAAAGGCAAAGCATGGCTGCCCTGCTCGTCAATTGACCTGACTCGAAATGGCATTGGACGGCTTGGTCCCCGATCACTCTGCGAGCTTTGGGACTGGTGCATTGCCATCCCCCACAGCTTTGCTGCAACGGTCCTGCATTTCTCAACTTGGCCGTTCTTGCTGTCGATGCTTCTGGACCCTTTCCGGCGCGTCTTGGCAAGCTCTCTTCCCTGGATCCAGCTGCAGCCCGTGGCGTACGCACACTGTGCATGATTTGTATCGATTCCCGCTCCAGGCCCTCTCAAAAACAATCCACACTTCCATAACTTGGCCCCGAGTCGCCCGAGCGGTTAGAAGAGGGGCTCGGGTTATGGTCGGAGAAGGTGCGGCACAGAGAGTAGTTCTAGGCGAAAAGGAAAATTTATCAAAGTGGCCACTGGTACGAACTTTGAGATCGATCCCTGGCGTCGCTACACACTGTGAGTGATTGACGGACGCGCGACGTCATTTTGACGAGATGTGCAAGACGTGGAGGAAGGCATTCTCTCAACAATCCCATGCCCGCATTTTCGCTTCTCCATGTCCACGAGGACGATCATAGCCAGGTTGAACGCATGTTTAGACTGTGAAGGGGGAGATCGTTTTACTGTGTAAAATATCCTGTCAGCCAGAGCTCGCCTCCTCGCGAACGCTGTGCTACACGTACTCTAGAGGCCACTCGATGGGGAACTCACACGGCCACGAGAATTGATCGCGCATTTCGGCTCCCTTCAGCGATGGTGCCGTGCCGCTGCGGCCTTGGCTTCGCTACCTTTCACATGCATGGGAAAGCACACTGCTACGAACCAAACGACGAAACCAAACCCGAGGACCTAGCACGCAATGGGTGTATGAGCGGGGCGAACGGGTTGCTGAGCAAGTCGACGAGGGGGGGACGCCTTTTCCACCACCACAGCATGCTTGTCGGCCGAAAAAATCCCCAGCAGTAGTACAGCGCTACAGATCGAAAAACGAGAGCAGGTCGGCCTAACAACCCGAATACAGTGCCAGCCCTTACTGTTTCGTCAGTCAGGGGTGACTGAAAACGGAGCCCCCGGCACGAAAGGCGCAATGGATGATGGCAGAGTGATGAGAGCGAAAGTCACAGCAGGCAACTTGAAGAGGAGTGCGAGTTGATCTGCCATAGTTCCCGGAGCTTTCTGCCCGGCGACGGCGGGGGGGATCTGTGGTGCAGCTTCCATGTTTCAAGCCCCACCCTAAATCAGGCTCCACGAGTTTCTCCACTTTCCTAGTTCGGCAAGAACCCGAGCAAAGGGCATTCCAAAGTCGATTGCCAAAAATCCTTCTCTTGGCTCCATCGTGGTTCTTCTAATGTATCTGCTCTCGCTGGTGCATATTTGCATGTACGAAGTACACTACACTAATACTCAACCATTTTATTGAGCCCACCCAACATGCGACAAGAATCCAATCGGTCTGGCACACAGTTCTCCGAGCGCGGGTCCCGCACACCTGCACTGCAATTTGGATCTCACGTTGACTCAACTAGGTGGATAGACGAGAGAAAGTCCCCAAACTCCAGAAATTCGAACCCACAACATCGGCGACCTAGCAGTCCACCGCGGGTAAATTGATACATGGGTGTAGAAATCCTCGCAGCCGGAGGGACTTCTCCACAGGAGCCTGGCCTCGCGAATTCGATTCAAGTGTATTAGTTAAGAGGACGCATTGAGTGCATGTAGCAAGCACTCGTCCTTGTCATCTCATGAACCCAGCAGTGTAACATGGACAATGTAAAACACACCGGCCAGCCATCCGACTCCATCACTGAATATCACCAGCCACAGGTGCCGGAACCAATCACACCGCTAGCCTTTTCCACTCCCGTCGACTTGACGCCGGCCTACGAAGTTCCGGAGCAAAACATCCGGCCCACCTTTTCCATCCATATCCGGCAATCCCCCAAGGAACCCCATAGAGAAGGCTCGAATCTTCGACAACGACAATCCCCCCCAACAACGCAGCCCCCCTCCTCAATCTCTGCTAAAGCTAGCAAAAAAGCAATTGCTGATCTGTCTTTACACGTGTACACTACACTACATGCGTTAAGTTCCCCCGTCCGCCGCCGACGTCACGCCCCACGCGGCCTCTCGCGTGCGGCTGGACCCGCGTGTCGAGCCGACTCACTGGACACCATACTCAGGCACGAGGCCTAGCGACCTAGCTCGAAGGCACCCAACGCGGATCTGAAGTCGGCTCGTCGACGGCGCCATGACGTTTCGGGTGCCGCCGATCCGCACCCCGCCTGGGCCGTCCCGTGGTATCGGAGCGCTCGGCAGGAGGGGTTACACACAACATGAGACGTTCGTTCGGAAACCGAACTAAGTAGTCCGCATAGCTAGGTGCAGGTGGCTTGGGCGGAGGGTTCTCTCGTTGGAGCCTTGATCTTCAACGCGGATTTCAGAATTCGGATTCTTGATCAAATCATAGTGACGTCAACTCCGTTGAAGCCTCATCATCTGAACGTGCTATGGGCCACCCACGCGTGGCCCTTCTCTCATTTCTCTCCTCCAAACGCCGGCAACGTCGAAACGGAACGGCTATCCAATCCACAATGAGCTCATAGTACGGCTGCCGGCATGACAGGTTTGCTTCGCCATGTTCCACAGCTCGCCCTGCCCTTTACCCCGTGACGAACAATATGCCGCTCTTCTTTTTGCCATTTAACAACTACAAGATGCAGTCGCACAGAAAGTATATCTAAGTTAAGTTGTAAGAAGAGTTTTAATGGAAGACGACCAATGGACCTTAAGAGTTGACCTGTGCTCAAGGCAGTCATGCAGTGCTTACTTTGAGAAAGTGAGTTTGGGCTTTTATGTCCAAGCGTAGAAGGAACAATCGTTCACTCCTTCCGCTGGAGACTCGAGAAGACAGAAAAAAAGACAGAACACAATAAAAAGACAAAATAATAATAATATTTCTCATATCCAATGTCTAAATTGACTTCTGCTATGAAGAAAAAAAATGAAAAAAGACAGGCAATCGCTGCCGGGAATTGAGCCCGACGTGGGGGTCGAACCCACAACCTTGAGATTGGACACTCTCGTAAGAGTCTCACGCTCTACCGATTGAGCTAGCCGGGCAGGCTAGTTTAATTTGTTGGAGACCTGAGTTCGGGTTTCAGGCCTATGATGTAGTATGCAGATGGCAAAACTTTTGCCGCAACCCCTTTCTTCCATTAATCACATACTTTTCTCTCGCCTTTTTCTTTCACCATTTTTTATTTCATCAATTACCTATTCCCTGCACGTCTTTTAGGTTGACTATAATTTCGGAAACAGTCGTGCCTACAACAATCCCCTGTCCTTTTCCAAAACTCTGTAGCACCTAGGCAACTAGCAAGAATGCGAGAAGGATGCGCTTACAAGGCCCGAGAAGGTCTCGGAGTCTTTAATCCAGTTTCAGGGAACCTTCGAGGCGCCAATTTAGATAGTGTCAAATTGTCCGAGATAGCAAGACTCTAGGCAGTAACCACCCTATGTATGAGTGTGCGCGAGATAAGAGTATATGTACCCTCCAAATCTAGCTTCAAAACAACAACTCCAATATCAAAACATCTACTGTCTTATAACATCATCTCAAGACAACCGCTTCTCATCCCTTAAACTAAAGTAAACTAAAACTCCAAACCAAACTTTACAAACACACCCTCCTATCCGCAACCATGTGCTGGACCGTCTCAACCGCTTGCACCACCTGCCGTCGCCCGTTTACGGGCAAAGTGCCGTGCTCCAAGCCTATGCGGGGAGTATGCGTCAGTAACGAGTTCCCTCCCATCAACCGGCCCCCGCCTTGCCCGTTCTGCACCCAAGCGGCTACGACTACTACGACTACTACTACTACCACCAACAACAAGAATAACGACAGCAGCAACAACAACGGCAGCGGCACCAACAACGGCAGCGGCACCAACACCAAGAAGGAAACTACCAAGAAGGAAACCACCAAGAAGGAAACTGTCAAGAAATGAAGAGTCTGTGAAGGTCACCAAGAGTGGGGAACTAGTCAAGGAGAGACATCGTTGTTGCTGGTGTAAGGTCTAGGGGCTTAGACGCGCAACAACATATGGCCCGGAAGACGTCGTAAAATTGGAAAAAGGAGAAGGAAACTGGCCACACGGGATTTAAGCTAGAGTTTCGGAGGATACCTAGTCTCTAAAGTTCCGTAGTCTAGATAATTAGCATACCACATAACTCGCTGTTTCCTACTTTCCTCATGGACTATGTCCTTGTCCGTTTCCTTCGCTTTCAAGACAAGAAATTGTTCTGGGGGACAGAATGACATGCCATCCACGGTTTGGAGTCGAGTTATAACACCGAGCGAGATATAGGTAGATCCATACGCCTCCAGCCACATCGAGTTTCACCAAGCTTACAGATAGACACTGAACAGAGGCCCGAACAAGAATGGTATCAATAAAATGCTGCAAGTCGAACGTAACATATCCTAAATCATCGTCGTCGTAACCTAGTAAAATCCGCCACGGCTGAACCAAGGATTCAGCCAACCACCTCTCCTAGAAGAACAAGAACCCTCCGAGACGGCCCCAGATACCAATAAAAAGGAAAACAAAATAGGACCGAAGGGTCAGGGTGAGATAAAGGATGACAAATGTTAGGATTCAACCCTTCACAACCCTTCCAATGAGAGAGAGACCATACCATACAACCAGAAGGGGCCGCCCCGGACCAGCCGACCAACCGTACCCACCCTGCCTGGCTACTACAATTACACAACCTCCGTTAGGCTGACATAGACCACCCCCTCTTCCTCCGCACCGCACCCCCTTAGGTTCCAAAGAAAAATATATCGTGTCGCATTTCCCACCCCACGGTAAACCTTCCGTCCCAGATCCCACGCATCGCCCAGTATCTTTCGCACCATTGCTCCCTTCATTACCAGTGTATCCTTGCCCGTCCACCCTCATCCTCCCACACTGTCCCGCAACAGTCTTTCCCATCCCTCTTCTCCCCAAAGGCCCCGTCGAGCGGATGCGCTCGGTCCCTTATATCCACCAGCCGATTGGTGTTAACCACCAGAACCGACTTTGCTCCTCCTTTTTCGGACGACCGGGGCGTTAGTAAACCCATTATGCAACCAGCAAGATGATACCCGGCGCCCTCGAGCATGCTCGTTCCCCCATCAGCCCCAAACCCCGCTACACTCGCTCCGACATTGTCGCAAAGAATCCGAACATTCCGAGAGCCGGTCAGGTTCATGCGACAACCATCGATGATGAGGCCGCAACCACCTGAACCCTCGAGAACCCAGAAACCGGATAAACCCCATTCCCACCGTTATTACTCAGACAATGTGAACAGGACAAACAAAATTAGGAAACAGGATTAGGGCAAGATTCCCCAAATGCGGGGAATACAATGTTACATCAAGACGTGTTGTGCTAAAGCCGGTGACAGAGGGGGGTAAAAAAGAAAACATTGCCGAATTTCAGAACCAAATACCGCATATGGTGAAAAAAAAAACTGAAAACATGGGTAAAGCAGGCGACAGTGGTATCAAAGGAGACGATGCCCGCAGCGTAGAGGAACAACGAGAATACCACCACCACAGACGGGGAAGGAACGAACCAACGAAAAAGGGGGGTAAAAATAAAACAAAAATAAAAGCAGGTGAAAATAGAGGGGGTAAACGAGATTTGCCCTCCACCGGTGCTCCGACATTCCCCCTCCCGTTCGTGAGTCCCCATTCCGCCCAAACCAGCCAACCGACCGACCGACCGACCGACCGACCACCCAAACCAGAAATAAAAACTAGAGGAACTTAGAAAAGAAAAGCGAACGAAAATTAGCATATGCCTCACTCGTGCCTCACTCGTTCCCCCCTTTCATTATTCTAGGATGCGTTCGATTCTCGGCCACAGGGCGGATCGGGACACATAATAGGTTTTAGAATTGAGGTATGAAGAAGGAAGTTGAGAGCGAGGGCGAAATAGAGGCCGGGTTCCGAATTGGGACCGAGACCGGGATCGAGACCCAGTAAAAGCAGTGGTAATTGTAAGAAGATGGCGACGACGGCAATAGCGACGAGTCGGTTCGCGGGAGATAATGGGCGTCCTACCACCCCTTCTTCCGGGCGAACCGCTTGTTGAGCAGCGCCAGGACCTTGGGCACGTTGAATTGCACGTACTCAAGGTCCAGGTCGTCCTGGTTGTCCTTTTGCATCTCAAGCAGATCGTCGAGCTTGAGGTCTAGCTCCAGGAGCCCACGGTTTCTCCCTGTTGGTTCGTTGTTAGTGATGAGCTCAGAGAGGGATTGGACCCCGTAGAGGGTCGAGTTCCTCACCTTTGTAGTGCAGAGAGATGACAAACGTCCCCGGCAGCGGGCTGGTAAAGTTGAAATAGATGTTGGCGCGTCGGTTGTCCGGGACGTTGCTCTTCTGAATGACACCCTCCTTCTCGAGCTGTTGGTGGGTGAACTTGTATGGCCCCAGCACCCGCTGGTTCTGCTGCTTGCGGCGCGTGCCCTCGCTCTGGCTGCGCACATTGTGCAGGTAATTCTTGTACGTTTCGAGCTGACCGACCAGGTACGAGTTGTGATCGCGGATCGTCTTGTACACCTCGTCCAGCTTTTGGGTCTCGGCAAGCACGCCCTCCTTAAGCGAGCCCAGGTGCTGCAGCTCTTGCTCAACCTCGTCGCGCAGGAGGCTGAATCCGTCGCTCTTATCGACGACCCGCAGCTCCTGCAGCTGGCTGAGCAGTTCCATTGCCCTGATCCCCTTGCGCACCATCACGGCGTCGTTCTTAGACGTGGCAGCCGCGTCAGCGATGCGCTCAAGACGCAGGGGCCGTTTCGCTACAGACGAGGTCGACGGAATTGTCCGTAGAATCTGCACGAAGATGGACTTGGCCTCCATGAAGTATACCTCTTCCTGGGTGATGTCGAGCGCGGCCGTGAGGTCGTCAATGGCCGTCTCCCACTTGCTGTACAGCGGCAAGTTAATCACCCTGTTCTCCTTCCGCGGGACCTGGGCCGGCGCGGCGGCCAGCTCAGCCATAATCTGAGCAAGGTGAGAGTTTTCATCCTTGCACAGTTCCCCGGTGTGCTTCTCAATCAGGGCGTGCATGGCGTAGATTTCGTTCAGCGTGATGGACAGCTCGAGATCCTTCTTGGAAAGAGCCACGTAGTTATCCATCTCTAGCGTCTCGTAGAAGTCCTGCACCTCACACAAATCCAGCATGAACTTGTTGACACGGTCCTTGTTTTGGTGGATGAAGGGCTGCAGCTTGGCCATGTACGGCTCCTTGGAGTATGACGGCTTGTTGGCCAGGTTCTGGAGCATCTTGGCGATGAGCGTCAGCGTTCTTCTCGGGCGATCGGCAGGTGTTCCGTCGATGAGCATGTAGGATTTCGGCGTGACGATGGCGGGGTTGATGAAGCGGAGGAAGAAGAAACCACCGATTAGTGTGCAGATAGCTTGATCGTTGGCATCGGGATATTTCCTCTTAGTCAGGCTGCGAATCTGCTTGCAAATCCACCGGATACCGTAGGGCGCCTCCTCGAGGCCCTCGATGATGGTTGCCAAAAAACCGTTGGCGATCTCCGTAAGCATCGTCAACCGCGGTTCAATGATGGCCTGCACCTGAGGATTCTCGGCCGCCTGCTCCTGCGTGATTCCCTTGGGCAGCGACGCCGGCAGGCTTCCTGTGTCTTGCTCAATCTGTTCAATCATGCGCTCGTAGACTTTGAGCGGGTTAATTTCGAGGTCCAAGTCCTTGAGCTCAATCAGGCTGTTGATCCTATCGGCGAGCACCGATTTGAGGAAGCTCTGGCCAGGTCCTCTCCTTGTGTACGTGGTCATCATCCGCGAAACGGGAGTGTTAGCGCGCAGGAGCGACGAGTATTCAGGGGTATTGTCGAACTGGTACGTAAGGACGGACTGTAGCAAGCCAGGTTAGCAAATTGAAGTTGTATCATCTCGGGCTTAGAGTGTTGCATACTTGGAACATGGTCAGCAAAAGATGCTCTTCGCGGCTCTCATACTGATTCCCATAGATGGTGAACATGACGGTCTGCAGCAACGAGTCGATCTCAGCCATGGAGACCAGCCGGCAGAGGTGGGCAATATGCCTCGGCTCGGACTGCAGCAGGAACAACAAGTTCCCGTATCTTTGTGTCTTGTCGTCGTTCGGGAAGGCGCCTTCTTGCATCTCGGTCGCATCTTCGAGATGGCTCGCAACTTCGTTTTGCTAGAAGGAAAAGTTAAGTTAGTATCGAGCAGGGATATGTTAAATAGGCGCAATGGGGGCTTCATGGGGGGCAAATGTACCTCTTCCAACGCCATGCGGTTCTGGATCAGAAGGGCGATGCGGGAGTCCAGATAGCGAACGTCCTTCTCGAGGACGAAGTTCTTCTTCGACTGCGACGATATTTTGGACTTGAGGTCCCGCAGTACCTTTTGCGCTGTTATATTCAGTCAGTATCCCGCCCATGTGCTCTATCCCTCCGCAATGCGTATTATCTCAAACTCGACGCGCACGCACCTTTGGCAAGGTCATCCTCAATTACCAAGTCGGATTCGTTAGCCGACATGGACATGTACAGCGCGGACATGGAGTACCGCTTCGATTGGCGAGCGGACCGCGAGCCATCGTAGGAAGACATCGTGTTTTGCCGTGATATCGGCTGGAAGGAGGAGGAGGATGCGGTTGAAGCTCGAGAAGGTGTCTGTAACATGACAGACATGTTGGCGAGCGCCGTCGCGGGGAAAGAGCAGGTAGAGATGCTCAGGCTGCCAGGCCCGAAGCCTCTCGGGGTGGAAGCGGCGAAATAAAGTCGACCGTTGCGTTGGGGGCGCGACCGTGTTGTGTTGTCTTGAGGGCCAAAAGCGTGCTCTTTTGGTGATGCGCCGTGCGGGAGATAAGGATGCGCTGAGCGGACGCTCGTCGCTTCAACCAAGATGGTGGATTAGGCGGTCGCTGTCCGGATAAAACACCTCCACCGTTTGATTCGGAGTTGTTAATTCGGGGTCGATTTTGGTATCGTATCGAGGTTTGAAACGAGCGATAATTTCGTTAGGGATGGAGGTTGCAGTGTTGAATTGATCTTGAACACTAGACGATCCGGGACCTCGAGTCGCGCTCTGGTGTCCGTTCGTCCCAGGGGTGGTGGTTCGTGCTTCGGGCCGGAGAAGGGGTCTTGGTGCCTCTTTCAGTGGGGCAGGGCCACAAAGGGGTAAAAAACGTGGACAGAAGGGCCGGGGGTCAAGGGAGTGTCGCTTCCCAGGTTGGGCTGGAATTGCCGGGTGTCGCGCAGATAACTAAAGCTCGAAAGTAGCCAGTGGTGTATGCCGGTGGTTGTAAAAAGTTGGTGGAGGGTAAGATGGTGAATGGATGATGGAACGACGAAATCTGCGTGTCTCAGCGCTCGGGCGAGTGTGGGAGGGTTCAAGTTGAGCGCCAGGGGTGGTGGGTCGTCCCAAACTTCCCGGGTTGGGGTGAACCTGGTGCGCACTGTGCAGGCTGAGACGAGGCACTTGGAGGGGTGATTCCAGTCAGAGAACGGCCTTCGAGAGTACCGTTGACAAGAAGTCCAATGAATGTCCGCCTCGTCGAGTGTTGCAAATAATGAAAAATGGCTTCCTATTTCATTTCAACCCGTAAGTTTCTTGCTCGGTTGAAAACGGAGACCGGCACGACCTCACTTGAGGCGAAACCAAGGAGCGGGCCCGCGGATGCCCGCAGCTAGGTTGCGTGAAGTTGCCAGGTCCGTACATCCATGAATCCAATGTCGATTGGCTGCCAAGTGGACGTTATAGGCTGGGGGACGGTGTATATCATGACCATTAAAAGGGACGGTGGTCAAGACGGGGATTGCCGTCCGGCAGACGATAAATTTGCTCAATAGTAAAGACCCGAAAACAATAAGTGGGAGACGGCGATAGTGACGAAAGGGTGGGGGATTCCTGCCGCAAAAAGCTTGCTGCCTCCATCACGCCGCTTCCATCTTGGGGTCGTTGCCCCGTGTTGGTGGCCCTGGATGGTCCTGGGACCTGCATGACAGAACAAAGAACGGGTGCCAAGACGAACGGGTGCCAAGACGAACGGGTTCGACGCTAGTCCACTTTGAGTGAGAGTTGCAGTGCCCCTGGTGTTACGCAAGTGGGTCACTTTACGATAGAACAGACAAAAGCCCGAGAGACTTCCCACTAGAAATGTTGATTGTAATCGAGGGGGATAACCTGAAAGGACGCAGTGTAACGAGAAAATATGAAAAATAAGGTCAAATAACAGCTGAAACAAATTTATGGTGGGCGGCAATCAAATGCTTAACCTCCCACCGAGCCGCCGGCCGTGTTTCAACCTCGCCAACACGGCTTGTGGTGCTTGGCATCAGCTCGCTTCTTCATCCGGAAGCTCAGGAAATAGTATAACGGCGCAGAGGTCAGAGCTGGCACAGCGCAAGATGCCGAATATTCAGCCACATTAGTGTAGTGTACTCCAAGTTCCATCTGCTATCTTGGTTTCCACATCTCGCTAATCGTCGAGAGGTTTTTTGTTTTCTGTGTGGAGAGTCTCCTGCCATCGTCGAGCTACGTTACTCATCACCTCTCTGAGGGATGGCACTTTGGGTCAAATTCAACGTTTGCTATCAGGCACATAGGGCGTTTGCGCTGAGAGAAAGCGAAGCGCCCCCCTGGCCTCCCTTGGGGTCCAACGATCGTCCTCCTCAACGGCGACTTTCCCGGAAAGGAGAGCGCGCTGAACCAAGGAATTTGCGGTTACGATCGAGAACCGAGTTCCCTGCCTCGAGCCTGCCGAGCCTGCCGAGCCTGCCAACCTGCCCAGTACCCTACGCCAGCACTGCAGGGCGCAAGTCGAGCGCTGCGATCATGTTTCGGGACCTGACAGCGAGTGGCGAAACTCCATGGGAGAGCTGCCGAATGGAGACAGCCAGACCACCTACACAAACCAGACGACAGGGAAGATGACACGGCGATTGGCTCGCGTAGCCAATCTCGAACCCTCCCTCACCTTGCATCGAACCCCATCAGCGAGGGGCTAAAAGGGATGCCCCGCCATCCACCAGTCGGAATACTAGTGTAATAGATTGTCCACGGCAAGAGCGTGCCACGCTGGTACATACCTATCACCAGAAGTCCCCACCTCGCAAAATAATTAGCCACCTCACACAACCTGAATTGGGATGGAACAACCTTAAGGTGAGGGACGGCCCCTATCTCTCAGGTCGAGATGCCCGGCAAATAAATGTTGGTTAACGGGCCCCCAGACGCTCGCCAAACCGAATGGCCCGCCAGAATTGAACGATGAAACTCTTGGTGGGAGGGTGGGTCGAACACCCCGCAGTGAGCGGGCTGCGGATCGCAGGGGTGCTCGCGGGGAACAGGAACTGTGCGTTTCTTCCGTTCACCTGACGCCCGCAATTTATTCTTTGCATTCGCTTGTGGGGGCTTTCCCACGGTGCCGATGGAAGCGAACAAACCGGACTATCAGTCTTGATGGCCAACATTCCGAACAAGCACCTGGGCAACGGCAAAACTCTGTTTCACCCAAACGCCGGACGCCATGGGGTTGGTTACGATGAGATGGAGCGGCTGTTCCTGCAGGTCCCCGACAAAATGAAATTGTCAATTTTCTCGGGCCGTGCGGGTTCGGATGAACGGGTTACGGAATTGCCTCCCTTGTTGCGTGAAGCCCATCAGTCAATCCTCCCTGTGCTTTGTTTTCCATTTTCATCCGGATCGACAGTTTCTACTTTTAGCAGAAACCGAGTGGATCAGCTGGTCGCCGACCCATCATCATGATGCGCATTTCGATTCCTGAAGAGACGGCGAGAGCCTACACAGTAAAGATGCGATAGTTCACGTCCCCGACAGAAATCACAACGAACCGATGCGGCCCGGTCTCGACGAAGCCACTTTCCAACCCAACAACAAGAATGCATCTTGCCGCACAGAATCAAAGACAAATTGCGAGTGCCTCAAGCGCTTCCCTTTCCCGGCGCGGGGCGATCGACACAGTGTCAGACAGACTCCCGGGAGCCGAACATGGGGAAACGCGCAGCGCCGTTCATTGGGCAAACACGGCATCATCACACAGCCCAGACCCCAAGGCTGCATGCTAGCCTCTACACTAGGGCACCGGCAAGCGCACACACACACGGCAGCAGCGTTGTTGGGACCAAGATCCCAAGCCAACCACACACACCTGCACGGTCCCTCCCCTTCCCACAGCGCCGGGACGGACGGAATGACGGGCAGACAAGCCCCAACAACCCGCGCGAACCTCCTCCTTCACACCCCCATTATGACTACGAACTCGCTCTCGGCCGCTCGAAGGAGTGTGATACAAAACCGGCCCCCACCAACACGAACAAACCCGAGCTCTTGCTGACACGAGGGGCCGTTTGCAACCGCTTACTCTCAGTGCCTTGGTCTGACAACGCGGAGATGAACACTTTAGTTGCCCTTACGGTTTTTTCGGCAGCCCCGAATTACGTTGGCGTCCGGATCTACACCTTCTTTGTCTGACAAGCACAATCGCGCGTACGTAACTACCCGTCAAAATTTGCTGGTGCCCCCTGGTCATACCAGCTGTGGTGCGAGTGAAGGACAGAGATCCTGCAAGTGGTTTGTGTGTACCGATCTACTGTCCTCCTCTCCGTCTTCTTGGCGGCACGGCACCTTGGCCGTACCCGTAGTACTGCGTACTATCTTCACTCTCAACGATTGTCAGGGGGTAATAAAATTAGTCACGCAGAACAGAAATCTAAAGAGATACATGTACCGGTAAGTGTGTTGAGCTGGCCGTCAACATCGCCTGCACCTAGTACAGTTTCTGGCAACGGCCGCAGCTCCGCCTTCTTGGCATCTTGGAAGTGGCAGGGCTGAAGCTTATTCGGTTTGTGACAGGGGCCGGAAAGTTTGTTTTTTTACCCGTTAGGTTTGACGAAAAGGATAGAAGAGCAACAACTAATGAAGGAAGGAAAAACAAAGATATTGGGGCGTAGAAAATAACAAGTAGGTTTGTTTATTAGACGTGCTACCGGACTATCAGTGGTACTGCTCATGATGCCACAGCCGCCTTGACAGGATGATCGCCAAGGGGACTGGCGCTACGCAGTAAGGAAGAACCCGAAGCACTCGTGGACGGAGCAGATAGTTGGCGATACCCAGATGCCCTCTTCTATGCCTCGTCGGCGGCAGGGCATGGACACCGACTAATGACTATGTGACTATTTGCCAAGGCGGGGCATGGTCGTTAAGGCGGACCATGTTGCGGTCAACACTCCCTAGGCAACGCACGACGGCGACCTAATACCATCTCACGAGATTCTTCGGGTAGCGTGCTGCGAAACCGGAGACTAAGACGAAGCAACCTTGAAAAGGTACTAGTTTGAAGACACCGCATCTTTTTGTTGGTTTATGAAGCCATCGAGCGGAAGGGTGGGGTTAACCTGGGTGGGAGTTTTGTAACCCCCCGGCCAAAATACAAGGTGCCGAAACGGGATGGGTTTGAGCTCATGGGGCCCGACATAGAACAACTCGTAGGACAGATGGATTCAAAGCCAAGAGCCAAGCTGTATTCGGTACCTATTCCCTGACTCGTACTTCCGACCTGGGCGGACATCAACATCCTCATGCACTCCGTCCCGACACATCGGACCCCAGACCTCAAGATCCGTCTTGGCACCGCTCCGTGCCGGCTTCCGCTCCGCAACTCGGAGCCGGGGGGCTCCACACCGGCGGTGGGGGGTCATCTCGAAAATGTGGGTTTTTTGTATGCATCAAGTGCCTCGGCACAACGACGGCCGAAGTGGAGCCCCACGAGGTTCTTGCTGGGCGCCCAGGGCGCCCTCAAACTGGCGGGAATGGCGCATTGAAAGCCGGTTGGTTTGTTGGATGGAAGTTTGGTGCTCAAGCCTGACGCTGCAGCTGCACGTTTCCCGCAGCTCACGCATGCACGCACGTCCCTGGGTCTGGGAAAGATTTCGTCCTGTCGTCGGTGTTCGCGCCTTTTGTCATCATCGGATGACACACCCCTGTGTTGTCCTTTCCCGTTCCGTCTGGAGTGGCATCTTTTTCCGCTTTTTTGAAGCGGGGAAGGAATGAATCGACCTGTCACCGCTTGGGACTTACCTTCCATTCTGTATTCTTGATTATGTCGAGAATAAGCTAGAGTGGGAGTCCTTCGAAAATTGTTCCTTCCCCCACCAGTTGATGATTTCTTGCCACCCCCAAACTCCCGTCAGCCTATCATCTGCCCATCACCACCACTTTAAAAATGCGTATTGGGTTTCGGCATGGAATTTGTTTCCCGGCACACGTGCAGTCGAGCCGCTCGAGAGCCGCCCGATCACCCTCTCACAGCCTCTCCACCAAAGGTCGGCCCGGCCCACTCTTCAGTCAAGGTTTTGCACGCAAGCAACTTACGCTAAGGCCCGCTCTCGGCGGGAAATCACAAAAAAGTCGGGAGCTGGGGGCCGAAAAGAAAATGTTCCTGTTGGGTGGGACTTTGCGCCCTGCGGTGTGCGTGCGGGATGTTACGTCCAGGGTGATAAGAGCGAAAAGCGCGAGCAGGATCGGGAGCCGGTTGGAGTCCAGAGCCCGGGACGAGATGCCCCCCCCCTTCCTCCCGGACCCGTTTGCGGAAGCAGTAACTTGGCAAGCAGTCCGCAGTAAGCTATCCGGCTTCGACATGCCCGATCTAACTCCGACAGACCCGCTCTCTTCACTCCCAGCACGGGTAATTGCCCCGGCCTGTCGCCATTGGGGGTTTATTCTCGTGATCCTTTACAAAATGCACTTTTCTCGGAGCCCTCCCCCCCCAAGCTGACCTGACATTTAGTGTCCCTCTCTGTGCTGCCGTGATATTGTTGCTTGGTCTCGCGCTGTTCCTTTTTGATATCGTTCCTGCCTGTTTGACCGAGTGTCTGAGGTCTCGTCAAGCTTAAAATAATAATTTTCGTCCTTTATTCTGGATACCGAAGAACTTCTTGCAAAAGACGTGACCCAGCCAAAGCAGTCACCATGACGGGCAATGCCCAAGACCTAGAGAAACAAGCCCCCGCGGCTCACACTAGCACCGAACAGTCCGACCACCACGATCATGGCCTCTCACCCACCGGCTCAGATTTCGAAAAAGACATTTTGACCAAGGAGACCCAACATAGCCTGTCCACTTCCCACTCTCGCACCTCTGTCGATACCGACCCCCTTTCGCCCCTCGAGAACGCCCTAGCCCGGCCTTTATCCTACCCCGAGATAGAGCAACTCCCACCAGACGACCTCGACGACGACGATGATGAGGACGACAGAGATGGGGCCGGGAACAACAACGCCCTCGACTTGGCCCGTACCCGCACCTCTATCACATCAGCCGCTTCTCGCCCACCAGACTATGAGGTCACGATCGAGGCTGACGATCCCGAGAATCCCAAGAACTGGTGCGTTTCCTGTTAACACTGTCTTCTTTAGCCTGAACCGCAGACTCACAGGAAACAAAACAAAACAGGCCACTCTGGTACCGTGCTTACACCGTTCTGTCCGTATCCTACGCCACATGGGTCGTTGTGCTCTACTCCACCAGCTACACGGCCACCATCCCGGGCGTCATGGCCGAGTTCGGCATCACCAGCCGCCCGTTGGCCACGCTGGGTCTGACGACGTACCTGCTAGGGTTGGCCGCGGGGAGCGTGGTCGTGGCGCCGATGAGCGAGCTATATGGCCGGCGGATCGTGTACATGGTGTGTTTGGGGGTGTTTACCGTGTTGATTATCCCTTGGTAGGTCTCCCTTTTCCCACTTGCTTGTGCTTGTGGTCACTTTTGCTGATGAGTTACTCCCTGGGATAGCGGACTGGCCAACAGCTTAGCATCACTAATAGTCGTTCGATTCATCGGGTAGGTTGTGTCCCGCTTCAAAAGGCATTGGGGGCGCTCAAAGAGACTAACAATCACAGTGCGTTCTTTGGCGCAGCCATGATCTCCAACAGCCCCGGCACAATCGTCGACATCGCCAACCCCGAGACCCTCGCGCTCTGCATGTCGTGGTATAGCGTCGCGCCGCTGAACGGACCCGTCACGGGCCCGCTGATCGGAGGGTTCGTGTACGAGGACCTCGGGTGGCGCTGGGGCAACTGGCTGGCCATGATCCTCGCGGGCGTGGCCGTGGCCATGGTGTCCTTGGTGAAGGAGACGTACATGCCGAAGCTGCTCACCAACAAGGTTGCTCGGTTGCGCAAGGAGACGGGGGATGATCGGTGGTGGTGCGCTCACGACCAGCGCCGGTCGACACTGGACTTGCTCAAGACGAACCTCAGCCGGCCGTTTGTGCTGGCCGCGACGGAACCCATCCTGTGGTTCTTCAACATCTGGTCAGTCCCTCACCTCTCTTGCGAGGTAAATCACGTACTAACTCCTCTAGGATCTCCATCATCTACGGCATCCTCTACCTCTGCTTCGTCGCCTACCCCATCGTCTTCACCCAATACCGCGGCTGGTCCGTCGGCATGACCGGCCTCGCCTTCCTCGGCATCGGCATCGGCACCCTGATGGGCATCGCCATGGAACCCGTCTGGCGACGTCTCATCAACAACTCCCCGAAAAAGGACCCCGAAACCGGGCGCGCCGCCCCCGAAGCCACCGCCATCGTCATGTGCATCGGCGCGCTCCTCACCCCGCTCGGCCAGCTCGTCTTCAGCTGGACCTGCCTGCCCGCCACCATCCACCCGGCCATCCCCATCGCCTTTGGCATCCCCTTCGGTATGGGCAACACCCTCTCCTTCATCTACGGCAGCAACTACCTCGCCGGCGCCTACGGCATCTACGCGGCCTCTGCCATGGCGGGCAACGCCGTCATGCGCTCCATTTTCGGCGCTGCGCTGCCGCTTGCCGGGCCGGCTATGTACGCCGCCATGACGCCGCAGTGGGCGGGGACGTTCCTGGGGTTGTTGGAGGTGCTGCTGATTCCGATCCCGTTTGCGTTTTATAAATATGGGGATCGGATCAGGGATAAGAGTCGGGTGATTCGGCAGATGAGGGCGGAGAAACTGAAGGCGGAGAGGCGGGCTGCGAAACTGGCGAGGCGGAAGGCCAGGGCCGAGAAGGCTGCTGCTGATGCTGCTACGCCTACGACTCCTACGGTCCCGGAGGGCGTGGCGGTGGATGATAAGGCGATCACGGAAGTGGTGATGGCGGGGGAGAAGGGGGAGGAAGCGAAGGCAGATGCCGCTGCGCAGGGGGCGAGGATGGCCTAAGGAACGTGAAACCGGAAGGGGAGAAAAGAGAAATACGGCTGGGGGCGACGAGGAAAAAGGAAGGGACGAGAAGAAATAATACGCAGACGGATGGGATGAGCAATGACCAAACGGAACGGGACGAAGCATGCATTCACGGCGTTTAAAAAGGGGTGTATGGTATGATATACCCTTGGTTGCATAGGCCCGGTGTTTCTTTATACGTCAAGGGGTCTTGGATACGCCAGCGCAGTTTTTGTCGTTGCTTTAAGATATTTATTATACGTAGTTAGCTGTTAGTCGTAATACAAATTTGATGATGACCATGACCATTAGTCTCTCTCAAGGGGTAGTTACTTGGGTGTGGGATGGAATTTGTCTGGCGTCTGATTATTCCTCGCAGGAGGTCAGTTGTCCTAACTAGCGATGTCTCGCAAATACCCACACATTATAGCAAACCAACTCAAGCATCAAACAGCAGATAAAACCCCTTCTTAAGTATCTGCTCACGTACACACATGCGTACAAACAATTAAGAACTCGCAGTTTGTCAATTTCACTTGATTGACTACCTCGCCTACCTCTTCCAGCTGATCCAACCGATCCAGCCGTCCAGCCCAAAATACATACACCACAAGCAAGCAAGCAACCGAACCCCCCCCACAAGATCCTGTATAACGCCCGAGCCGCCCAAACCGCCTGAAACGGCCCCACAATCAAGAGAGAAGAAAAAAAAAGGAACAATAATACTAATAAAATGATGATATGGTATAGTGGTATAGTGGTACACTGCTTTCAGCTCACTTGCCTGCCTAATCTGCCTCTGCTGACCTTTATAATCCATCCCCCCTTCGCTATGCTATATAGCTATCTCTGTTAGACTCAACCCCCACCCCCCAAGCAACGCAACAAACAACCATGGGAAGAGTTCAAGAGGGAGAGAGTAGAAAAGGAGAAAGTTGGGCAAATAGCAAGAGGGTAGTAAGTAGCAAGTGAGAACCCACCGACCCGACCTGAACTTAAGCAACCTTAACTTGTGCAAGGATAAACTCGACCCCGGGCATTACCCAGCTAGTTAAACACAAACCGAAGAACACCTTCTCAAACCTCAACCTAGTGAACCTAGTGGACGAAGCCCGCAAAGGAAAGAAACCCTTAGTGTAGTAGCTACGCGTCCTAACCGATCCGATCCGATCCGATCCGATCCCGGCATGCTAGTGTTCCATGTCCCGTGTCCCATGTCCTGTGTATCCCATCCGACTCCATTCCATCCCATCCCATCCCATCCCATAATAATAATAATAAAAGTGTACATTTCCCGAATCAAACCGAATCACATCAACTGATCTCAAACCGATCACATCAACTCGAACCTCGAAACCAAACTAAACCCCGCAAGTTCAAGCACTCTTTTGGCTTGTCTACCTGCTTGTCTGGTCTTAGTGGTAGTCCCTTTCGAATCGAATTTCGAGACCTCCACAATGCCAATACCAATACCATCTAATAATCATCACATCGCCACCCCCTCACCAACCGTCCCCTGCGCCGTCGCACCCCCCGCCACACCCCCCAACCCAAGCAACGACGACGCCGACCCATTCGCACCACCCGCCCCTCCAACACCCGCACCTCCAAGACCAGCACCAGCACCAGCACCATCCACCCCACCTCCAAGACCAGCAGCAGAACCAACCCCCCCCGTCTTAGACGCCACAAGCGCCAACCTCTCCCGTTCCGCCTTTTCCCGATCCCGCTGTTCCTTCTCAACCTTCGTAATCCTCGGTTTCCGAACCGTTCCACCTCTCGACCCCGGTCCACCACCCCTACCACGCCCACTCTTCGTCGTCGTCGTCGTCGTTGTTCCCGTGGTCGTCGTCTTCTCCCCATCGCCGCCGCCGCGTCCGGCACTGTCGCCGTTGGCACCACCGCCTCCACGCCCGGCTCCACCGCCCCGACTCCCACGCCCCCTTCCCCCCCGTCCACGACGCGGTCGTTCCTCCACCACAGCAGGTTTCTCCTCGGGCACAAGCGGGCCCGAATAAACAAAAAACCCATCTTTACTCGCAGCGGCCTGTTCCTCCCATAACATCTCCGAGTCATCAACAAAATCGTCGTCTTTATCATATTCGTCCTCTTTAAAATTACGTTTTTTCCTTGCCGGCTTTGTCGGTGCAGCGGTGGGCGCCGCATTGGCCGCAGCCGTGTTGTTCCCGCCCATGCCGCCCATCTCGACATTACTTTCGCCCGCGTCAGAACCCTGCAAAATGTCCTCGTCCATTTCCTCGCCCTCGCCCGAGTCGCGGCCGGAGCCGGTTTTTTCGAGAGCGGCGGTGGCCGCGGCGATGCGGGCTTTGCGCTCGCGACTGGCGGCTAGGCGTGGGTGCAGGGCGTCCCAGCCGTAGCGCTCTTCGGCCATGCGCATGAAATTGACGTATTTGTTGCTCTCGCCTGGGTTAAGTGGGATGTGTAGTGAGATGCTGGGGGCTTCGGTTTCTTCGCCGGGGCGGGCTTTGCCGAAGTCTAGGATGGAGCGCTCGCTGCCGGGGACCGCGGGGAGGGCCTCTTTGAGGCTGCTGATTTTGGGGGAGGAGGAGGAAGAGCTGCGGGCTTTTTTGTGGGAGTCGCGCTCTTGTTGAACGACGGCGGCGATTTTCTTGCTCTGTGCCGTGGCCGGCGGCTGGGTAGCAGCCCCCCCGGCGGCCCCAGACGCGGTCGCGGTAGGGATCGAAGTCATGCTGGTAAACGAGGTCGTCTTAGAGTCGGGTTTACTGGCAGCTGCCGGGACTGGGGGCGGTGGTGGTGGGGGAACACGCCTGGCGTCGCTGAGCGCAGGCTTGGGCATCGACTGCGAAGGCGTGGCGCGCACCGCGTTCGAGGGGGAGGAGGGGAGAGAGTTGTTGGAATCCTGGAACCGTGGCTGGGAGGTGGGGTTGGAATACGTCGGGATCGGGGAGATTACGTTGGCCGTCGGTGGGGGATCGACAAGGCTGGCTATCGAAGGGGACGCGCTGGCGCGGTTTGTCATCTGTGCGGGCGCGCGGGGGGAGCCCAGGGGCCCTGTGCCGTAGGGATCGCGGGGGGTCATGGACTCTCTGATCGGGTCGTAGCCGCCCCGGATAGGGTCGAACATCTGCCTAGCGGGTGGGGCCGGCTGCGGCTTCGGCTGCGGCTCTTCGTTTAGTAGGTTCATCATCTTCATCGACCCGGAGCCGCTCTCGCGTTTGGGCGCTGGGGCCGCAAAGCTGGCGTCGGCAGCGGTCGTGGGCGGAGAAACCGCGTCCAGGCTCATGCGCATCGGGGTGAGTTCCGTGATCTTGGTCTGGCGAGGCGGGCCGGACGCGGACCTCGCATCCATCTCCGAGTTGGCATCGCTGGCCTCTGCCGCGGCCGCCTTGCGCTTCCTCTGGACGGGCGGCGCATTTGGGTCCTTGGGCTTGCGCGGTCGCCGCTGCTTGGGCGGCTCTGCTGCTGCCCCATCGGCCGGTGGTGCCTTGGGCTTGACGGTGCTGCCTGGCTTCCGGCCGGGCTTTTTCCTCGGAAGCCCGGCAGCGGTGAGCGGCACGTTGGAGACGGGTTCGGCGGGCTGGTGTTGTTGCATGATGGCGAATCGACCGACGGAGCTGGGATCGACGATGATCTCGTCCATCTCAATGTTCGCGCGGCCGGCGTGGAGGGCCCGTGTAGGCGAGCCGGGCTCCGAGAGCGCGGACGGTGGTGATGAGAGTGACGGCGACGAGCTGTGGTGCTGCTGGAGTTGTGCGTGGTGAGGGTTCATTGCGCTGTTCCGGTTGTTGCTCGCGGCCATTCCACAGCGGGCAAACGAAATTGCCTCGGCAGGGGAGGAGAGGACTGAGTCTAGAACGGTAAAGCGCCGACCAACGAGTCCACTCTCCTTCCAGGTTCACCGAGGGGAAATGAAGGGAAAAAGGAAAAAAGGATTCTCTAAAAAACCGAGCACTAACGTGTTCCGTCCCACGTCGTAACAATGACAAGCACCCACAACAAAAAAACAAGATGGTTGAAAGAAGAATCAATGGGGATAAAAAAGGCCAACAAGGCGGCAATAATGCCACAGGTCCACAGGACTTAATGAAACAAGTTGTAAGTAGACAAGGTTCCGTTTGATGGAAGTCGTCGCAAGTTTGCCGTTGGAGTTGGTGGAAACAAAGCCCGAAAGGCTAGAGCTGCAAGCCTTCTGATAGGCTGCCGAATCTCCAAATGCTCGAGAGGCGCGTGTGTGCCTGGACCACTTTTGGCTCTCTGCGGAGAGTTTGCAGGGCAACCTTGAACCACAAGGCTCGATTGGGTGGTGGCCCGCGGAATGCTGATTGGTCAGGAACGGGCCCGAGCGCCAGGGCCGGGTACCTCCACACTGGAAGTTGCGCGCGGGTTTGTTGGCTGGCTGGCGGGCGGGTTTCGATGTTGGTTTTTTTGCTGCGACTTCCGGGGTTCCAGCCGCAGAGGTGGAGTTGCCGCCTGCGAATGGCTTCAAATGCGCGGAAACGCCTGCAACGCCCAACAGCGGTTGGTGGTCGGAAAAATGGAAAGCCGGAAAACAGCCCAGCGTGCAACAATTCCGGCAATCGGCTCGGTGGGTTCAATTCAACAAGTCTCGCCGATTCGAATTATGGTATTTGCGCGATGCACCGGGTGTAAGAATCAGGTTGTTGAGATGTAGTTTTGCACACTACGCGCGAAAAAGTTGTGTGGTCGATGTTGGGTCGGATAGGTTGTGTGTGTGTTTTGTGGAAGAGGGAGAAGAGTGAGGAACGGGGATTTTGGGGGGGGGGTGGCGCGTGCAAAAGGTGAAAGAGGCGAAGAGAGGAGAAAGAGAGAATGGGAAAACGGGGATGGGCTCTGGTTTTGGAAAACTTTAGATTATTTCACAGCCGGCGAGGGAAAACCGGGGCTCTGACCTCGTCGGAAGGACATCACGGACGCAAGGGAAATTTTGTTCTGGAAAAAAGACGAATGAAAACACCAGGGCATGCGCAAGCGGGCACGACGAAGGGGGGCGAAGAAGCGAGCACGCGGGAAAAGGCAAAGGCGCAACACCAAAGGGGTTGGTTGCGTTGGGCGAGTTGCAGGGTGGAGGACCTTGAACATGCCCGAGGGGGGAATGGGACCATGGATGAATGGATGGATCATGGGGATGGGGCCGTCGAATGGGGAAACACGACGAACGAAACATCAAGACATGAGCACGGAGGGCCATGAGACCACACATGGATGGAGACCTTTGAAGGGAACGGCCGGATGGAATTGGGGGAAACATCCATGGGCCTACGCTGGGGCCTTGGCTGGATGGCTGGATAGCGGCATTGACCGGCCGAGCAAAGAAAACGCCAGGGAAGAGACGGGCAAAGAGACGAGAGAAGGAAAGGTCGCGGTCGCCGATGGGGCCAAGCCATGACCGAGAAGGGGGAATGGAGAGAGATGCCGGAGAGAGAGAGGAGAAACTTCAAACCTCCAGCTGGCAACAGGTCACCGGTGGGCCATGGTACGGTAACTGCGAAGTAATGGATACAATACTTCTGCGCGGCACCTACCCAGAAACGCAAGACGCGGTAACCAAAACTATGCAACAACGACGGCAGGCCGCGGCAATGGATGAGACAGAGAGACAAGAGGCGGGTGCCCAAAAGGGAAATGCAATTCGGTCAAACCCGTGCACACACGCAACGCGTGGATGGGTCCTCCCTTTTGTCATCGGCGCTGTCAGCGAGCTTCCATGTTGTGTGAGAACAAGCGAACAGGAGGACGAAAGGCTGGTATCAATTCTTGGCGCGGGCCACCCAGGGATCGGTTTGTCGGAGCCACAAGCATGCAAAATGGGGGGGGTGCATGGGTTTTTAAGGTGCGGCAGGGGTCTAGAATTGGGAACATCGTTTGCAGGCCGTGGGCTTTCGATCAAAGGACAGGCGCGCCGCGACGTTCTGTGGTGCGTGGTGCGGGTGTGGGTGGGGCCCTCTCAGGTTCCCGAAGCCGAGAAGCGCGGAAAGAGGCTCGCGCACCCGCCGCCGCGCTCCATGGATGTCCATGCCGCAAGGCTGCAACGCACTTCCAAGCGTGCCCTGCAAGCCTACACTGTCCGAGTGGTACGTACCGAGTACCTGCCGTTGGCCGCCCCACCTCCGTTTCGAATGGGGTGCCGGATGCTGCGTGACATCTTCTTTGGCAGCCGCCTGCCCCACGCGTAGCGGCCATTCTCCAGGGGTACCACGGCCCGGTGCACGCCACACTTCCAGCGATTAGCTTGGGTGCATACGATTGCGAGGTGCAGCCGGAGGCGTTTTTTGGAGGGGTCACTCCGACTTTGTAATTGTTAACTGGCGTGTGTGTCGGAAAACCGCAGCCGGCTCGATCGGGCAAGGCAGGTGAACGGAGAACTAATCGTATTAGGAGACCAACTCGTTAACTGCCACAGATTGCACTACACTAAGCCAGGTACAGCGCACACAAAAATACTCGGATCTTTCAATCATTATTTCTCATGTTGCTTTCCCAGCATCGGTGAACTAGTCTCGCGTCGGTCCTCCGTTTTTTGTCTCGCTAAGATCGGCACTCTCGGCTGCAACAAAACCCACCGAGTTTCCATTTTGATGGCTTCACTTCGTATTACTTTAAATTTACGCTCTTTCCTTTTTTTTCGAGCGTGGCTTTACGCCGCAGCATTGTTTCGTCACACCTTTCTTTTCGGTGTGACCCCAAGAAACATGCACAGTGCACGGGCCATCCATGGGGGCTGCAGAATCGTGGAGATCTGCAACCTCCTGGCCCAGGCGGCCCCACTCGGCGGGGAGCAGGCTGAGCTTCCCGTTGTCAACCAGAACCTTGCGTGCCGATTTTCTTCGTTCAACATGAACGACCAGACCGGGCGAGGGTGAATCAACAACCTGGAAGACCGAATACACTGCAAATTTAAATCTCTAGGGTTTCTCTCTTCGTCCACACTAAGTACGCCTCCAGAACCGGCGAAATGGACGCCACACTCGGAATCCTCGACGTCCAAGAACGAGAAGTCGGCGATGCGACCCCGCCAACTTTTCCCACGGCTGCCGCGCCATCGACTACGGGCTTCCCAGCACACAAGAAACGAGTCTCGGCCTTCAAGAAGCAGCGGCAGGGGAATCAGGGTGCTGGGCCACAGGCGCCCGCTTCTTCTCGACCACAGGCCCAAAATGCGAATGCGAAGCCCGGAAAGGTGGACGAACGACGGGGAATCGACCAGGAGAACAAGGCAGTGCTGGATTCCATGTCGCCCGAGGAGATCGCAGAGGCACAAAAGGAACTGTATGAGGGGATGGATCCCAAGTTCATCCAAATGCTCCTCAGACGTGCAAACCTAGACGAACCGACCGGTCCGTCGCCGTTCGATGTAGTTCCCTCCGAGGAAGAGGAATCATCGAGTCTGAATCTCCCACAGCGAGAAAACCAAAACCATCGACAGGTCACCGTAGAAGACGACCCCGAAGACTCCGCCGAATCTACAAAACCGACGTTGCCCACGGCAATCAAAACCAATACCACCGATAAACCCAAGCCCAAGAAAACCGTCACCTTCGACGAAGACGCCGCGCCCCCCGTCCCACCCTCCGATCTCACACCCATAACATCCACCAACCGCCGACCACCACCACCCACAAAAACCACCACTCCCGAGCAACCAACAACCACCGACCCATCCGCCACCGCCAACGACATCCCCCACAACACCCACTTCCCCCCTCCCCCCGCCATCCCCGACCTCGACCCCTCCGACCCCGACTTCCTCTCAACAATGCACCAAAAATACTTCCCCTCCCTCCCCGCGGACCCCTCCAAACTAGCCTGGATGGCGCCCCTCCCGACCCCACACTCCCCCGCCGACCGCGAATCCCCCTACTACCCGGGCCAATCCTCCCTCCCCGTCTCCGCCCTCCGCTTCGATTTCCGCGGCGCCCTCCTCCCTCCGCGCATCTCCCGCGACCTCCCCGTCACGCTAGGTCTCCACCACCACGGCGAAGCCCCCGAAGCAGCGGGATACACCATCCCCGAGCTGGCTCGCTTAGCGCGGTCGTCGGTGGCCGCGCAGAGGTGTATTGCGTATCAGACGTTGGGGAGGATGTTGTATCGGCTTGGGAAGGGGGAATGGGGGGAAGGGGTTGGGGGACGGGGAGGGGAGGAGGATGACTTGGCGTTTGGGTTGTGGAGGTGTTTTAAGGAGGGGAGGGTGGTGGAGAGTTTGGAGGGGGAGGCCGGGTTGCCGGAGGGGGTGGGGCATTTGAGTGGGAAGGCTTATGCGATCGAGGCTTTGTGGTTGTTGGAGAGGGGGGGGTGGAGGGAGAAGTGGAGGGGGTTATAGTTTAATGGAGAGAGGGACAGAGAAAAGAGGGGGAATTGGTTCTGCAGATTGTAGATGACAAAGAATGGACGAATTCAGGGCGGTTTTGCTGTCAGTCGAGGTCACTTGGATCCGGTCTCATGACTGTCGCTGAGCAGTTAACCACAACCGCACGGCACGCTTTTATTCTATCCTCTATCTCGCCTTTTCCCATCTCCCGATCTAAGCTCTAAACCACTCCTAAACCCCAGTCCCCAGTCCCCAGTCCCCAGTCCCCCGTGTACCCGTGTACCCGTGTGGTCGGTAAACGAACCTCGAGGAACCCCGTTCTTGTTGACGCAAGCAATCACTCGCTGATCGAGCCGATATAGCCAAAGCACGACAGGGCATGGAAGTCCATGTTGTAGCTGATGCCCTCGTCTGTTACCATCATCATTAGCATCGTGAGCCACACCCAATATCATCACTCTATGTTGTAATGGAAAACAAGGTTAAAACAGGCGAAGAAGAACGTACTCAAGTCCAAAGACGACGAAACAGTGCCCATGCCATTTCTATTAGGGCAAGAACACTCAATAACCTGTGTATTCCAGTGGCGGGCTGTGCAGGTACACGAGGAATCGAAGAGGTTGCCGCTGTCGGGTTTAGTTAGCTTTGTCACTGAATGCCCCCAAAGAGGAAGAAAGAGAAGAGTGTAAAGGAAAAGAAAACGTACTCCTTCCTCCAAACAACAGCATCCCCATCGCTCAAGCCCAGGCACTGGTTCAAGCCCAGCCAGACATTGTGCGTCTGCTCGTCGATGTGGTCGCCACAGTCGCCGATTAGGCGGCCGGCTATCTCGCCGTGGGTGCCGATTAGGAAGAGGACTGGAACAAAAGTTAGCAGATGAGAATTAAATATGTTATTCTCGGGTGTAATTGGGTTGGTTAGGTTTGTAGCTGTGTTTAAACTGATTCATTCATGGAGGAAAGAAAGTAGCAAAGAGAATCAAACAGAACTAAACAGAGAAGAGGCGAAAGAAACATACGACAATGATCAACAAACCCCCCCTCTATATCCCCACCACCGGGAGTAGCCACATCACTACCAGGGCCGCCGTCGACCAAGACAGTCTTAGCCTCAGCCGTCATGTTATCATTACCATGGTTGTTACCCCCGCCGAGGACCAGGGCGTTAACGCCGGCGGCAGCGCCGAGAGCGAGGATGGTGCTGAGGATCTTAGCAGCCATGGTGGTCGGTTGATATTCTTTGTGGTCGGGAGTGTGATCTGATGGAAAGGTTGTTTGCTTATTCTTTTTGTTTTTTCCCGTGAGATCGGCGATGGGGTCGGCGATGGGATTGACGATGTGCAGAGTAGATAGATGAAAAGAGGGAGAGGAAAGATTGGATGGAGGGGATGGAGGTAGGGGAAGAAGGGTGGGTAGATGGATGAGGGCTAGAGGAAGGATGAATGAATACCTTCCTTCCTCTTTCCATCTTGCCTGGGGAGTGAACGACTTGTTTGTTTAATTATACATTGGAAAGCAGACCGCGTGCTTGCCTTATACATACTTACACCTACATAGCAGCCAGAAACTGTGGTGCTTGTGTTTGAATGTCGGCCTTACTACCCGTGATCGCCTCAGGCTAGGTAGGTTATAGCACAAAGGGGAGAGTGCCGAGTTAACAACCCATCTCAGTTCGGGACCAGGAACTAGACTCAAGAAAGATAGAGGCAAGCAGCACTAGTCATACAGCACAAACAGCACATTCACCATCCTAACTCAACCTGAATCATACACAACAATGAAAACATCAAATATAATCTTTCATAACGGCATAAATAAACCCAAACACTGACCTCTGACCCCAGGGTACAAACACCCCACCTACCAGTCAGCCATACACTCATCCTCATATCAATCAGTCAATAAACCATCTACCACCATCTATCAACCCATCACATCCATAATACACCCCAAGCCCAACCACAACCCATCCAAAAACAAATCACCCTCCCATATGTATAGATGTATCTTCTCCGCTCCCTACTCACACAACAACCACAACAACAAACACACCCAGCCACAACAACTCCTCCCTCCAACACTTTCCTACCACCACCCAGGACGACGGATCGACGCAGGAGTAAGAGGATGATGCTAAAACAAAAACGAGACGGATAATATTAATACTTGTTGTGTCATACAAGGGGAGGGGGGGGGGGTATGTATATGTCTGTATAACAGAGAGGGGGGGATGGGGGGGTTTGTGCATGTATGTGCTTGTGCCTGTGGGGTGCGTACAAACAAACAAACAAACAAAACAGAAATCATCGCACCGGAAACAAGGAACCCAGACGTCAAAGCCAACGCTGAGTCCAACTATACCAGGCTAGGCTGAACCAAGCCGGGCCAAATCAAGCAGGACAAGCCAAGCAAGACGAACCAAGCCAAGGGGTGTGGATGTGGATGTGGGTGTGGGTGTTGCAAGAAAGGGGCCGGCTTTTAAACTCATCGCGGACGGAGTTGAAGAACAGAAGGACGAACCTGTTGCTGTGTCTGTTGCGGTTGTGTCGATGGTGGTGGCTGTAACTGTTGGGTCGATTGCGATTGTGTGTATTGTTGCTGCTGCAATTGCTGCGTCCCAGACCCCCCTACCGCTCCCCCTCGTCCCGCTTGCTGACCACCAGCCTGCTGCTGCTGCTGCTGCTGCTGCTGGCCATGCCCGGGCCGGGCCCGCCCAAGAATGTAGTCCTTGTTCTCGATCGTTACACTCTTGGTCATGTGGTTGACCTTGTAGACGCCGACGAGACGGGCGGCCAGCTCGAACATGTTGTTGCGCAGGGAGATGACGATGAACTGGGCGTTCTTGGTGCGTTCTTTGATGTAGTTGGCCACGATGGAGACCTGGCATCGAACACGTTAGCAGAGTGAAGGATATAAGGGAAGTAACTGCAAGGTGCAAACAGAAGCGGATGTAAGAAAAAACCTACGTTGCGGAAATCCAGAGCAGCATCAATCTCGTCCATGACATACAACGGCGTCGGCTTATAATGATGCAGCGCAAACACCAGAGCCAACGAGCTCAGCGTCTTCTCGCCACCAGACAAGTTCCCAATATTCTTCCACGACTTCTTCGGCGGCATCACGCTGAACAAAATCCCCTCGCTGAACGGATCCAACGAGTCGACCAGCTCGAGCTCCGCGTTGCCCCCCATCGTGATCATCTGGTACATCTCCTTGAGCCGCAGCGAGATGATGCTGAACCCTTCCATGAACCCTTCGAGCCGCAGCCGGCGCAGGTCGTCGCACCGCTTCTTGGCCGCGTCGCGTTGCGAGACAGCGCTAGCGAGGTCTGACGATCGCGCTGCGTGCTCTTCTACACGCCGGCGGTACTCGGCCAGCACCCCGAGGTCGACGTTGACGTTCTGTGTCTTCTCCTCGAGCGCCGCGATCTCGCTCAGGAGGGTCTTCTTGTTCATGTCTGCCAGCTCGTCTTTGCTGTACCGCGGAAGCTCCGTGGGGGCTGCTGACCTTCGCCGAGACTGTTTTTGACTGGCTGCTGGCGTCACGGTATCATCGTGCCCCCCCTCGTCGTCTTCATCCCCATCCGCATCCTCCTCCTCTTCCTCCTCACCCTCGGCCTCAGCCTGTAACTGTGCCGATGCATCCTCCATCTCGACATCCTCGTCCGCATTCTGAGGGGTCTGGGGCCGCGGGGGCTGTGCACTGCCACTACTGCCCGAGGACTCCAGATCGGCAATATTCTGCAGCGCTAGCTTGCCCAGCTTCTCCTCCCAGTGGTACCGCTTGCGTTGGTTATCAGCCAGGACCTTCTGGTTCTCCTCCAGCTTATTGCGCATTTCAATCTCGACAGCACGCGTCTCATTGAGCTCAGCCGTCTTCTCGTCCAGCTCGGCTTTCACCTCAGTCAGCTCCTGCTTCTTAGCCGCCAGCGCTTCCTTGGCCTCATCGACGCGTGTCTTGAAATCCTCCGCTTTATCGCCCTGGTTCCGGATCTCCTCCTCCAGCTGCTCGGCATCTCGGCTGGCAGCCTCAAGCTCCTTAGACGCCTTGGCGTGGTCCTTCCGCAGCTTGACAATCTGCTTCTCCGCCTTGGCCTTGCGCACCTCGGCGCTCGACACCAGCTCGTTCCGCGACGCGATCTCCTCCTTGAGCGCGTCCACCGTCGCCCGCTGCGCCCGCAGCTTCTCGCCGCCCACCTCCATGATCTTGTCCTGCAGCGCCTTGATCTCGTCCTCCACGCTGGCCGTCTCGCCGTGCAGCTTCTCGATGTCCCGGTTGAGCTTAGCGACTTCCTTCTCGAGCGCCACGAGGCGGCTGTCGTCTGTCTTGGATGGCTGGTGCTCCCGCGCCAGTTCCTTAATCCGGCGCTGCGCGTCCGCCAGCTTTCGCGTTGAGCTCTCCACCTCGAGGTTGATCTTTTGCATCTTGGTGTCCAGCTCCGGGATCTGCTCCTTGAGCGAACGGATCCGCCCCTCGAGTTCGCGCTGCCGCTCCTGGAACTCCTGGAACCCTTGCTCCAGCTCGTCCCGGTCCGCCTCGTACTTGGACACCTGCTCCCGGCTCATGCCGGAGACGAGCTTCGATGACATGAGGCCCTTCTTCACGCTGGTGCCACCACCGGACATGGTACCGGACTTGTCGATCAGCTCGCCGGCCAGTGTGACCACGCGCCATCGCCTGGCGCCGTAGGCAATGCGGTTGGCCTGGGCCAGGTCCGTCGCGACGAGGGTGTCCTGTAGCGCGTGGTAGAACGCCGGGAGGAACTTGTCGTCCTTGGGCTTGACGAGATCGAACAGACGCGGCGCGTTCTCGGGCGTCTGGATCGGCGAGAGGTCGCGGCTCCGCAGCTTGTCGAGACAGATGAAGTTGCCGCGCCCGAGGTTCGTCTTGCGCAGGTACTCGATGCACTGCTGGCCGGCCTCGACGGTGTCGGTGACAAAGTTGTCCAGCGCGCCGCACGCCGTCGAGATGGCTACGTCGTACATCTGGTCGATGGCGCCCAGGTTGCCCAACCGGCCGTGGAACCCGTCGATGCGGCCCGACTCCTTCATGCGGATGAGCGCCGTGAGCACGTTGCCCTGCGTCTGCGTGGCCGAGAGGTTCGACCGCGCCTCGTCGGCCTTTTGCCGCGCGTTCGAGAGCTGCGCCCGCAGCTTGGGCTCCTCCTGCGACAGCTTCTCGAGCTCGTTCACCGCTCGGCGGCCCTCCTTCTGCAGCGCCGCCTTGTCGACCTGGCACTGCTTGAGCTCCTCTGCCTTAGCCGCCTGGCTTTCCTCGATGGTCGCAATCTTGCCCTGCAGTTCTTCGAGGGCGACCGCACCAGCGTTGGCCTTCTCCCGAAGAATCGCCATCTCGCTTTCGGCCACTGCAATGGCCGACTGCTTCTGGTTGATCTTGTCCTTCCACGGCTCGAGCGACTTTTGTTTGGCGGCAATCTGGTCCGAGAGATGCTGCGTCTTGCCCTTGAGGCTCTCGCGGATGACGGCCAGCTGGGCCTCCTCTTCCTTGACCTGCTTCTCAAGTGAGGCAATCTCCTCCGCGCCGGTCTCGAGGTCGTTCGCGCACTGCTCGACGGTCTGCTCGGCCTCGAAGGTCGTGCCCTCGGCGTTGGCGATGGTCTTCTCCAGCTTCTTGCGCTTGTCGGTAAGAAACTTGCGCTTCTCGTCAAACTTGACGCGTTCTTGGTCAAACTTGGTCATCTCCTTAACCAACGCTTGTGTCTCCTTTTCATACGCATCGTACTCCTTGCTGCCCTTCGAGAATGTCTTCTCCAGCTGCTTGATGATTTGCTCGCTGCCGTGGTGCTTTTCAAGCTCAGCATCAAGCTCGGCCTGCATCTGGCCGATCGACTCCTCCGTGACGGCAATGTTGTCATCACACTCCGCGACGTAGAGCTGGTACAGGGCAGACTGCTTCATGACAAGCTCATTCTCATCCCGGATGTACGACAGCGCCTTCTCCTTCTTGTCCTCCAGGCCGTTCTTCTCCTTCTCCACGTGCTGCACGCGGCCGCTCTTTTCGAGACAGATCTCGTTGAGCGTCTCAACCTCCGTCGCAGCCTCTTCGATGGGTGTCTTGTACTTGGATGTGCCGATGATGTCCTCGAGATACTCGAGCAACCCGTCCTCGTGCTCGTTGGCGGCCTTGGACTTCATCTGCGCAATGGACTCGACTTCACCTTGGAGAATCAGGAACCGCTTGTGATCAAGATCGACGCCGCGGTCACGAAGCAGCGTCGTGACGGTCGTGAAATTGGACGATTTCCCGTTGATGTAGTATTGGCTGGAGTTGTTCTTGAACGCCTTGCGAGAGATGACCAGGTCCGAGTCCGGGATGACCTCATGGCCACCTCCTGGTTGGTCCAGCACTTCGCGGAAGTGCACAGCTACCTCGCAGTGGTCCAGGTTGGGGTACTGGGCCGAGTTGTGGATCAACGCCGAAATCTTGCCCTGTCTCATTTTGCTGGCTCGGAAGCCGAACACAAAGAGCAGCGAGTCGATGACGTTGGACTTTCCAGACCCGTTGGGCCCGACCACGGAAGAGAACGAGCCGTGGAATGGCCCGACTTCTTGCCTCCCCGCATAACTCTTGAAGTTGTTGAGAATCAGGTATGTGATGACGATGCGGGGCTTGGGCCCGGTCTCTTCCACCACGGTCGGGATGGCCATGCTGCGTGACTTGAGGATAATGTCCATCGGCTTCTCCAGAACGGTGTCCATTGCCTTGATCGGCTTGGCCGCGGCTACCACGGTGTCATCGTCCTGGTGCCGCTGCTGGTTAGCGGCGCTGCTCGTGATGTCGGCGAGCGGGACATTGTGCAGGTTCGCCGGCGAGACAGAGAGCTTAGACGGGCCCTCGGGTGGCTGCAGCTCGGGCGTGGTCGACTTAGCACCGCGGGGTGCCACACTCTTCCGCTTTCCCTGCGTCGACCTCTTCACCGGGACATCGCCCTCCCCGTCGTCTGGCCCCTCGCCGCTTGTGCCCGTCGCAGCCGAAGCCGTAGTTGTCGTCGTGGCTGTCGTCGCAGCGGTCTGGTCCGGGTCGAAGTCCTCGTTCGCCTCCTCGGCGACAGAGGGGGTCGGTGCGGGGGCCGGGGTCGCGCTCTTCTTAGGAGGACGACCACGGCGTTTGGGTGCCGGAGCGGGCACTGCTGGGGGTGCGGGGGTGGGTGTCTCTGCGGCGGTTCTTTTCCGTGTGCGCCTAGGCGTGGCGGCTGGGGCCGGCGTGAAGTCATCGGCACTGTCCTCGGTCTCCTGGGGCGCGTCGGGCATGTCCTCGTCGGACGACTCGACAATGGCGGTGCGCCGGGTCGCCCGTCGTGTGGGGCGTGTCGACATGATGGGGGACTGATTTGTAGGGGTATCGCGGTGCGGAGTTGGGAGGAAAAAAGGAAAAAAAAGGACGGGGAAAAAAGGAGCCTAGAAGAACTGTGCAAAAGGGGACTCGTTGCAGGAGAAGAAAATCAGGCCTGCAAGTCGCGCCCGGGCGATGTGTCGTGAATGGCGCGGTGTCCAAATGCCCCCCAAATGGCAAGTCGCGAAAACGATGCCAGTCGTTGCGAGGAGCCCCGCTGCTGTGTTGACATTTGATTGATTGTAAACAATCAGCCATAGCCCGCTCGAGCCACTTGGGCATCGCACCCCTCCTTTGCCAAGCATCAACACGTGACTTTATTTCAATAAGTGCAATCTGGCCCAAGCTCCAGCTCGCCAGCCCCGTTAAAAGAATCCCAGTTTGTTGACTTTCTCGGAGGTTGCATCAATCGGGTGAACCCAGCAACAGAAAATCCAGCTGTGAACGCGAGCAGACTTGGGACATCTTCCCAACGCACAGTAGGCCAACCAAGGGACCGAAGGGAGGATTAGGCCTAAGTATTACCGATAAGAAACGATGCTCGATTTTTCGCAATTCGCCGCCGCGTTCCCAACCGACGGGCCCAAGCCCTACGACCAGAATGGCGTCCGCGAAATCGAGACCTTTCGCAAGTCTTTTGATGGCGTTTTGTTCATTGATCGCGTGCTGAAGGCGCTCGGAGTGAGTGAAGGTATGATTCCCCCGGTCGTATACGCATCATATCTCTACCCGTCTCTCTATTTAGTTTCTTTTTCTTTTTTATCTTCTACCCATTCCGCTTCCCGTCTTCCCTCTCCCTACCTCTACACCTTCGAGGGCTAACCACATTCTCACAACCAGGCAAGGCATACCCTCCACGCGGCGACGCCGGCCTACGCGCTCTCCACCAACAAATCTGCGACACCAAAGTCTCCGCCCACGCCAAGCTCTCCGTCTTCTACTACCTCCTCCTCGACTACGACGAAGTGCGCGGCGCCCGCTCCAACCTCGCCCAATCCCTCGCCGAAGAATCCGGCCTCACACCCAATTACCAGCTCCTGATGCGCGGCCTCTGGCACATGGACCGCAAAGAATTCAAGTTCGCCCTCGAGCACCTCGCACACCCGGCCCTGCCCCCCGAATTCGCCGACGATATCATCACCGTCCTCGTCCGGCACGCCAAAACCGCCACCGCAGCTCCCACCACCTCCTCCGTCTCCGACGAACCCGACTACAGCCTCCCCCTCGCCTACTACCACACCGCCCAACCCATCCTCCAAACAGCCGAAGCCCTCGAACTCCTCTTCGGCGCCCTCGCCCGCACCAGCGTAGCCGAGGCGCTCTACTTCGCCCGCGGCTACCCATCCCCCGCCGCACACCGCCAGCTCTTCGAGCGCCTCGTAGCCGCCGTGCTCGAGCATCCAGACGCAGCCGGCACGCGGGGCAAGGAACTGGTTAGTTTACCGCTGACGGCTGCTGAGGAGAGGTGGTTTCAGGAGTATGTTGCGACGGGCGAGGGTCGGCGGTCCAAGAATGCGAGGGCTGTTGCGCAGATGAGGCAGATTGTGACGGGGCGGCATCGGGGGCCGATTCCTGCGGCTGTGGGGGGTGGTGCGAGGCGGTGAATAAGTAGAGGAAAATGCTGGAATGGAAAGGAGGGAAGTTGGCGTCGGGGGCAACGACCTCAGGAGGGTTGTGATATTAATGAGGTGTTGCTACTATGAATAGTAGTACACAACGGATGGCAGGGCATAGCGATGGCGTTTAGGATTTGTCAAGAATATCGCAATAATACGGGAATTTTATCCCCATTCCGTCCCCTTTTTGAAGTGTTACGGTTGGCTGAAGTACGGATATGCTGTGCTCAAGGAAAGAATCTCGGTTATGAAACGCCCGTGGACACCATACACCAAACCCAAAGGTAAACAAGCCGTCCACATAACAAGTATCAATCACGGAGCGACGCCAAACACAACAAAGTCAATCTCGGTGAGAGGAAAATTCATTTAGTCCAGACTTGAGTACCCAGCCAGATCTATCCATTGAAACCCCTAAAACACGAACAACGCCGTCATTTTCCAACAAGCAACCCCCATTGTAACATCAAGATCCAACCTAGTCCTCGAATTCAATCGCTAACCACCCACCGTCCATCATAACAGACTTCGCCGTTATGAACACCACTTGTTTTCGCACGTGGCCACAAGAGCATGTATATATAACACAGCCTAGAAAAAGCCACCTCGACACGCCCCCGTGGAACCGGGGGTCTCTTTTCTTCTCCTAACCGACCCAACTTATTCCTTCCCAACCTGTCCCCTCAACGCATCCACCTCTCTCTGCAAGGCATCCAAGTCAGCCAAGATATCCCCCGCATGCGATTCCTGCTCGACCGTGGCCTCCCCGAGGTTTAACCCGAGTCCCACAGGCTGCAGCTCTGCGCCTGTTGCTGCGTTGCTTCGACCATCGTCCGCACTAGCCCGGCTGTTTCCCCGATCCCGGTGTCTCGGTGGAGGCGGTGGTTCCTTGCCCTTGCTGTTCCCGTTGCCGCTCCCACTCACCTTCCGCCCCAACCCCGCCGCATCGGATGAGGATGACAACGACGAAGACCCTGGGGTGGCTAGCGCCCGGTTTGCCGGAGGTTTCTTCCCGCGAACGGAAGTATTCCGTGCTGGTGGTGGTGGGGGTGGGACGAGTTTCGCTACAGCGGCTGGGATTGGTGTTGGGCCTGAGGTCAGAACTGAGGTTGGGGTGCCTGTCCCTGGGGTAGCACTAGCACTATTGCTGTTGCTGTTGCTGGAAGTATCACCTAATGGGGGAGGGGACGCGACGAAAGTGCGGGGCTCGGCGGACACCGTTGCGGGCAGGATATCGGTTGCATTGGAGAGCGTTGATACATGAGAGCTGGAGGCGCGTGACTGGTGGCTCGGACGTCGTGGTGGGGGTGGTGCTGGGGCGTGGACGTTAACACGGAAGCTGGAAGAGCGCGAGCGCGTTGAGTCAAGAGAAGATCGACGTAGCGAGGAGTCGGTCTCATCTTGAGGGGCCGCTGGTGTCATTGCGCTAGGGGTAGCCTTGCTATCGGAACGCCCATGTGGCTGTCGTCTTGGTGGCGGCACTGGCTTCTTTGCGTGCTGCGCGGAAACACCTGAGCTAGCATGCGACACATTCGGCGGAGTAGGCGGCCGTGGTGGGCTAGTAATCTTGGGCTCGAAATGGACATCTGGCTCAGGCGCCTTGCCAGCGGCTTCCCGTTCAAACACGCTTTCCGTGGCCTCCTCCTCTGGTGACCGCTTTGGGGCTAGTGGAAGAGGTTTGTTGACATCGGAAGGCGTAGATGGTCGTGGTCGTGATGGGGACACAGGGGGTGGAGCTGCCGGTCTCCGGCTTGGGCTGATCAATGAGGGCTGAACCTCGTTCGCCGTCCCTTTCGTCACGCCGGGAGTCCCGGTTACCCCAGCCCCGATTCGCTTCCCATGTCGCGAACTAGGCGGCGGTGGCTTTTTCCTCGTCACAGTCGCGGCGGGTTGTAGGGCTGGTTGAGTCACTTCTTGCTCTGGTGCCCCTTGGGACACCACTGGGAGTCCTTGGGCCGCCTGTAACGTTTCCGATATGGACAGACGCGAGAGAGAAGATCCATTCACTCCCCCTTCACTTGGTATTGGTGGATGCCCGGCAAGCTGACCGGGCGCAGAGGTTTCCTTCGAGGACACCGCAGGCCCAGCTTGACCTGTCAGGAGCAATCGCCCAAAAGCACCAACATCCAGCCCTCCTCGTGCGCCCGGCGCCGTAACGGCACCTTGTTCCGGCCCAGTTACCCCATGTTCTAGATCTTGTAAAGTCGTTTGAAAGGGATTCGGTGGCGGGCTCCGTGGCCCTAATACGGAGCGTGGCTCGTTTCCTCTGCCAGATACATCCGCGGACCCCGTTGATGACGGATACTGAAACGGATCGTTCCGGGTATCCTTCTCGTCGCTGTCGCTGCTACTATCTTCATCACCATCACTATCCTCTCCGTATGAGCGGAGGGCCGGAAATCGCTCAGTCGCCTCGGATGACTCGGGAGACGACGGAGGCGATTGGACGCGGACCTTCTTCACAACCTTTGGTTTCTGGAAGCTTGTGGCGGGGGGTGGCTGTGCTGGGCTAGAGAAGGGCTCAAGCTGGTGCCGGAACTGATCTACGCGGGGCAGGGCGGATTCGCCGGGAATCGAACTTGGGGTCTCGTCGTCGGGCCTAGGGAGGTGTGGGACGGCGGGAGAGGGTGTCGAGGGGGGAGGTGCCGGTGTCGATGCCGATGCCGGTGCTTTGCGGCGAAATGGATTATTGGTGCCGAGGGAGGGGTGTTGTTGCTCCTGTTGCTCCATGACTGCGAGCGGTCGGATTCCTTGGGAGTGACCAACCAGAGAACGGACCAACTCGACTCAACCAAACGGAATGCAAACAAAACGGACGGGATTGGCAAGATGCGCGCGTTGGGTGTTCGCCAGAGCCCCGTGTGTTCAAGAACCCATTGCTGTCAAGGCCGTTGTTGTTGGCCGGCTTTGCATCCGACTCGGCCGCGCGGCGGGATGTGGTGGATTCGCGTCAGGGGCACTGCGCTGATGATTCGATCGACCTGACCCAACGTAGTCGCAGCAAATTCCCAGCGTTTCGACGGATATTCAAAGCGCCCGTGCGCCCTATATCCCCGGTTTTTTTCGCTCTTCTCAATGCCCGAATCGTGGCTGCCTACAGCGAATTTTTCGGGGCGGGTTGCACCAGTCGGTTAGTTCATCCAGGCAGGTCCGACTCGACAAGTCCAGGCCAGACCCAAGGGATGTCGTTGACCCAAGCGGTGGGGCTTGGCAGAAATGCCCCGCTGCCGCAAGCTTCCTTCCTCCATTCCGGTGCGAGCCACGCGAATGCACGCCCGATTTCTCGCCTCGATGCCTTGATTCAGGCTAGCCCGCGACTCTCGGCACCAAAACCCGCCTGTAACCATAAATCTTGGAACGCGTTGTCATTACGCTGAGGCAAAGCCACGACCAGTTTGTAATTTCCGGACCACCCAAATACGCCCAATACATGGAACGGGGAGTGCCTCTATCGACCGGGACTCCTCTAACAGCAGCTGTTCTGCTAAGTTCGCCCTCAGACACCTCAGGGTTCACGATGACGTCAAACACATCGAGGTCAGCGGAGCCTCCGTTATTTTCATCCTCCCCATCAACGTCTACCAAACCAACCTCGGTGGATTCGAAACAACAACCTGAGGATTTCCAAACGATACGTTTCACAAACGTACACGATCTTTTCCGTACCATCGACCACACTACCGAGGATTTCCTTGCTATTACACGTATGTTATTGCCCTCTTACTTCTAGATAAGTAGTATACTAATTATTAAGATGTTTCTCCTGGCCACTTTACCGACATCGAACGTGAGCGAGATAGGCGCCGCCGTAAATTCCGTTTGCGCCGTTATAACAGCGACTCCAACACCCTCTTTATCACAATACCCACACAAGCACATGAAAAACTCCATACCGGGATTTACGAAGGGTATCGTGACCAACTTGTCAGAAGTGGTACCGAGTCGAGCTGGGATACAGTCGCCTCTGTCACGTATCGAGCAAAACATAATCACCCTGGAGGAGATGGTGGCGAGGGTGATTCCACTGGCGGCCCAATGCCAGAACGTGGTGCTAAAGGTGCCTGGCCAACACTTGTCGTTGAGGCAGGTGTTTCAGAATCACTAAACCAGTTGCATAACGATATGCGGTGGTGGTTTGCAGCCTCAGACCACGACGTTAAGATTGTTCTTCTCGCCAAGTTTGACCATGCTCGCGACACTATCATCTTAGAGAAGTGGGAGGAGGAGGCAAGGGGCACTCGTCCTGGAGCTGCAACAACACGATACCTGACGGCCGTTGAGCCTGTCCGCCGTCAAGCAATCACGATCACACAGGATCTCACTACCGACCCAATTTCATACCCCGTCACTAGCGGTGCGTTGGTATTAGGGTTTAGGCTCCTGTTCCTGCGTGAGCCGGGCCCTGGAGAGGGGGACTTTGTCCTGAGTGTTCAGAAACTACAGGCGTGGGCGGAAAGAGTTTGGAAGGTAGTATAAGCTAGATCAATAGCCGGTTGACCGAATACTCCATGATACGGATAAGCCTCTGGGCATACCCCAAAGTCCAGGGCCCATTTTGAAATCTGCCGCCCGTGTGAGAGGTCCCAACGCCCGCCCAATCCCAAGTCTACAAAGAAAGCGCTGAACCGCTGTAAACGGACACACTGGCCCCCTTTATAAATGTGATGGAAGTAGAAAATACAAGCATGTACACGTGTTTGTTGCAAGACTCAGCCAACCCCGTACCCAGGAGATAGTGCGCGTCAATCCAATGTGCAAGACGGCCAGTTCCCGTGGCAGCGCCTGATGCTGCTATTCCCCACCGAAAAAATGACCCTCCCAAAGTCCAAAGTCCCGCCAGAACGCCAAACTAGACAAAAAGCAGAGCCTCATATCACAAGAGAAGAAACCACGTCATGACAAGAAAACGATACGACTTTACGCCGCAGCTTCTGCCTTCTTTGGCGTCTTCTCCTTCTTCGGCGCAGCGGCCTTCTTGGGTGCAGCCTTCTTTGTCGCAGCGGGCTTAGCGGCCGTCTTCGCGACACGACCAGACTTAGTCTTAGTAAGAACGGTCGGCTTGTCAACGACAGCAGGAGCAGCAGCGGCCTGCGGAAATATTAGTCACGTCGTTGTCGTGCGAATGGGACAGGCAACGCCTTACCTTCTTCGCCGGCGCAGCCTTCTTCGGGGCAGCCTTCTTGGTGGCAACCTTCTTCTCCTTGGGCTCCTTCTTGGCGGCAGCATCCTTCTTGGTAGCGGCCTTCTTGACAGCAGGCTTCTTCTCCTTGGTATCCTTCTTGGCAGCGTCCTTCTTAGGGGCAGCCTTCTTAGGCGCAGCGGGCTTGGCGGCCTTCTTGGCCAGCTTGGTACCGCCAGAGGGGCCTGGTGTGTGTGAGCAATATGACCATGGGACACTTTCGATCAAGATGACGTACCCTTGGGCTGCTCAAAGACACCCTTGTCGACACCGTTCTTCAGGGCCTTGTTGAACAAGGAGTCGAACATCTTCTCGGTGACGTTGATAGTGTTGTTGGCGCGCACATACTTCTTGAGGGACTGGCGGCTGTTGCTCAAGTTAGCATCATGACACGACAAGAGATCATGTAATCAAGTGAGTGTGGGATCCAGGAGGTACTCCGCCAGCAATGCGCGAAATGAAAATGAGTTCAGAAATGATGCTTACCTAGAGCCGTTACGGTCCTTCAGCTGCAGTTGAGAAACCACGTCAGTAAACTAAGCTCATCACAAAAAGGCACCAGGGGTGGCGTAGTCGAATGGTGCGTGCGACAGCCGGCAAGCAGTGCGCGACGACCCAACAGCAACGCCAATCACCCTAACCCAACATAGAGGAAGACGGGGGTGCAATACCGAAATGATGGCATCAGTGATCATGTCCTAATATCATGTTAGAAACGGAACACATCCAAGATTGTAACAATAGAGGCGTACCTGGTAAGTGTGCTGCGAGCCGGAGGACTTGGGCTTGGGAGCAGCGGCACCCTCGGCCTTGGTCTCAGTCTTCTTAGGAGCCATTGCAAATGTTGTTTGGATTGAGATGAGTCGTTGAAAACGCGCGATTGAGATGAATAAAACCTGAAATGGGTTTTGAGATTGACTGTTGAATGGATAGAAATGTTGCGTTGGTTATAATTGGAATGGAGAGAAACTGGGGACAAGAGGGTGTGGGTGGGCAGTCGCGCTCGGGGGCGTGCCCTGGTGTTTATATGGAAAGCGGGGGGGCTCACTCACACGCGGGTGATTGCGCTGATTGCGCCTCCCAAGACCCGGGGGCTCCAGACACCACACACTTTCTGGACCGAAATTTTGGAGCTAGGCTCCGACACCTGCAACAGATATAATGCGGCCCGTGCTTCCTCATTTTGACTACAAAACCATCGCTTCTTCGCTTGCAGGCTAGATGAGCTGGTTTGTTGTTGTCGTTTTGGATTGGTTCCTCACACTGCTCATGGGCCAGCCTGGCGCCTCGCCTTCAGCCCAACCACCCATCCGCGCAAGCTTCACGAAAGTCGATATGGATGCCTGACTACCTACCCCAAACCTAGCGAATCCAGGCGATACAGATCTGGTTCCGACCATTGCACCATGGGATAAAATGTGGTTGTGTGTTTGAAGGTTGGCACTCTGCCTTCCCAAACAAAACCATTCACCCTTCGCCCAACTTGTTCATCTCGCTAGGATACAGTCCGGACAGCCTCCAATGTCCCGCAAATTCCTATGGGTATACCCACCTCCCATGCGACAAAAGGCGCATTACTGCCAGACTCGATTCCCACATTTCTGGTTTGGCTCATGGTTGTGCTGCGGCAGCTGGTCCGGCCGAGGGGGCCAAACCGGAGCGTGAATGGGGTGTGAATGAGAAGCTGCCGGTGCCAACTGTTGTTGCAGGTGGAATGATGTGCAACGCGGGGACGCTTTCCCTAATCGGGCGATCGTTAACAGAAAAAGACGACATCCCGGGCCCTGACCATTTTCCTGATTGGCTGTGAAAAACAGCACCTTATCCACTTTGTACCTTCGATCATGTGCACCCGTCACAGCTCGAGCTCTCCCATTCTCTGATCTCGACACACTCGATTCCCCCATCCCCTCGGCCTTTTCCTTCCCCTCCTGCTTCCCTCCTTTCTCCTCTCTTCTTTTGTGCGTCAATCGACGCATGCGATGACTGGTTTCTTTGTCCCATTTTTTGTGAGATTTTCGGCCCCTCCCCCGCCGTTTCCCGGTCTTTATCCGGCTTGACGTCTCGGGATGCCGAGATGTGATGAATGCCCTTTCGGTCGCATTTTTGATCTCGCGATGCTCAATAGAAGATAGACACACTCTGGCGCATTCGACCTGACATCCCACCAACCCCTGCTTCATTACATCAGAATGTGTCATACCGATCGCTGCATTCCTAGCCTTCTTTTCCTCCTTTTATTTTTTCCATTACCCTTCATTTTGACCTGATTTCGACAAAAGTATCCAAAGTCACTCCTGATATTGTGGGGAGCCAGGACGTCGCGCTTGAAGCTATCCGCGACACCACAAGCGTTTCGCTCCATCCCACACAACGCCAACACAACAACAGTTCTTTGATATCTGTTCCCATTGTGCATTCCGTCGACTCTTTGGCTATGTGATGACAAGTTTTTTCTGCCCAATTTCCTCTCCATGTGGTGGATTTGGGCACACCCTGCATCGTCAGAGTGGATGTCGTGTCAAGATGCGCGTCGGCCATCCGGCCGCACTGGATTGGCCCTTCTCCCACGCCTCGAACATGAAACGGCATTTGCACAGATCAGACTCTTCGGCGCAGGGGATCTTTTGTTCTATTCCATCCAGCCTCCTTTTTTTCTGTTGGCTTCGTTACTTCTCCCGCTGTGTTGGCCTCTTCCGTCACCTGATTTCAACTCCAGGTCCGGAATCCCACAACACCCGAAAATTCCAAATAACCCGCGCGCAACCTGTCCTCCCACAGTACTCTGTAAAAGCTATTTGCCTAGGCAGATACCAGTCTATTCTGTTTTCTCACTCGAGATTCATATCTCCTAGCTCGCTTACCAGTTCGGCTGTGCCGCTTCCCTCTAAACAAACACGCGTGCCAGTCCAATATTCCAGCCCCGCCAAGCCAGGGCGAAGTCAACAACCCTCGCAACACGGATGAGAGCGTGTCTCTAGCAACTCACAAGACCCGAGTCATTCCTCGATAAACCAACGGTCCCCAGGCCGTTGTCATTCCCCTCTCATTCCATGTTCTTGAGCATTCAGCCCCCCTGAGTCCCATCCCACTTCACGATACGCGTGAGGTGGACCAACAGGGGCACAACCGCGTGCTTCATTTACCCCCAACCCCACCAACACCGGCGTTTACCCGTCACTATTACTCCCCTCCACAGCGTGCTGCCAGTATTCAGTAAAAAGACGCACACCTTCGCGTCATCCACAATATTAGCTCAACGATGTTAAAGAGTCCCAGCCGGATAACTCCAAGCGAGCCTGCTCGCCCTTCCTACGCGTCTCTCGGCTCGCACAGGTTGTCCGAGGTGTGTAACACGCGAACACATGTATGATAATACTGTAGTACCCTTCCAACTTGATTTCCTGTATACCCATGAGTCAGTCGCCCATCCATCACATCACCCAGCTCGGTGATGATTTTTCCGTCCTCATCACTTGTGCGAGGCTGAGTTGGCGGCCTCGTGACCCCAGGCCTGGCTGGTGTGCGTGAAAAGGGGGGTACGCATCGTTCACAAACATCGAGTATGGGTCGGTAATCTCAAGGTTCAGACGCGAGTAGGGCTATGAGTCAAACGTTCGATTGTCTTTTTAGCCGTCTGAGTTGACTTATCTCCCATCACTGCTCGTACTTTCTACTGCGGGGGTTATTATGAGTGGCTTTGGGGGGCTTGGCAGTGTTGGCCACATACTCAGTGACAAAATGTGTCGATAAATAAATAACTACTACCTCAATCAGGATCAAATTATCTTAGCATCTATCCCCCTATTGCATGGAACTGCACGCCTTGATTTCCCCTTGAAGAAATAAGCTAGACTTAAATCTTGAGCAATTGTCACTCCTCGAACTTCAACCTCTAAATAAACACGAGTCATAACTAAATATTGACAATAAAAAACAACATATCTTGACAGAACATATTTGCATCATCCGACCAAGTACCATATTGGGCGTGATTAAACAACAGACCATAGAGTTAAATATCTTTAGCGTGTCGTCAGTTTAGCTTTTAATTGCACATCAAGAAAACATTGGGAACACTAAAGATAAACATTGATATAACTAATGATCAAAAACTAAAAATAACAAGTAATCAAATAAACACAACTCAACAATTCCGACCTAGCTAGCTAATACTCTCATTATGCAAAGAGAAAAAAGATCAGAACATGTTACTGAGCGTATTGCACTATCTTTTTTATTGGGACATGTTGTCACCAAGCCAAATATTGTTTCAATCACCAAACTCATCCAACAGTCGGTTGCGCCACGGAGTATTACTGTCAAGTTTTTTTACACAATCACCCCCGTCCACGCCCCCCCCCGCTGTAATCCCTTATACATGCTCTCCCTCCGGCAATATTTCGACGCTTCCCAAACAAACATTTCACACACAAATCTCAAACAGACAAAACAAGCACACAAAAAATCTGGTCACTGAATTGAAGCTGCACTAAGCTAACACCCAGCAACTTTTGGATTCTCTCTTTCTCATCCCGTCTCCTGTTCACAACATGGAACCTCCCCCAACCAACATCCCATCACTCAAGCTCTAACTGCCCCGAAAGAAACAGAAAAAACCCACATACGCCAGACAATGCATGCGTGATACCCGCCGGTCCCCAAAACCGTGCCATGCAAACAGACAGAGACAGAGACAGAGACAGACAGACAGACAGATAGACAAACGCCAGGGCCAAAGAAATCGCCTGCAGAGGGGTCTCAAAGGCAAGTCAAGTAAAATACTCGCAAACTGGCAAGCCGAAAAGAAAAATAAATCAGAAAATTAAAAGAAATTTCGGTTCAGTGCGCCAATCGTGCGCGCATCCTCCCCTTGCGGTCGCGCAGAGAGCTGCGATGACCCGTTCCCACGCGGCGAGCTACCCGCGCTGCTGATACCGCCGCCCCCGGTTCCTGCACCGTTGACACTAGTACTACCACCACCGCTGATCCCACTCCCCGCGCTGATGGGGTTGGCGCTCATGAGGTTTGCGCTGTTCGGCTCTGAGCCGGTCAGAGGGGGGATGATCGAATCTGGGTGTAGGAGCGCCTGCAGCGTTGGACGCGTGCTTGCTGGGGTCGAGGCGGACACGCTGAGACTGCCGTTGCGACCTCCTCCGCCGCCGCCGTCGGATGATGAGACAGCGCTGCGAGGAGGGGAGCGGGAGGGGGCCCTGACGATGGGGCTGGTGGCAAGGTTGGAGGGAGTGAGACCTGGCGTTGTGGCCGAGGACGCGGAAGGCGGGGTGATTCCGTTTGCTTGGTGTTGCCCGAGCTGGCCGGGAGCGGGGAGGGGGCTGTGCTGGCCACGCGCAGCGTCGATTGGGGCGAGTCGCGGTTCGATCTGGACAGCTTCTCGTGCTTGCGCCTGAAGGTGCTGTGACCCCGGCGAGTCGAGCAGCGACAGCCGAGGGGCAGGTGTGTGGGATGCCGGTGGGGAACGGTGTTGTTGGTTTGGCGGGTAGGGCTGCGGAGCGGGAGCTCCCATCTTCGGAGGCTGAGGAGCGGGAAGCTGTGGGTGCTGTTGTTGTGAAGGATGCATCGGGGGCGATTGCTGGTGCTGCAGTTGTTGCTGCGGCGGCTGCTGCTGCTGATGCTGTTGGTGTTGCGACTGCGGCTGATGCTGAGATAGTGGCGGCCCGTGTGGATGTTGGTGTGGGTGTGGATGTGGGTGTGGTTGTGGTTGTGGGTAATGGTGCGGCTGGGGGGGAGGTAGTGGTGATCGATCATGACCGGTATTCGGCGGATAAGGATGGTGGGCATGGTGAGGGTGTGGCGGGTATGGGTGTAGTCCTGGAGGTGGGCCCCCGGCTGGAGGTCCTTGTGGGTATGAATAGTGGCCGTGGCTATAGGGCGGCGTTCCGACAGGAGAAGGAGGCCACGCATAGCCGGCGTGCGGGTACTGGGGCGGGTATCCGTGGTGCGGAGGAGGCTGGTGGTGGTGAGGCATGTAGGGGGGTTGAGCCACGGGTGCTCTTGCGGCAGCGGCCGGGGTGGCCTCGGCAAGGCTCGATTCGGGATACATGCCCTTTGCTGGTACGATATGACGGAGCGAAGGGTCGCTGCTGGGTAGTGGCAAGTCCTGCAGCGCCCTCGAGCAGTATGCGATCAGGTGAAGATGCTGGCCGGTCGAGTTGGTGATACTAAAGGACTGCTTGGTGAGCCCGTCGGGCTTGTAGCGATACCCATCCGGCTCTCCGTCGTCGTGGTCCTCGTCGCTCCCACGGCCAGAATCCGGCGTTTTACCGGCCGCTCTCCTCCCAGCAGCGAATGCATTCCCCCTCTTGCCCTCCATCTCCCGATACGTCAAGAAGCTCCCGGCAACACGGCTGGCACTCCACGACTTGCCGTCCGTCCATCGCCGCATGCCCGCTTCCCGCTCATCCCAAACAAATACGGAGCCGGGCCGGATGGCTTGCCGTTCCTTTTCTGATAGGCGCCGCTGAACTCGAGGTAAGAGGCCAAGCCGGGTTGCTTCAAAGAGTTTGATAGCGTCGGCGGGTGACCGCACCTGACCGTAGTATGTCTCCATTTTTGGCGGTATGCGGGGCTCCTAGTGTGGTAGATTCACCGTCCATATGTCGTCTTATTGACCTTACGTCGAGCTCAAGCTCACTTGGCTCTGCCCTCCTAACCCTTCCTGTGGTCCGGCCAGTTGCTCACCATCCAGGCAAGCAAATCCAGTGGTCAGTGCGCCCTCGCAGAACGGTGAAAGGCGGAAATTATTTTGGGCGGTAGGCGTGGTTTCGGACAAGTTGTCTACAAACATTACGTTAGATCCTCGGACTTGCACTATAAGAAACGCGGTTCATGAATTCTAGGCCGCTCGGAACAAGTGAGCGTTGGGCCACGCGGCAGAGCAGCGATTAGCGAGGATGTGTCGGTTTGAGAGGGCCAGCCAACGAAACCCGCGGGCAACAGCAAGTGACACCGAAAAGTGAGGTCAGATTCGCAGAGTCGCCCGTGTGTCTCACTCCCTGAGGCGGCCCTCACTGGTCCTGACTGGTCGTCGATGAAGTTTCCTGATGCTCGTTGCTACCCGCCACGTACCCATCGGGGGGCTCGAGACGTATCGAGTCACAGCACATATGTCGTTGTGGGGTCACCCAGCGCATCACCATGCTTTCTCTGACACACGCACGTTTGCAGGTGGAGCGGGTACACCCGAGCGGGACCATAGTTTCGGAGGCGTGGTGTTGTCGCAGTTGGCCTTGATAGGAAGAATCACGCGGATCATCCCTAGTTGGCCAGTGTTCCGCCCAGTTTCCCCTCAGAAGGTTTTTGTCTGACAATTCCCCCGTTGAATATGACTGCTATTCTGATCCTAAAGGGGCCAAAGCTTGGGTGCCGAAATGCCGATTTCCCTTTCGTCCGAGCGCGCGATGAGGTGGAAGGGAGACCAGTTGGAAAATGCAGACGAAGGAAGCAAGAGGAAGCATCGTATACTTACCAATAGGCCCAGACGCATGTATGTAGGTTGGGAGCTGCGAGATGCGCGAGTGTGATTGATTCAGTCGAATGATATTGTTTGGCCAAGGTTACTCCTTCGGAACCGTTTGCTCGTTCGTCTCGTGCTGGAGTCAGGAAAACAGAGTCGCCGGGGATAGGGTTGTCATGTAAGAATTTGGAGTTCTCCCTGGTATTGAGAGCAAACCGACGTTGGAGGTCCGAAGGGGGTCGAGGTCGCTTCTGTACGCAGTACGCGGGGGGGCGAGTACGCAGCGGTTTGTTCAGACGGCATGTAAGCCGGGGTCTTTGGTCGGTTTAAAAGAGTGCCTGGTGAAAATAAGGTGGTCCGCGGCTGGCGGCTGACAAGGGGGGATCGGCTGCAGGTCGATGACGCTGCAGCCCAATGGGCAAGGATCGGTCGGAATGTGGGAGCGGAGACGCTGGAGGAGGGTGCAGTGTGTGTTTGTGGGTTGCAACCAGGATGCTATCAGGGAGTTGGGTTGCAGGCTGTTGTTTTCGGCACAGTAAGGTATACAGTATTACCACGGTATGGATATAACTCGGTCTTCATTGCCGAGACACGCTCGGTGATTTCGAGCGTTTTTTGCAGGCCCGGGCGAGCCTGGCTTGGTTGGCGGGCAAATGGCAGGCCAAGGCTGGGCATGGAGTTCTGATACCAACAGCGAGCGGCCAACCACCGTGTCTAAGCCCGTTTGTTCAGCTTGTTCCCTGTGGCCACGGGCTGCCGGATGCGTCGGGCCTTCTCGTCGTCGAAATTAAAAGCAGACAAACGGAGCTGCGAGAAGTTGTGAGTGCCCCGTGGGAGACGGGAGAGGGGGGGCGTACTCTCGGCTGGTTGGTTGGTGGGTGTTGGTCAGGTAGGTTGGTGGCTTTGTTTTCTGCCCATGAAGCAACACACTGCCTCGCCCTTTCCGCCCACCACAGCCGTCCCGGGCGGGTTGGACAACATGAAAAATGCTCCCCCAACTTCCATCCCACCCCTGGAGTCATGGAAAGTGCGGACGAAGGGCCAAGAGCCCCACCTGCCTGCCGAGCACGCCCAGCCAGAGACCCACTTGCGGTCGCGTTAAAGTTGGGGCCGAATATTTTCCTGACTGGGTAATTAATCAGCATTGAAAAAACGTGCTGCTCTAGCCCCGGAAAGGAACCAAGCCCGAGGCTCTGCGCCAACCCGTTGTGTTGGGGGCTCCCCGCCCAGCAAAAGCCCAGTCTGCCGAGCTGCTCCTTCCGAAAGCCAACGGGGAAAGTGCCCGCAGGGCAACCGCAGTTTCTGCGACAAGGCAGCCAAGACTGCGAAGCAGGCAAGAGCCAAGCATGGCGGAATGACAGAAGCGGAAAAAGTTACCTATTTGCGGACCCGCTCTCTGGCGTCAGCTTATCAATGGAATTATCGACCTTCGCAGGTTAACTACTTTTCTAATGGTTTAGCACCACACCACCTGTGGCATGTCATGCAATTACTGGCGAGGACGCACGCAGTCGGTTGTGTCTGAGCAGAATATTATTGTACATTGTTCGTGAACATGAGACCAAAGACGGGCCTTGGACGATTCCGGCTATGGATACCACGAGTGAAGCACGCTCAGTCACAAATTCGTCCCCCTTTCGCCGGCTCCGTTTGCCTTTTTGTAGAACGCCCGGGTCAGGCTAAAAAAACCGCCATCAATCTTGCTTCTGAGATTGCAAGAGCTAGCCAACATTGCTGGCTGACCGTTGGCTGACAATGTCCCGGTTTTTGTTTTGTGCAAAAAGGAGGTGGCTCGTCGGCTGAATGGCCCCATGGGGATGGTCCTTTGGGTCCGCGATCCCTTCCTTCTCGGGTTCTGCCCCAGGTCCCGCTGCATTGAAATTTCCTGTGTATGTACGAAGTATGACTGGAATAGAACCTGAGACGGTGACACAAGAACTGGGCACAGGTGCGCGCAACGTTCCCAATATGTTGTGCGAGATGGGAGAAATGGCTTCACAATTCGCGGCTTCAACTCGCCCCAACCCACTTCCCCTGCATCCGCCAAGGAAAGTGATTGTCGTTGATGGATAATAGGATTTCAAGCTTATTTCACGGCGCCGCCTCGGGCCCTCTCGCGAGCCTTGGCATTCTTGGGATCCTCTCCACAATCCACACCCCTCCCTTCCCGAGTCTCATGGAACCCATGTCTGGGCTCCCTTGACCTTTTTGGCGCTGCTGCGGAACGGTCGGTGATTCCACATGTTGTGTTGGCTGTCAAAACCTCCTCGCAGGCTCCACACACAGAGGCCTAACCAAGTTAGGTATACTTGTCTTTTTGCTCGACGCAAGTTCCACAGCCACAGCCGGAAAACGATTGCCATCCATGAGACCGACATCGTAAAAAAGCCGCCGTCACCAGACGCAGACGGGCGATTCCATGCTTTGTTACAGCTGTGAAGTCTTGACCGTGTGCATGCGAGACAACCCGGCCTCTGTGCTTTGTCACAGAAACGCTGCCGTAGGGGTTGGAGCCGGAGATCTTTGTTTTTGATTACGTGGTTTTTCTCCTTTTACTCCTTCAAAGTAGTGGAGGCCGCTCAAAACTAGTGAAATGGATAGATGATCAACAAAGACAATGGTTTTCGTTTCTTTATCCGTACGGATACCTGTCCTCTTTTCGTGAGGTATCAATTGTGGAAAACGACTAGTGTAAACTCAGAGTGACTAACGACACAGTTCCATAAGAGGTTCGATTGCCCTGTGGGTAGCCTTTAGTCAGATCCTCTCCCCACTAGTGCAGCCACTGAGTCGTATTCGCGTTGGCCTGGTGGGGAGGGGTTTCGCTGGCGGGCTCTGGCAATGCGAAACAGTCTGTCAGGGTGTTGTTCGAGGCATCAACTCGATTCGATGGGGGTTGAAGGGAGTGGGGTGCGAGGCTGTGCTGGGACTTTGGCGAAGGCTCATCAGTTTGTCTCTGTCTCGAGCTGTATCGCGGAACGGAATGGGGTGTTGTGTAACAAGCCCAACCATGGACTGCGGCTGTCAATCCGCCCACAGGCGTGGCGCGACAGGGGGGTTTGTTAGTGATCAGAAAAGCGAGAACGAATCTTGATACTGTTTTCATCGACGGGCCTCGGTTTGGGTGCCTGTCATATCCGTGTCAGCGTCGGAAGAAGATCCTCGCAGTTCGGCGTTGCATCACCGGACACGGGACCCCCTCAACGACGAGCAATGCTCTGAAAGGCGACACATTTTTCAACGTTTGGGGTAAATAGTTTCGCTGAGCCAGGCAACAAAAAAACCACAGAATTCGCGACGGCGGTGGCGGGGTGTTCAAACCGTCCGTACCTGTCACGTTGTAAATCGTCCACGAGGTATCCGCTGAAACCAAGACAAAAACCGAAGCTGTAGTGTACGAAGTACGAGGGGGGGAGTCGGAAAGTGTTGTGTCAGCAGAATCCCAGACAAAGAACGCTGCATTTGCGACTAGTCCAACAAGGAAATCTTCCCGAGGGCTGCCTTGGATCCTCCCTCCATCAACTTTAACGCCGACGGGGGAATAACGTGGGCTTTCAAAGCCTAGTCGAGACGAGACGATGATCATCAGATTCGTCCTCGCAGAATTTCCATGTTGGGATGGAATGCCCAGAAACCGGCCCAACCTGAACGGAAGAAGGAAGCCGGTCTACACTAGCGGTGACCGTCCGGCATCAGCGTTTGGTAGGCTCGTAAGTTAGGCCCGTCTCGGGTTGCAGGTGCTTATGGTGCCGTCTGCTCTTATTCATTTTCCCACATCAGAGCCGATCACCGCGGAGAATCAAGGCCGGGTGCGATGGCAGCGATACATCTTACCAGCATTTTGGGTCGCTCTCCAAATCGGCATCTCTTCTTCGATCAAAGATTTGAGGATGGATGGAAGGGTTACCAAGCGGCCCCCAATGGCAGAATTAGTGGCGCAAGCGGGGAACTCCCTCCCCCCCCTCCAAATCCCCCAGAGAACCTGTCAGACTAGGGTTACGGGCGGAAGGTCGGCTGCACGGCAGGTCTGGCAATTGGGCGTTTGGTGTCTGCACTGTCTGGCGCGGGGTTCACAAGCCAGCTTTGCGGTGAGG